GCAGCATGGCGTAATGCGCCACGAGAAAATCGACCGAATACATGGTTATTTTTAAGAAACACACGTCACCACTCAGAAGGAAGCGGAAGACTTGGATCTTGACTGAAAAAGCTACGTATCCCACACATGTGGAGACCGAGTGCAATGGTTGGAATCCATTCTTCCACCATCGACATCTGATCATCAGCAAGTTCACCTTTCATGTATCTTCTGGAAATCGTAGTCGGCACCACCATCCAAGCAAAGTCGCGTACCCCATACGTTGTGCGAACCAGGATGGCACCGTCGCAGAACTCATCAATCACCTCACAGATAGTGGCATAATGAGTTCACCACGGTCCTGACTGGGATCACGGGGTCCGTCGCGTCCGGCGGGAATCACAACTATTGCTCGCAGGCTCAAGCAACGACGATCACGGTACATCCATAAGCTCAGACGGCGAGCACGAATCCCACTATTGACACGCCAGGCGCCAGCCGCGCCATTGTCTTATTGGATTTTCGGGAGGCCTACGATACAGTCGACCGAGACTTTATGGTGGAAGCGCTTCGACTCTTTGGATTTGGCGATAAATTTCTTGCGCAATTCAAAGGTTTCATACCAACACGACAGCACGGTATACAGTCAACGGCGAGCTTTCATCAATTTGGGGAGTTAGTTCGGGTATTCGGCAGTGCTGTCCTCTTGCTCCCCTTCTTTTTTTGTGGTAGTAGAGGTATTGGCAGTTGCTATACAAACGTCGCACCAACTTCAGGGGCTCACACTTCAGGGAGCCCACACACAGAATCATATCTTTTTCTGGGTTTGCCGACGACTCCACATTATTTATCCAAAAAACAAATTTACTACATCCGGTATGGAAAGTATTTTTGAGTTTGGACGGCTATCGGGGTTGCAAGTGCAACCAACTAAAAGCCAAATCATCTTTTTAAATACGGCTATCCATCAATTCACGTACCAAGGAATTGCAGAGGTTGCTCCGTCAACAACTACGAGGTATCATGGATATCAAGTGGGGACAGAAAAGTAGCGTAATATTTATTAATTGGGCATTCCACATCAAAAATGCACTGCGCCGCTTCCTCACTGCAACGCGAGTATCAACGACTCTCGAGCACCGTGTCCTTATGCTCAACGCGATTGTTCCCCCCAGTATTTTGTCCACAGCAGCGGTCTTCGGGCCCCCCGGCTGGGCGCTAACACAACTGGACCACCTCTACAAACAATTTCTCTGACAATTGTCCAGCAATATCAAACCTGGAAGACACAACATCGCTCCAAGCCTACTTTACACTTTCCGGAAGGCAGGAGGAATTGGCTAGTTTCCGTCCCCGTCGCCGTTAATAAACAGTGAGTGAAACACGCGCTTCTGGCACTTACTTGGCCAGAGGATGTATTTCTCACAGCGTGAGTGTCCTGGAATACGCATGGTGCACGTAACACGAGCATCAGCCCGCATCGACCGAGCGTAAAACACATCGTATCACCGTCTTTCGGGCGTTATCCGGATTTGATCCATAAACTCGGCTGCACATTAAGGCCAGATATCGCGCAAACGGAGGTAATCCTAGCACGAGTACCGGAACATCTAACAAACCTTCGGACATCATTGACCAGTTAGTAAGAAGAAAATGACTGGATACTGCACCTCTCCTAGCCCTTCCCTGGCGGCCTCAGAGGGATGAGATTTGGCCCCAGGAGATTAAAGATTTTTGGCAGAAGTTTCAGTGGAGTAAAAATTCTTGGATTCTCTCGCCGCAGGCGCTAGAGCTGTCCCGATCCAAGTATAACACATTTCGAGATGTCTCCCTCAAACAACTCCATATCAAACGGACTGGCCTTCAAGAATACGTCTTCAGTGGCATTGGCACGGACGTCCACGCATCCCCCCACCATTCACATGCGAAACTTCGAGAATGGGCAAACATAGTCTTACTTTTGTCGCCGCCACTAGACGTGGGAAATCCGGTAGAGTGCCCAATCTCATTGCGGCTAAGACAACAGCCACCATACACACAAGCCATCTCGTGGGAGCTGGTCGGACCAGGCAAGGTTCGGGGTTTCTCTCTCTAAGTTGAATCTACTCACCATCAGGGTTGGGAGCTTACTCAATGCCACAATGGCATAATTTGGGTTACGGAGGCGATCCGCCACTAGTAAAAGGGAAATCGCAGGAACTCACCCAACTTGCGGAGTGCAAGCTCAGCCGACATGGAGTCGTCTTTTTTTCAACCTACAAAACCACCATTATCCGTGGTCCGCACCGCCTACGGTTCCCAATCATCGACTATTCACTTTCTTGAAAAAACAAGCTTTTCAGGCGACAAAGCGCTGTCTCGCAGTACCGCTGAAGTAGGTCATCGATCGGCTAGCCACCAAGAGCCAGACTACGCAATGGCAACGCACAGCTTCGGATGTCACGCCGGCTCAGCTATGGAATCATGGTCATGCGTAACGGAAACCCAGCTATGGACACACGATATCGACACGCCACCGGACAGCAAACTTTTGGTACCAAAACCGAACCCCCGGACAGATCATGCACATATTTGGAATGTAGGCCAAAACGAGACCCAGGAGCACCTCTTTTGGGGGTGTCTCCGTGCTCAAGCAATCTGGGCCCGGCTTATCAGTTATTGGGAGAGTACACCTCAACATCCTACCCACCTACTAGATTGGCTCGAGCACTGCGCAAACTGTAGCGTACCACGCATCTCGCCGCAAGTCACAGCAGAGCTGTTAGCCCGATACCCGGAAGACATAAATCAATTCACCACAGTCTGGAGGACGATTTGGGAGGTTGCAGTGACCATAATCATTACAATGCTCTGGCAACTTCGCTTGGAGCGTTTTTTTTACAATGCGACTATCCCGATGCAAACAGTAAAACAATGAAAAAGCTTTGATCTGGGGAAGGTATTAGCTCCAATAAGGGCGCTCATCAAATGTCTCCATTGCAGGGCGGACACAACCGTCCGTGGAGCCCAACTATCTGCATGTTACGACATATTTATATCAGAACCGAAAGGGCATTCCGACGTTCATAGACGTGCTGGCAGCCGTAGGCAATGCCTGGACCCTCCAGCGTTGCTAAAGTGGTTAACTACCTATAAGAGATCTTGCACTAACCAGTAAATAGAACAATAGGTTCTCTCTGTTAGTATGATTGCCGGTGTCGACTCACCTCTTTTATAAATCCAATCCAATTTTAATCGTATTTACTTTCGAGTCAACTCGACGGATTCTTCTAGTTTCGTGTTGCTCTGTCTGTGTCTGTAAGGACTTATAGTTTACTCGGTATATTTGAAACTGAAAATTTACGTAGGTCCTTAGTTCGCTACCCTGTGCTACCTCTAAGCCTACTCATCTAATTCCTTCTAGAAGCTTCGTAGTGACGGCATCTAATAACGCGAGACTGTGACGTCATCTAATGACGCCAAACTGTGGCTTCATCTAATGACGTCAGACTGTGGCGTCATGGCTTATCCACTATGTGCAACCCTAACACACGCTCTGTCGCACCGCACGTACCTTGCGACCTGACATCTCCCCGGACTTGACTTCGCGTTGGCGGTCTCGAAAGTTTTGTACTAGTCACTGCCAATGCGAAACGTGGCGGATAGCTTTCTCGCGTTACCAAGTACTATCACACTCCGGCAGGGCGTGCCATTTTACTAGCCATTCTTTTTGACGGCTGCGCTGACTACAACTAAGCAACCTTTTCACAATGTGAAGTTCCTTACCGGTATCTGCCTCTAGGATATCCGGTGATGTTTTTGGAATCGGTCGTCCAGCGAACTCAGAAACATTCGGCTTGTATGGAAAGAGTAAGTCGACGTTAAACGATGAGTGCAGTTTCTTCCAATTTCGTGGTAGCTTCAACTTCGCTACATTCGGGTTGATCATCTTGATTATCTCAAACGGTCCAACTTTTTTGGCCGCGAGCTTTGCTTTCTTTAACCCAATGTGAGCGTTGACTGTCCTTAACGGTAAATTTTTGGTATCCAGTAGAACTAAGTCATCGACATTAAAGGTGAGTTTTTTCTCTTTAGAGTCGTAGTACTTTTTCTGTCTATCTTGGGCTTGCTCTAGAGTTTTTGGTGCCTTACGCACTACGTCTTGACGATCTTTGGCGAACTTTGAAGCAAACTCTGAGATTGGTTGTGAGCCCAGACCATCGTATTCTTTGTATTCGTGAAATATCAAAGTGGAAACCTTTTTTCCGGTATTGATCTCAAATGGGGTGATCTTAGTGGACGCATTTATCGAGGTGGCGTGCGCGTACTCTACAGTACCAAGTAGCTTGACCCAATTTTCTCCACTGTAGGCTACCAAGCAGCGTAAAGCGTCCTCTAACACTAGGATTGGCGTTCTTTTTGTCCATCTGATTGCTCCCTATGAGCGGTCGTCATGCTTAGTTTAACACCCATTATGTTCATTAAAGATTTCCAGAAGTTTGCTGTGAACTTAGAATCCCGATCGCTGATTATTACCTTTGGCAGTCCATGATGTCGAACTACAGCGTCGAAAAACAACTTTGCGGTGTCTTTCGAATCGGCAGTCGTATACGTTGGTGCATAAATCGGTCTCTTTGACAACTTGTCTACGACGACGAAAATAGCATCATACCCTTCCGACACGGGTAGTCCAGTAATGAAGTCCATTGACACTACTTCCCAGCATTCCTCCGGAATGGGGATAGGAATAATTGATCCTTTCTTTCGCTGGCTGTTTGACTTCCATCGAGCGCATGTTCACATGTATCGACGTACTTCTGCACCGTCTCAAGCGTATGCGGCCAGTAGTACCATTGCTTCAACTTCAGGTAAGTTCTGCGAACTCCTGGATGTGCTGCGGTGGCTGCGTCGTGAAACTCATATAAATTCTTCGTCTTTAATTCCGGGGTGTCTGGAATGCATATTTGCTGCATTGCATCATCTTGCTTTAGATATAAGAGTCCTCTGTCAATTATGAACTTTTCATTTGACTGCTCGGTTTCTCAGATATTCTTGAAGAACTTGTCCTTGCGATATCCTTGCTGAATCGCTTTCCGCACTTTTTTGCTGATATGTGCGCGCACAACGTGAAACTCGGCGTTGTGGATTTTCTCCTGAGCGACTTCTATCGGACGACTCTCCCCCCTCATCTTCACATCGTCAAGTAAGAGTTGGGATACATCCAGCGGAATGTACTGAAGGGGGACAGAGTGCACCATGTGCTTGTCCAAAAGAGTAAAGGGAAGATTACACTCCTCTGTATACTCATGTACAACGTGCGACAGATCTGGAACATGGAACGTAGGCACCGTGAGCTCTTTGGAATGCTCGCCAGTCACAGGCGGACGAGATAAAGCGTCGGCCACGACATTTGATTGTCCTTTCACATGATGTAAGACAAAGTCAAACTGGGAAAAGAAAATCAGCATTCGAGCCATCTTGGGAGACACTTTTGGATGGTGGAGCATACTTGCACGCTGAATTGTCGGTGTAGACTGAAAAGTGTCTTCTATGGAGATACGGACGCCATTTTTCTAGAGCAGTATTGATGGCCAGCAGCTCTTTCTCGTGGGCTGGCCATTTCAATTCGTGTGGTCCCAGATGTTTCGAATAAAACGCAATGGCGTGGTCGTTGTCGTTGATACGTTGCGAAAGAACGCCACCCACGCAGAACCCAGAAGCATCCGTTGTTACGTTGAAAGAATGGGAAAATTACGGCAACTTCAGCGTCGGAGATTGCTGAAGTGCTAGGTTTAAAGCGTTAAAAGCTTTTTGTCGATTCTCCCCCAAGTCCATTGCGCATCCTTCTTGGTTAAATCGCGAAGAGGACGCGATATCCGTGCAAAATTGCAGATAAATCGCCGGTAATATCCCGCTAGAACCAAAAAACTCAGCAACTCCTTGCGACATGTCGGCGCTCGGAATGTCGCGATTGTAATGGTTTTTCTTGGGTCGACGCGCAGACCATATTTGGAAACCATATGCCCTAAAAATGCGATCTCCTGACGACCAAAAGCGCATTTGGAGAGACGAGCGTACAGCTTTTCCTTGCGCAACACGTCGCCTACTGCGCGAACGTGAATGAGATGAGCCTCCATTGTACGGGAAAAGATACAGATGTCGTCGCGATACACGACAACAAATTGTCCTAGCTTATCGAACAAAGTTCGCATAAGACGTGACCAGACTCCCGGCATACCTGATAAACCCATCGGTGCGACACACCATTGATACGTTTCTTTTTGGGTCCGAAAAGCCGTGTAGGGCCGACTCGACGGTAACACTACCATTTGATGGTACCCTGGTGCGAGATCGAGAAGCGTAAAATACGTGCATCCAACCATGCGGTCAAGTAGTTCTTCGATCAATGGCAGAGGAATTTTTGCCACGACGGACATGCTATTAACATAGCGGTAGTCAATTACCCATCGAATGAGGATCTTCGAATTGCCGCTTCGGAGCCATTTGGCGCGTTTGGGAAACTTTTCGGTTGCAGGATCTATCTTTGGAATCTTAAAGATATTTAAGACCCATGGAGAGTTTGATACTTCTATCCATCCTTTTCGTATATTCTCCTCAACGAATTGTTGCAGTGCGTCCTGCTCAACCTTCGAAAAACGGAAGGGAGCACGGAAGCTCGGAATTGCATCAGGCTTCATTTGCAACTCGAAGTTAACTGATCGCGTTGGAGGCATCTCGTTCGGGAGTTGTTCTGGAAAAACGTCGTTATACTCGTTCAAAAGTGGAATTAACTCCTGTGGTATTTCTGCTTGGTCGACGTTGGTTACCTTCAAGTGGTATATCTCATCATAAGCTCCACATTTCAATTTCTTTTGAAAGGTAGGAACATCCACGTCTTCGAACGTCGTGTGGGTAGCTACTTGGATCTGTTGCGTACGCCAATCGATTTGGGGGTTGTACTTGGTGAACCATGGTTGACCAAATATTAAGTCGTGCGTATCCGGTAGGTCCCATTCCGTGAACTGCATCCGTGGAAACTCCATACCTTCTATATAAATGGTGTCTTCCACTCTCTTCGTGGGATGACTCGGTGTCCACGTTCCATCGAAACGACGCGCTTGTACCTTCTGTTCGCTTAAAACTTTCGATGCCAGACCGGGTCTGATTAGATTTGTTGATGCACCAGAGTCGATCAAAATATTGACGGAGTTGCCTCCAATGACACCATCACGCACTAGAAGTCGACTCTGCGCTGGCATGTCCGATTGAACGCTGCTTGACACGATGTAAATAGGTTCTGCCACAGACTTCCGTCTGACCTCCACGGCATTGATCGTGACACGATCGTAAACAATGGATTCTTGGTCGTCCTCTTCGTCCTCACGGCTGTCCACATTGTTGACATGCTGACGATCTACATGCTGCCGATAGCTTCGACCTGAACGATTGTTTCCTCTATCATTTCGTGGTTGGCGATGATTACACTGTGCGGATCGGTGATTCTGACTACCGCACTTGAAGCACAAATTTTGGCGGCGACATTCGTCCCTAGACGGGATCTGCACGTTGCAAATGTCCATTGGCTCAGGACCATTGTTCGATCGATATCGACGACTGTTTTCGTACGACCTGTACCTTGTTTTATCGTGCGATATTCCTCGGGAATATCGCTGAGGATGAGAAGATGAAAGTCCAATGCCACAGTAATAGCTTCGGAAAGTGTTGTACAGCGACGGTACTGAACCTCCTCCCGCGTACGACCTGTAAGTCCACGTAGGAAGTACATAATTTGGTCCAACTCGCTCATTTTTCGGACTTGAGTGACTACGTGGCGAAATTTGCACACATAATCCGGAAGATCTTCGCAATCGCGCTCTCTCATACTGTTCATATCTTCGCGCAGACGTTCTTGCAAATCAGCAGGAACGAATTCTCTTTCGACTTTGCTAAAGATGTCGTCCACGTTTGTGACATACTGTTTTTGCATCATATACCACTGAGCGGCTCCTTGCTTTAGTGTCCCACCTACGACGGCGAGTATTCTTTGAAAATTTTCCTGACTCTTCCAGTTCACTCCTCTTGCAAAGAAGTACTGCTCCACTCGCTCCTTGTAGAGTTGGAATGATTCATTCAATCTACCTCCATACGTTGGAAGCTTCACACCCTCTAACTTAATTTTTGATAGCTGTTTCGACCTTTGGGATTGCTCGAGTAACAGCGCTTGTTTTTCCATAGTCGCAACCATAGTGTGCAACAACTGTGCATGCTGATCGGAGGTCATCGGGGTGGACATTATGGAACTAATGCAGTACTAACTGATATTAACGATTTAGTTAATGTAAGTGGTTAATTGTGGGTTTTTTTAGGCTCTTGGGTGCTTCTCTTGACAACCTTAGGTCCGGGTTTCGAAGACTTTGTTGACTTGGCGGTCGGTTGTTGGCGAGCGATTACGATTTTGTACCCCGGCGGCCCAGAATAAGAACACGGACGGTGCTTTTGTGCTTAGCGATCTCGCGTGAGATGCGCAGGCTTACAGTGCTCTCGAAGCTGAGCAAGTCACTGGCGTGCCCGAGTAGGCGAGCCTTTATGTGTTTGCGCGAGTCGGCGCGTTGAACCCTGTCCAGGTGTTTCTCGAAGCGGCAAAGAATGCGGCTGGTGCGGCGGATCGATTCCAGCAGATCCTCACAGCACTTGTCAGCTGCGTCTGGCTCCTTCACGGACAGCTGGGCCAGCGAGTCGTTGATGTAGAGTTTCGTGGGTTGCTTGCGCTGGTGACGGGTCATGAACCGAAGTACTGACCTCCTGTTAACCAAACTGACTTATTACCGGAACGAGACAATTTACAGCCAATAAAGACTTCGATCTCGATAACGATGGCAGTAGTAATGGCCCAGTAGGATTTACAGCCAATGAAAAGGAGTCCCTGCCCTCAACAAGATTGGAACTTACGAATGGGCTCTCCTAATCACTGCTCTTGAGCGGCGACGGCGTAGCTCAAAGGATGGCGAGCACGCCTAGAACGGCGGTGCTGAAGACGGCGGTGCTGCAGGGACGGCGAGCACGACAAGCACGGCGGGGACGGCGGTAACGGCGGGGACGAGGACCAACAAGTGCTACCAGATGTAAGGACTTATGGTTTACTCGGTATATTCGAAACTGAAAATTTACGTAGGTCCTTAGTTCGCTACCCTGTGCTACCTCTAAGCCTACTCATCTAATTCCTTCTAGAAGCTTCGTAGTGACGTCATTTAATGACGCCAGACTGTGGCGTCATGGCCTATCCACTATGTGCAACACTAACACACGCTCTGTCGCACCGCACGTACCTTGCGACCTGACAGTGTCGGTCCAAAAAACAAAGTCAATCACATTGAAATTCATTAACTTCTCTGCGATGGGTCAGCGGCATCAGTCGCTGTCGTATCAAAAGGACGAAATGATGTACTAGCATGGCTATCGCTTACTGGCGCACTGTCACATTCAAAACGTACTGGTGTACGCTTCTTCTAGCTCATCACTGTTTGTAGCCGTGCAAGCGATGGCATGCCCACTAGCAGTCAATCTTGTTGTCGGTCATTAAGATGATACAAGACCTTTGCAACTCTGATTTAAAGCTATCTTCATCTATGTTTTAAGCATTCCTGACTACAAAACGAAGAGGTTATGAGCCTAGCCTCACGACTCAGGAATCAAGGTGGAGCCTATCGACGGCGACTACTATGCGCTATGGAGCTACAAGATGAAGATGTACCTGATTTTTTAATGGATGTAAAGCGATTACCAGTGAAGCACAAGTCTCGTACACCAAGGCGCAGCAGCGCATTTCTTGACCTTAGCAACTCATACCTAATGCACGTCATCACGACTTCAAGCGCGAGGAAGGAATGGTTTATGCTCGAGATTTTTAATTGGATTCAAAACATGACGAATTGACTATGACGTAAGGAAAAGTTGCGTCGTTTTGTTCACAGCTTTCACCACGTGTAGAGTCAGCAGGGGTCAAGTGCTCAATATTTTCAAGCGACTAGCCTTCGACGATTTTCCCCTTGCTGTGTAGGCTTCCGTCAACTCCTTACATTTCAATCTTGCGCAGGCGGAGTGATCCTGATCGCGTTGATCACAAACGCAAATTGCGCCGGCCAACCTACAGTAGCAAACGCAGGCAGAAAATCGACCGTCCGTTTCATTTAGTAAACGTATAAAAACAAAAGATAGCTACAATGTTTCGAAACATGTAGAGCTAAGTCAAAACAGAGCAATTTTTTTCAAATCCTCACCACGTGTAGATTCCACAGATAAGTCCCTCTAGAGGCTTAATTGTACCTGTGTCAACACCTCACCTTGAAGCAGAACGTGGAGTGCACCATCCTTGTTTCGCACTACTAAGTATGGGCCGATATACTTGATTCTAAGCTTGCATGAGTTCGAGGCGTCAGTACGGGTCGTGTCGAGATTCTAGTGCTCAGGTCATCTGATCGGCGAGATTGCTCTTCCTCGGTCGTTCACGTCCACCATGCGAGCTTCAGGGTCTTCTAAAGTATCTTGACACGAAGTCATGGATTTTTGAAAACCTGATGCGTTGCCGTCGACTCCTGCGTAGTCCGCCAGCTCGATGCTGCAACGGAGGCTCCGTTGCCGAACGCGATAATGCTGCTTGTTTGTACAAAAATATTTAAGTGGATGTTACCTCCGATCGTGTCCACTGCGTGATGATGTATGCCCAAGACCTAGATGCACCGTCGTAGTCCTCAAAGATATGTAGAAGTCCTCCGTGTTGCCCGGCGCAGGCCAGATCTCTTGCATGACGAGTCTATCTTGCGTCCCGAGAAGTACAGATTCAACTGCTGGGAAGCTACTCTGTAGCAAACCCAGACCTTATTATTTCGTGATATTGTATCCGTGTTCCCAGAGATGTGCCGGTGACTGCGACATCGAGAGTGGTTGCCGTCCTGTGAGCCGTCTCGACGTTGTAGCCTGGTGATTACCGCCGTAAGCACAGGATGTAACTTTTGTTTGGTGCGATGAAACGGTTGGCGTTGTAGCACCTCGAAAGCATGAATGTTGTTGATGGAGGGTGGGAGGCTTTAAGGAACCCATGTAGCTGCGGATGCGCCGTGAATACAAGCGCCGTGTTCCGTGTTCGCTGTTGTATATTCATCAGCTCCTGTTGATCAGTTTCGGGCACATCTGTCAAAGTGATTGATGATCCAAGCGGTTACATCATATCTCGTCCCAAGCTTCAATAAAATTAGCTATAAGCAACCCACTTATTGATCTGCTTCATGCTGGAAATTGCCAAAGCAAAATCCTTAGCGACATCCTCTGCGACGCTCTCTGCGACATCCTCTGCGACGCTCTCTGCGACATCCTCTGCGACATCCTCTGCGACGCTCTCTGCGACATCCTATGCGACAACCTCTACGACAACCTCTGCGACATCAGCCGCGTAGCGTCGTATATAAGCGTGTCTCGGATGACAAATTTCGGATAGTGGTGGTAATTCATCAATAATCGACGCTTCGGGTACTTGAAATTCTAAACACCTCGAGATCAGCTGGTTTTGTGTTGAAGGAAGCTTGTAGCTCGCACGAATCATCGCACATTGAGCAAACATACGTCCGGCATACAGTGAGAAATAAGATCCGTAAGCCATACAACCAAGATGATTGGCAGGAACACTATATTTTTGAATACTAAGAGAATGTTGTTTTCTACCAATAGGAGCACGAAATTCATGCGGACTAGTATTGTTGTTGCTTCAATTTTTGACTCGGAGCAGCCTTTCTGACAACCCCTCTCATCTGGTGATGAATACATCCAGTTTGTACTCAAATAAGCAAAAAAGACTCTTACCTTTTATGTGGAGGAACCATGTGCAGGAATGATCTAAGCTCGATAGCAGCTCACTTTGTGTTTTACTTCGCGTCAATCAAGTCACTTCCACGCGCACACACCAAACAATGCGCATCTTCGCTCTTCCAGTCATACTTCTTGCCAGTCTCGTAGTGGGCGCTGATGCTGCATGCACCAAGCCCCCAGCCGGAGCAATCATTGTGGATCAATCCGGCGCCCATAGCGGTTACCGTACCATTAAGGACGCCGTAGGCAAACTGAATGTTGACACGACAGTGCAGCAAACTATCTTCATCTACAAGGGCACGTACCAAGAACAAGTCGTCATCTCGAAGCTGAAGAGCACACTAGTGCTGCAAGGATACACATGCGATAAGATGTCGTACGATAAGAATGAAGTCACGATCACCCACAAAATGTCGCAGCAGGACATTACTCCTCACCCGGGTGTGGATTCAAACGATCTTGTCAGTACGCTCAGAATCGGCACCGACAACGTGCAGGTGTACAACCTCAATTTCGTGAATACGGCCCAAAATGGCCAGGCTCCGGCCCTGAGCGTCGCATGCAAGCAATGCGCTTTCTACGTCTGCAGCGTCACCGGGTACCAGGATACCTTGTTCGCCAACAGGGGTTATCAATTCTATAGTCGGTCGCACGTGGTGGGTACGGTCGACTTCATCTTCGGCAATGCTCGAGCTTGGTTTGAAACGTGCGACATTGAGTCTGTCGGTCCCGGATATATCACTGCCAACGGCCGAGGCTCCGAAGACGACAATTCCTACTTTGTATTAAACAAGGCGCGTGTGTCTAGCTTATCACCCGGAAAGGTCTACCTCGGTCGCCCTTGGAGAGCGTTCGCACGCGTGGTATTCCAACAGTGCGATCTTGGCGGAAACATCAACGCGGCCGGCTGGACCTTAATGAGCAAGGGCATGGCCACGTCCAACGTATTTTTAAAAGAATACAAAAACACTGGTCATAGTTCAGCCATCGATGGTCGGGTGCCCTATAGTGGACATTTGGACGGTCCTATCGCTATCAGCACTATTCTTGGTGAGGACTTTCAAACGTTTGTCAACAAAGATTATTTGTAGAATGCCTCTTAAGTACAAAGTGTCTAGCCGCATCTCTTACAAATAACAAAACAAATTGTTCTCAAGCTGTTAGTTTTCGTTTGCTTAAGCACTACGACCCCAACTCTAAAATAGTTATTCTCGCTGGCATGGCTCAGAAGTCGGAGGTTCGTCGGTACTACCGCGTGCTCGCATTTGACGCACGTTTGATCCGCTGCGCTAAACTGTACTTTTCTGTCCTATTGGTGACTTCGAATACGAGTCTCACTTCTGATGCCAATCACGAACAACGAAATTTGCCAAAGGTATAATGCTTGTTAGACGGAGTCATTACTGCGCTTTAACCAAAACTGAATCAACGCCTTGGTTAAAGGATATGAATTTGGAACGTCCTACGTCTGTCGTTGCCAGACAAAACAGCCTCGATTCTAAAGATGAAAGGAATGTAATGATGATGAAAGCCCAGCTAAAAAATAAGCTTCGCGGAGGTATAATAGACGCTCTTCATGTGGCTGCTGTGTATAAACAACAGGAGCTGATGAAGGCAGCGATCGGATTTTTTCTCGTTGTGTTTAAATTGCTGCAAGACAGCGAGATGTTGCAGTTTTTTGCAGGAGATTACCCAGCTTAGGTTGGTCACACAGCAGTCAAGACACTTCAGCCGTAAGAGCCTTGTCCTGGTCTGGCCTTGTCGCTATTTACTATTGCTACTAACAGTATGATAGTCATGACAAGCGCACGTCTATTAAACACCTCATTACTTTGCTTTAAAAAGACAACGGCGTGCACGTGGTAGGCGTCAACTTACCCAGCTTTGCAGTACACGACCAGCTACTACAGACACATTGGTGTGTTCCTGTTTGTGCAACTCACGTACAAGGTCATGCAGAACGTGCTGAGAAATACTCCAACAACATGTAAGCGCTGGGCCAGCATTTATTAAAAAAATTGGTGCGTGTACACGAATCACAACGATTCTGTCAAAGGACTTGAACTTGACGCAGGGGCCGGACATCGATCACATGACGCTGTAACTCGATCAGCCTGCGTAAACAATTCAAAACATTACGTCTTGGTCGGAAGCGAGGCAAATTTTTGCCGGCTGTGACGACGCAAGCACTTCGTACCGCAGTATATGAACGCAAACTTGGTAAAATATTCGCCCTCAATAGGCTCAAAGAAGTTGCTGCAGATCGAGCACTTCTGATAATTCTTCGGAATTGGCGGTTCTTCCGGAGAAACATACCAAGCCAACAGGTCCACGACGTTAGTGCGCACGATCTGGTTCCATTGAGTTGCAGTAACTCCTTCACGCAGAATACGATGTTTAAAATGCTCAAATAAATACGCGTACCCTCCACCTCCATAGCAACGATACTGCGTTCGTTGGTACACATTGGTCGACAAAAGCATTTGAAAAAGGTACTGCGGTTTGTGCCTTAACAGCTTTACAATCCGCTCCACCAGGCGACTCTCGGAAGCCGGCTCTTCAGTTTCGCTCTCTAAAAGCTTACCAGAACTCAGCATTGTTCGTGTAAAGTTCGGGTTGATCACCATTATCTCGCTGACAGCCAACAGACCAACCATGTCGAATAGCACTGAAACGCCCAAATCGAATAGCTCCAACAGAAACGCATAGCCAGTCTCTTCAAAACGTCCATGACACCAGCGGTCCGCGTGACATACCACAAGCTTCTTCCTCTCTGCTCCAGCATCCAACAGTGCACGAATCCAAGCTCGTACCACGTGATCCAGTCCAGATATCTCTTCGTGTAGCTTTCTACAGGATTCGTCGAAAGTAATCGACAGATACAGAGGACAATGCGTTCTCGCTTGAGTCTGGCAAACAAGTTATATACCACCGTCAAAACAAAGTTAGTCATGCTCCGACCTTCATTTATTCCAAAACACCTACCAATGCTAGACCCTGCACAAGAATCAGCTCTTTAGGACTAAGTGCTTTACTATTTGCATGAACCTGCTGGTACATCGCCCCAGGAAACGCTACGACTCCCCCTCTATCCATGCCAAACATCAGCTCTGTCTCCAATATCTTATGAATGCGGTCACTTGTCTCTGTTGGCGACAATCCAATACAAAAATCGTCGTCGATCTTTTCCAACTCGAATGTTGTAACAGTCACTAAATTCAGACCTTTCAGTCTCTCAGCCAGATGCAGTCGTTCTTTAACCAATACATCACGCCCATCGATAGGCAACGTCACATCTACAATCAAAGACTTTCGTTTATTGTCTTTCAATTGCTGTAACTTTTCAAGTTCTCGAAAAGCTTCGTCCTCATTCTGAAGCAGCAGGTTACGACCTCCATGAGCAAAAGGAGCTCGACGATAGTCAATCAGGTCTTCGAACCGAATCTTCAGGTCTCTATTAGTTTTACTCGATGACACAATTGATCCGATATTATGTAGTATCTGTTCGTGGGGGAGGCTTATTCCCACGTCTTCAGGGGATACAAGCTCACAAATACTGCGGATCATGCTTGGCTTTAGTGCCGTTTAAGTTCGTATATAATAAACCCTAGAGTGTCTTGATGGCAGTAAAGTTTATTCAGACGGTCATAGGACACGTAAAGAACGGAGAACTTCAGAGAGAAAAAACACTGTTCTATACGGCATGATGCTTGCATTCAGTACGTGCGCGTTTTTGCCTTGCAGTGCAAATTGAACTCAGATTTCGACGTCGTCGGGCGCTGAAAATATCGCTGGCAAATGACCAAGCAAAACTCTTTAGCGCTCGAGTCATGCTGACAACGTATGTAGAGGTGACGAAACACTATTCCCTTCCACGCAAAGCGACTCGTTACTGCCATAACTTCCAGTCTGTCGTCAAAGACTACTTTGTGACGCAGCTTGACGACATCCTAGCCGCTCGCAGATCTCATCATGAAGCTACTTTACTCGCACATCCGCAGGGTTTAACATATTAGCTTACGTTTAATTCACTCAACGGCTACGAGCACCGTTATAAATGCGGCTAAGAATCCCTTCACATAAATACCGATCTGATTCGCATGGCATGCCGCCGACGACGTTAACGACCTACATACTCAACAGGTCCACTGGCTGCTTTGACTGCTGACCCTTCTCTTCCTTTTTTACGAAACCTGTGTGCGTGGTAGAGTGAAACGGATCCAATCCTTCACACCCACCATTCTCAGAAGTATTCACATGCATCACCACGTCCGAAAAGTCAATCAGGTTGGCCTCTTGCACGTCAGGTCCTTCCGGTATTTCCAGCACGGGTTGAAGCGGCTGCTTCATCGGCACAAGCTGAGGCGCATGTTCACGCTCGGACTCAGGTTCTTCATGAGTCTCCTTGACAGAAACGGCGTACATTCCATGGACCAAGTCATCTAGTCCCTGCGAGACCGGGGATACCTGTTCAAACTTCTGCAATGGCCGGTTAGCCAGCGAATCCTTACGATCCATAATGGGTTTCTCCCACTGCGTGTTGCCCGTTCCTTCGTGACGGAAATACACGGCGCTTCGCGAACGGGAAAACACGGGGTACCATCCTGACTCAAGCACAAAGTTGGTCTCGCTGATATCGTTCCAAGCGCTCCCATCAATGAAAAAGTCATATATTTTGTGTTCATCCACTAGGGTCACGACAAGGTCCAGCTCGTGTTGGTCCTCCAGATCGTACTCAAACTCCCACGTATCTCCTTGAATATCGTCAAAATCAATGCGTTCAAGTTCGCGACAGTCCAAAACGACTACAAACTCGCCCTTTTCCAAATCCCTCAATTCCAGCTTATGAACACTGCCATTCAAACCAAATGCAAACGTCCACGTCAATAGCGTGCCCGGTGGACGTTCACCACCATCACTTAATAACTCACCACGCGATTCCTCCACACGTCGCACATACATGTCGCTGCTCCAAACTGAGACTGCCGGGTGTCGAAAAGCAACAGGTATACATCTTTCCGCCAGCTGGTCCCAATTCACACCATCTGCAACCAAATCATAGATAGTCTCAAGTCTTCCTTCGTCCACAACAGATGTTTTCAAGTCTCGAATAATCATGCGACATGGCGTCGAAGGATCTACTCCTACATGAAAATCGTAATGCCAATTCGTCGCGTATTGCTCCGTCGTGAACAACTGATGACCGTCTAGCTTCAGCCGTTTCTTGGCCGAAATACGACTATGCTCTAGCATCAACGTGTGCACTTGCTCCGATCCTGCAAGCACAAAGCGCCATGTGATACGCTTCTTCGACATGGCTACACGTGCTCCAATATTTTCCACCTCTTTTGAGACACGAAGGACCGAGCTGCTGTTACTACCATCATTTCCACTAGCAGATGAAATAGTGGAATCCATACTACCACGTGCACGTCGAGGTTTAGCCAAATACATGAGATGGTCACTGCCGCTACTACCGCGAGTCCGGAGTGTTGGTGACGAGAATGTCATGATCTCCACACACTGAATACCCTGATTATGTAAGAATTGGAAAAAGACTGATTCTTTCTTGTGTATGCGACGTGAAATTTCTTCTCAATAAAATAGTAAAAAATTAATATATTGACCCATGAGAATAATATAAATTAAGAAAGGCATGGCTACATGGAGGGGGTTTAGAGTTTTGCAATGAATCTTACCGTTTCATTCATACCATTTGTTCGTGTACATACAATCAATAATACGCCGAAACTGATCAAGACGGTAGTTTCAGGCTTACTGAAATGCGACAGAAAACACATACGCACAGACAGCATATCAGATGGCTTTTTTTGTCGAATCGCTTGCGTAAGCAACTTTGAATTAAAATGGACTACGTCAATGTTTGTAACAGAAGGTTCTGGTCGTTTTTCTTTCACCCTTCGTCACGCATGTGAAGCCTCACAGCAAAAGAATCAAGCCATTGGCAACTACAACCATGCGGGAGAGACATCTGAACTATTTCGATGAGAAAAAAATCATGTGATGTAAAGGATGCAAACGCAAGGTTTTAAAAGTCACTGCTCTGCTGGGCTTGCACTCGAGCTTCAGTTTTGTTTATCTCACTCCAGGTACAAGCACTTATTTTCATTTCGACACAATGGTTCGGTCTTCATCTTTGAGTAATGAATATGAATTAGAGACGACCACATGCTATTATCCTCCAGACAACATGGGTCCGTCTTACCTCTCTTCGTCTCTAAATCAACGAGCTACCACTAAAACGAAACAGTCGTCAAAGTTACTGAAATTTATCGTTCCAATTTTCTGCGGAGTAGTGGTGATCATTATCATTGTGGTGATCGCTTTGCATGCTAAATCAAGCGACGGCTCTTCAACCTCTGGTGAGGGTGATGGGAACGCCGCTTCATCTTTGTCTTCCACTCTATCATCGTCCTGCGCTCGTGTCGACCTAAAGGACCGAACTGTGGCGTTCTGGCAAAGTGAAATTGCTGGATGTGATACCGTTCCGGAAGGGGTTACGCACTTTGTCTTTGGTTTTGCACTTGTTATGGAAGGTATCATCGTGCCTACTTTCCAGTCTTTTTCCGACGACGTTATCGTTCAATGTGTGGAGAAACTCCGAGAACGATGTATTTTTTCGTTGGCAAGTGTTGGTGGATCGACCAATAACGAAAACATAACGGAAATTGCAAACGCGACTTTGTTTGCAGAATCTGCAGTGGCTTTACTGACCAAGTTCAGGTTTGATGGATTGGACTTAGATGACGAGACAGTCGGAGCACAATTCAGCGCGGACCGAACGGTCGGATTGCTGAAAGCTACACGTGAAGCGTTGGATGCAGCTGGTAACACGTCGGCGTTGCTGACCTATGACGCTTATTTCACTGAAGGAGACACGTCGGTATGCACCGCAGCGGAGTCAGCAGCATACTCGAGGTGCTTTCCGACTGAAGTTCTCGAATATGTGGATTGGGTCAACATCATGGCATACAACATTGACAAGGATAATGACACTGCTGCGGCCATTTATGCTGCAGCTGTGAACACTACTTTTGCTGCGTGGGGTACTCAACTAGGCGGAAATTTTTCATTAGCTACAATCGGTTTATGTGTAGAGGGAGGGTGTGCTTATGGTCCTGGACCGAATGCTACCGTGATTGCTGAATGGAAAGAATTTGCTCGTCAAGACGGGCATGGAGGCATGATGATTTACGCTGCATCGACGGAGGTGGCCGAGGATTTTCCAGTTACTAGAAGTATCATCAGTACGACGTAAGGTTTGAGTCGGATAACTACATGGAAAAAATAATATTTGAATGATCAGCATCTTGGATGACAAAAACATTCGATAGATATGCTGTCTCATTAATATGTTGCTTACTAGCAATAGTTCTGCGCGGAGGCAAAATAATGGATCCGGCACTGTCTCACCCGTACTAAAAAACCACACCAGTAACATCAAATTCTTCCATAGACTCGTCATCCTGCTAGAGGTTTGTCGTCGCGGCACTAAAATATCAGCGTTTCCTTGACGAGGTCTGCTTGATCATATTAAAGACCAAAATTGCTTGTGATGTTGTAAAGAGAAAGTATGGCCGATGGGCATCCAATCCCAGCTTTTTGTTAACCTTCGAAAAAGAAAATCTTCCCATGCAGAAAAACTACACCAAATTCACCATCCTGAAAATAACGCAAAATCAAAAATCTCTCTTCCTCGCCGTCGACCAAGTTTCGTCCTCATCTGTCGCATTTCTTAACACCTCAATTTTTGCTGCAGTTGCACTTGATATTGTTTCAACTCGGATCTTCCTTTCTCTGTGGCTGTTACATATGGTGTCCATTAGTAACCTGGCCATCTTTCGCCCAGTATGTGGTAGTAGGCGGTCCAGTATGTGAATATACATATTGTAGTCATCTCAATTACACAGAGTCACTGACGTGCCTGTGCATACACAACCCCCCTTCACCAATTGAGTGTCTCGGGCAGATATTTCTTGACAAGTTGCAAGTAATACTGAAGTTCAACACCGACGTCGATGTTCTCTACAGTACTCTCTGATACACAAACCACCCTACCGAGTGAGCTAATCCATTCCTTAGTGTCCACATCGTGAGGCACGCACAAGTCGCCGTAGTTGTCCTGCTCGTACCAAGTTTTGAGCGACCAAAAGCGGATGACGTCCAAAGCTTCTGCAGGTAGCGTGGTCTTGTTTAGAGACAACACGCAATGTAAATATTCATCTGGAGTCCACGGCAACATGACGTTCTCCAAACCACAATGAGCAGCAACGCTACGTCCACCATTTGCAGCATTACAGTGGTCCACATTGAGCTTGTTCAGCTCTGGGAACTCGATCGTGTTCGGGATAGCCTCACCAACAACCCACGTCGAATTCTTGGTCAGCCACTCTTGTGCTGATATACTACGCAGCGCAGCATTGTCGTCGTCTGTCCAGCACAAGAACAACATTCCTAAAGCACGAAGAAAAATAACCAACTGCAGCCAGTCTGGATGTCCATCTTTCTTCACTGCAGCTGCCGTAGCTAGCATGTACTGGATCACCCAACTCTTCTCCTGATCTGAATCACCTGTTAGTTCCATCACACACTTGCAAGCTTCTAGAACTGACATTTGTGCATGTTGCAAGTTTCCGTACTTGGCTATTTGGTTTTTCACGAACGCAGTTGTTTGATATTTCCGCATAATTTTGTCGAAAAGCGAATGAGCGTCTGTCTTATTGCAGACCAACGACATGATGTCATCACCATCCCAAGGCACGGGACGGTCAGATACCTCAACTCGCTTTGCCAATGGATCAATGCACAAATAACTTCCATGGAAGCTACGAAGTGCCACACCTTTAGCAATTGCAGCAACATTATCATCATGTTGTGGCACGACATGGAACGTCTCCCATGTCGAGTTCACCGGTCGATCGGCCAAAATTGTACCGTCTTCTTCGACACACAAAAATTTACCATATACACTACGGAGAAAAATTTCTCCCATGGCACCAAGTAATAGTTGCCACATGCAACCATTATTCTTCGAGCTCAGACTCAAACCTCCATCCTCTCGAGCCACGAGACAAGTACCATCTGGAGTCTGTAGGGACATCATGAAAAACCAAGTGCTTTCTTTTGGTCGGATGGGAAAAAAAGTGTTGTTTTGGAAAACTGATACCATTGGCACCTTTCGAAGACAGTCGCTGCCGTTATAAAGGAATAGAGTGGTTCCCGCAGGCAGTTCTGAAAACCCCCAACCTTGATAAAGTCCTACGAGTTTGCCAAAACGATCAGAGTCCTCTTCAGCCTCTAAATAGAGTGCACGCACTTGTTTTTCCTCTAAAGTAGCAAGTGTTGCCAGATAAAGCACACGGGCTAAACCCAAGCCACGGAACGCCGGATTCACCGCCACAGACTTGACATGAGCCGTTCCATTCTTCTCTATAGTGAAAATGAGTTTTCCCACGGCGCCACGCTGTGTCGCTAATTGGCCAATAGAAATAGAAATAAAGTTAGAAATCCCTATTCGAGGTGGTAAGAGTGTTGATAGTACGTTGTGTAACATACAAGCAAAAAGCACCCAACGCAGCTCTTTTGTGCGGCGATCGTCGGTAAACTGCAGTCGAAAGCGAGCAATAGGGACAGTAAACACCTCCGTGACGGACACGTTAGCGCCCAAAGGTGGTACAATCAGAGTCTTCATCGTGTTTCTAAATGAGGAATGATTGCGAATAGAAAAACGTAGGACTTGGGTTGAAGATAAAGAACTCGACGTATACTTTTGTTCTTTCTTTGTAGTCAAAAGACGTAAAAAGCCAGCAATTATCTTCCCAACCTTTAAGCATCAAGTGGTCGTACGAAATCTTTACGCGCGCACGTGAGCGACTCAACCACCAGACAAAGACGGCCAAGACTACACAAATGGCCATCAACACTGTCTAAAGCACAATGGAAATCGTTGAAAAAGTTTCAGGCGATAGCACAGATTTCATCTCGTGCCACATGTTCCTCAATATTCCATGCGACGGTAGACATAAATCACTTCTGTAAAGCTGCTGCTGCTGTTATTTGTATAATTGACACTCTCGCCTCTGCTCACGATATTCAATATTCAAAGCACTGTCAAATGAGTATAAGGTCATGTGCAAGGATTTTACATGTAAGTTAGACTTGTGGGTCGTTATTATACTGTATCAGCCAAACTAAAGGGTGAAAGCCTATTTCGTCTAGCACATGGATGGATGTCTTAAGAAACCCAACATCAAGAACAATGAGCTTCTTATTCAAGTAAAGTGTTCAAAGCCTTTTGGTATCGTAACGAAGCAGATCCAGCTTTACGCGCAGTATCACTAAGAAATCAATCGAATCTGACCATACATGCGTAATCCACGACACGGACGGTACGTTACAGATTGGGATCGAAGTTCATGTTGCGAGCGATGTTACGTAGCGTAAAGACAATCTCCAGAGCGTTCGGTCGCTGGCTCGGTTCGAAACTGGAGCAGGCCGCTGTGAGCTGCTGCAGCGATCTTGGACAGTTGTCTCGAAGCTGAGGCGAAACCTCACCCGAAGTGGCCAGATGCATGAGTTGCATTGTGGTCATGCGTCGCTCACTCACCTCCGTATTGAGCGCGAAGGGTGGGAGACACGTATCCAGCTCGGACAACACGATAGCGTATGAGTATACGTCCGCCTTCTCGCTGTAAGCCTCACCGCGTAGGATCTCGGGTGCTGTCCAGAGCAACGTGCCCACGCCATTAGTCATTGTATCATCCGAAGAACGCTCGCGACTGAGGCCAAAGTCGCTCAACTTGGCACGCAAGTGGTTGTCAAGCAACACATTCAGCGATTTGAGGTCACGATGGATGATAATGGGCTGTCGGCCATGCAGATATGCCAGTGCATCCGCTATATCGGTGGCAATTTCAAGCTTCTCCTTGTGCCACGTAAGATCGTCCTTGCGGTTAGAATTCAACAACATCGACAGATCTCCCTGCTCCATGAACTCAGAGACGATGCAAAGGTCGCATACGCGGTTCCAAGAGAGACCTATGAATTGGACGATATTAGGATGCTCGAGTGCTGAAGCAAGACGGACTTCGTTCGAAAACAGCATGACGTTGCCCTCGTCGTGACGTTTTTCCGGCAACAACTGCTTGATAGCCACAATTTGCGAGCCGCAAGTACCTCTCCAAACCTCCCCATTGGCTCCACGTGCAATCAGTTTGTCGAAACTGAGGCTATCGTAGCTGATGCGTTTTGCTGTGATTTTTGCGTCGATACAGAAAATTGCCAACTCCATCGATCGCCGCATATTTATCGAGTTCCTCGGGCTACTCATTCTAGTGGCATTGCGTTTATACCGCGTTGTAGATGTCACGCTTTCGTAGATCGTGGGAGACGGCGCGACATCCACCACATCTCTCTTCTTTCGCACTGTCAAGATGACACCAATTGTGATTCCGAGGAGAATAAACAGCACCACAAGAACGATGGTCGTTCCAGAGATGCTTGTGGTAGCTTCATTGTTTGTAGTCGCCACATCAGAAGAGGTTCGTTGTGCTGCCAGAGGACATCGACTCACCTGAAATCTCACTGTCAAGCCACAGGTCGACAAATCCACCGCGGATAGGTAGACACCAACTCTCCGCCTCAGCATTGTGGAACTGCACGCAGGGGGCAACAAAGAACGGCTCTATCGGGCAGTTCTCTATGGTGCTCGGTAGTGGTGCAATCTGGTGAATGGTAAAGAGAACGTCAGCATCAATGGTAGAATCATCCATTGATCCGAATCCTAAGACATTTTCAATGCCATCCGAGCCCGAGCTCTCGTGAAGCACATGCTTAAACAGTTGAATGTCCGGAACAAGCGTGAAATCACCATCTTCAGACCAGAGCGTCGTCGATCCTGCGTCTCTAATATCGGTTGCATTCTTCTCCATAGCTGCAATTCCACATTGTGCAGCCTTCCACACAGTCGACCACGAACACGCTGGATCTGCATAGTAAAGCCCTGTCGACACGCAAGTCTCCAATGGACAATCCTTGCCTCGGAACGCTTCAAACGTCGTCAAAACCACTGACATGGATTCTTCACAAGGTGTATAAACTTGTACAAGTCGACCGCTACTTGTCATAACGAGTCCCGTGTCCCATAATAATGCCCGTTGTAGATATCCCGACAGTGCATTCCACTTGATTGATTTCTCTGCTAGTCGCTTTAATAACGAATCAGGGACGTTCGACAGCACAATTTGTGCAATATCTGAGCTTGTACTATTCAAATGAAGTTGCTGAACAACATGAAGCCTAGCCGCAACGTCAAGAGTAGCGTCCACATAGCACGACTGCTGGTATAACGTCACTAGCAGGAATAAAGTCCAAAATGTAGCACGTAGAGCTTGCTGTTGGCAATGAGATGGCATCCGCTGTGACAATATAATTTATTCAAGTGAGTTGTGCGCAGTTAGACACAGCACGGACGGGTAGAGCTCCGCACACATGAGGCAAGAAGAGGACAGACTAACACCGCAACCTTTCGCGTTTTTGGTGTGAAATTGAAGTAGACTACATCATGTGTACATCGTTTTGGTCACACACACACACCATTATAATCGACTGGCTCACAGTCAATCGATCTAAGATATGGGACCTACAACGTTCGAGCAGAAGCTGGCGCATCTAAAGCGTGAAGCGGAGCACTATGCCGACTATTTGAGTGACGAAGAAGCAGAGGATGAAGTGACAATTAAAGCCAATGAGGAAGAGGATTTCTGCAACGACTTCAGTATGGCCGTCGTAGTGGGCGGGTTACCCGTTGTTGACGAATCTAAGCATGGCAAGCTGCTGAATGTAGTGAAGAAGATTTTTGGACAAGTGGGTGCTGTGGTGGACATTCACATGCCCTTTGATGATAGCGGCAAAACCACTGGTTTTGCTTTCGTTGAGTACGAGCAGGAGGCGCACGCGAAAGACGCCGTGCGCACGATCAACAACTTTGCGCTAGACAAACGCCATACGATGATCGTAAACAAGTACGAGGACATTGAACGGTATGAGAAGACAACTACCGAGTTTGTGGCTCCTAATGTGGAGAAATTGGTAGAGCCCAAGAATCTGCAGACGTGGCTCATGGATCCTGCACGTCGTGACATGTTCGTGCTGCGTCACGGCTCAGAGACAGAAATCTTTTGGAGTGATAAAGGTGAGATTGAATTCGTTTATGCTGGAGACCGTGAAAAAACAAACGGCAAACAGTGGTGTTCGCAGTACGTGCTGTGGTCCCCTCAGGGCACATACCTGGCCACATTCCATCCGCAGGGTATTGCTCTTTGGGGTGGTGACAAGTACGAGAAGGTTGGACGATTTGCCCACAAGAACGTCACACGCGCTGTTTTCTCGCCTCATGAAAACTACCTGATTACAGTGAGCGAGACCGAGCAGGACTCGGCGATCATTATCTGGGACGTTAAGACCAGCAAGATGCTGCGTGCATTCCCTGCTGGCAAGCCTACCGGTGCTAAGAACGAAGTGGTGCAGGGCCTCATGACCCCATTTAAGTGGAGCGCTGGCGACAAGTACGTGGCTCGCCGTGGCAATGATGTCATCAGTATCTACGAGCTGCCGTCCATGAAGCTCCTCGAGAAAAAGTCACTGCGTGCCGAGGGTGTCCACGACTTTTTCTGGTCGCCAACTGACCTGATACTGGCCTACTGGGCGCCGGAGGGAAACAATGTGCCCGCCCGTGTGTCTCTAGTGGAGCTACCATCCCGTCGCGAAGTGCGCCAGAAAAACTTGTTCAACGTCAGCGACTGCAAGCTGCACTGGCACCCGAATGGCACGTTTTTGTGCGTCAAGGTTACTCGCCACTCCAAGTCGAAAAAGACTATGTTCACGAACTTTGAGTTGTTCCGTTTGCAAGAGCAGCTGGTGCCCGTTGAGATGCTGGAGATCAAAGACAACATCGTTGCGTTCGCGTGGGAGCCCAAGGGTACGCGTTTTGCCACTGTGCACGGCGAAGGCCAGCAACGCCTTAGCGTATCGTTCTACGATATGGACGGTGAAAACAAGTCGACAAAGGAGGTGACGCTACTATACACGCTTAAGGACAAGGCCTGCAGCCACCTTTATTGGTCGCCGCTCGGAAACAACATCGTGCTGGCTGGTCTTGGCGAGATTAACGGCCAACTCGAATTCTGGGACGCCACTGAACAGCAGAGCATCACGGTGCAGGAACACTTCAAATGCACGCACGTTGAGTGGGATCCATCTGGACGTGTAGTGGCGACGGCCGTGTGTCAGCCGCTGGACAACTCGTACTACAAGTTTACTATGGACAATGGCTACACGCTGTGGACGTTCCAGGGCAAGCAGCTCTTGGAGGAGAAAAAGGAATCGTTCTATCAATTTCTGTGGCGTCCGCGCCCGCGCACGTTGCTATCGGATGCGGAGTACAAAAAGGTAGTGAAGAATCTCAAGAAGTACGAGAAGCGGTTCGACCAGATGGACCGCCTCAAGGAGCGCGAGCGCCAGGCCGCTAAAAATGCGGAACGTAACCGCAAGGTGCAGGAGTTCCAGGAGCTGCTGCAGAGGCTCTTGGCCGCAGCCGCGGTACGCCGTGGCGAGTACATTGCGCTGCTTGACGGCTACGACAGCGAGGACGAGAACGAGTACATTGTGCAGAGTCACACGTACGATGACGTGCTTGAGAGTAAGGAGGAAATCATGCGCAAGTAGGCATATCTGTAGCCAGTACATCATAAGATGGATATTTAATGATGCTAATGCATGGACAATGGATGCCTCGTTGCTTGAGTGTGCCCAATAGATAATGCTGTTGTGTGGTATGCGCATAACGTAGTATATTGGGCTGTCCCATTAAAAGTGGAGTCCGGGTCGTAATATTAGTACTAAAATAATACTAAAAGTATTATACATATGTACTAGTAATATACACATAAAAAACAAGTAGTACTAACGAATTATAGCTGTATAGCCAACGGAATACTAAGTTTTCAAGTATATTTTTCAAGAGAGGGCCGTCCAATGCGCGTACCTAAGGAGGGATCATTCTTGAATCGATGGCGATGGTTTCTACAGCTTCAAGTTCCACGACTTCTTGCTCTACATCCATGGGGTCTCGTTGCTATTCTACTTCGCTCTCCTAGTCGTCTTTTGGATGAAGTTACAACGTGTCATCATCGCTATTTGGATCGAGCAGCAGCTGCAGTGACGCAGAATCCTGTTTTGTTTCCAAGTGGGTTTTTCTCGGAAGGTTGGGGAGATTTAAATACTCCTAAACGAATTCGAAACGTATTACAAAGTCAACGGATGAATCACGTTGTGACATTGCAACAAGATGATGTGAAATGGGGTCAAGTGAGAGACATGGCAATAGCAAAAGTAGCACTACGTGAAGGCACATTTAAAAGTACATTGACAAATGCAGAGCAATTACTGCCGAAGGAGAGTCTGGATGCATTCTGTGAATTAATCACCCCATTGGAATGGGAACAGGAAGATGCTGAGATCCCACAAGGACTTACAGATCGACCTCTTGTGGGTACGTGACTTTGTAGTAACGAACGGAAAGTGACCACGAGTTATCTCGTACTTATGCATATGGTGAAACGTAGTGCTATTACCAGGCACAGGAGAGCACGGATTTCTGCATCGAAGGACGTCCATTGCAATTCCTCTGGCAAAAAAAGGAGTTGCGACATTGGTATGTTGGATTTTAGTTAGCTACGAAAAATGTTGTGCATCGTGATAGGATGTGAATGTCCTGCTTTTGACAGATTCTTGAAGGACCTTTCTACGGGAAACGCAAACCACCTCAGCAAAAAGGATCCAAGCTGCGAAGGTACGTTTGTACTTGTGTGTCATGTTTTGTTACAATACTGGACACCTCTAACCTTGTTCTCTATTGCAGGGTAAGTGACTTGCCGATTCTAGGTCAAGCAACGATTGAGGAAGCCAAGTCTTTGTTGCAATACTTCCATGATTATCATGGCTTCTCGCAAATGGTGGTTGCAGGTAGCAGCATGGGTGGATTGCACGCTGCCATGGTCGCGTCAGTATTTCCAGGAGATGTGGGTGCCACAGCCTGGTTGGCCCCGCCTTCAGCTGCTCCTGTATTTGCAGATGGTTTGCTTTCAGGGTCCTGCAATTGGCGCTCGCTTTACAAACAACATGAACTGCACATGCTAGACAAAATGCTCGCGGGGCACGCCGTAGCTGAGTCATACGAAAAGCAGGCCGATGATATCACTGATGCCGGGAAAGATCGAGCCAAAGCCTCTGTTATGGAAATGGATTCAGTACAAGAAGCCAAGAAACGCATGAGGCTGTTTCTATCTATCACAGATATCGACAACTTCTTACCTCCGCGGCGTTCAGACGCCGTTGTCTTCGTTTACGGCACTGAAGACGAATACGTTGGTTTTGCTGAGCCTCAGTGGGCGGTAGGTTTTGTCTAAGGTTGAACCTGGACCGCAGTGTTACTTTACAATATTGACATATCGTACTCTGCTTTGTCTGCATTTCAGCACATGCGTGAGCATTGGCGACCAGCAAGCTTTCGAACGATAAAAACCGGCCACGTCAGCGGCATTTTGTTAGAGCAAGCAGCATACTGTAAGACAATTTTAGAGGTTATCGATCTGCTGAAGGAGCGAGGTGCAGTAGCAGGGTCCTCGTCAAATGCTAGTGTTCCCGACTCGACATAGCCCTCCAAGGCATCAAGGGCGGCCAGTTGATCAACAACATAATATCTCAAATTTTGTTCACCCATACTTAAACATACTTGTAAATGAATCACTCATGAAGACAGCAGACGATGATGTCCTGATACGTGCTCATAACGGTGCGAAGCTCGCCACGAGATAAATTCTCGCGCCACATTATCTCTTCGATATGGTGCTCTCCGTGAAAATACACACATAGCCGTTTAAAAAGCGTGAACACTGGGTTGGGTTTGGCAATTTTGGCCAAATACGCACGCTCCCTGTCTGTGAACAGCAATCGGCTAGCTACGCTCACAACTTGCGCCATCGGCACAGTGCTACCTCCGTATCGTTCTGCTGTACGACTTCCATCCAACGGTGCCGTTGGAGGCGACGGTAACGCCAAACAAGCTGGATTCATAGGTGGTGTTGGAGCTATTGGCACGCTTCCAAGTACGCTTGTATTCGTAACACTACTATTGACCCGTTGGCGACGAAAGCTGGAAGCCGTCAATGCAGGAGAAGAACTTCCGATAGAAGATGCGCCTCCATTGCCAAGCTCAGCTGCATATTCTCCATCCGACGGAATCATAAAGTAGATGTAGCGGTGGAGCTGTACAATAAATCGTTGCTGAAGCAGCCAGATCAACATATGGATGTACTCATTCTTTTTTGATGTAGACAAAGTCTTCATGTATTCACCAATGCGACGCGTACCAGAAAACGTCGATAACACCTCTCCTATCTCGTAGGGCGTGAACTTTCGCCGGAACTCCAACGCCTGCGGCGACGCAATGTGCAGATCTGCTTTCGTATTGACCTGATAAATATTGTACAATGTGATTGCGTCCACAATACGCCCAAACCCCCAATAAACAAGATGTGCTGATAGACGAAACACTTGGTGAATAGGCACGCCAGTCTCCAAGGCAATATCTTGGAAACTCTTTAGCGGATTCACAGCCTCCACCAAGTCTCGGAGTTGTCGTGCATGATCTGCAGGCAGCTTATTCAGAATATTACTCTTGTCGGATAGTAGCAGAAGTGTATGGTACGGACGCAAACTTGCCATCCTAATCGTAACAGCATCCGTAAGTGTCAGCGATAATTTCACCCATCCATTTAACACAACGTGCGCAGCTCCAGATTCTTCCAGTCCATGAAATACTCGCTTTAAATCATTTGCCAGCACACTTTTTCCCAATGAAACATCAATCAAAGTCTGCGGATCGACATTCACAGTCGTCGACCCACTCTCCCCGTCCTTCCTATGATGATGGTGGTGCAATAGACTCGCTCCATTGGTTCCAGTGCCACCTCCTCCAGCATTACTTGACATACTGTTACCACTCGTTGTACCTGCTGCAGCTGCAGCACTCATACTCGATCCACTGGTACCATTTAAAATGCCGGTATTATTGTTTCCTGCATTGCGTTCACTTTGTGCCAGTTCATCTCTCAATTGTAGCAACTCTCTCACTTCTTTTGACACAAAACGAACACGAAGTTCCTCGTGTAAAAGACCATTGGACAGCTGTGCTGCTACTGTATGAAAAGCTTGAGCACTGCTTCTTCTTCTAGCAAGAAGTTCCTCCTCGTCTGCTTGCTGTAGAGGCAGCAATTGGGTATCAATTGCCCCATCCAGAGCTTCTGTACTTCTTGATCGTTGTAAAGGACGATCTTCCAGTGCAAAAATGACGTTAAACATGGTCGTTTCGTTCCCCGTCGAGCCATTAGAAGATTGCTCTATAACTGTAGGCGATGCACTTGAAGCCGATATTGATCCATTACAGGCTGTTGAAGCCTTTCCCGACCCATCTACTGGTACTGCAGCCGGCAGACGATGCGATACTAGTACAGGATGACTCACAAAGCGCAAATCGTCCACTACCAGTTCGAAACTGGCATTGCATAAAGCGTTTTTCGGTCGAAAGAGTTTGGCCAATAAAGGCGCTGGAAGGGTGTGAAAACTCGATGCGTTTTCCAAGGGAGGAGAAGGATATCGAAAGGCTAAATTACATCCTTTACTAATGTCGTCCACTACAAGCGCAACGCCCAAGAGACGACATCCACCACCGGGTCGACAACTTGCTTTGGTGTTCATGATTTAATTAGCTGAATCAAAAGCGTTTGATGCCGTGTTATCGGTATAGAAAGGTTTCTATAAAAAGTGTCATTGTTTGGTAATATTTCGCTTAAATGAGTTTCTTGGACTTGGTTTTTAGAATTTGTTGAACACTTACGTATTTTAATCATAAAAAAACGTCGACTGTATATGATGTTTGATAGGTTCTCTGCACATCTTAAGATGAGCAAGTCTAGTCAGCTTGTGAAACAGGAAATAGAGTGAAAGGTCATCGATAGCAGCGATATCTGGGCGCAAACTGATCAGAATTTGCAGTTATAAAAGACCCGATCATGCAAGTCGTTGCATTCGATATTAATGCAATAGTATCAAACTGCAGCTTTTTGCGGTCGGTTTTTTACAAAAGTGTTGCGTTTAACGACCGATCCTTGTCTTCTTCTACTGCTGTTTCAGCTACTGAACTCCTTGTCACGTCTGTTGCGATACACGATACACGATATACATGTGCGTAACTGTATGACTTTGTCGCACGATGTCGTCGTGATCCTTGATGGCTGGAGGCACTATCCTTTAGTCTCATTCCCAGCTCTTGATGCCTTCGTTGACGCTGTAGAGTGCAATTTGGACGATTGCGCGATAATTAAGTCACAACATGTTCTGTGGCCACGGCTGTTGAGCTTGGGTTCATTGTTGCACGGCATTAACGGACGGGCATTAACTAAATATCATAGTTTGCATCGTTCGTGCGTTCGTGTCGTCGTTCATTGACTGAAAAGACATAGGAAGGCTAAATCTTTGTGAAGCGACTTCGTCTTCTATGAAATAGAGGGGAGGCACCACCTATTCGTGACATGCACTGCCGACATCGATGGCGCAAGAGGTTGTCTGATAAAGTACATGGATACCAACATACGTATGGATAACTATTAATGACTATATTTGTACACGTTGATAATTTTCTAGTTTTAAAGAGAATGCCGTCTCATTCGACTGCTTGGAACCCTTTCGATATATATATATATATATGGATAATGATGACAGGGGAGTGGGACTGAGTTGGCACCACCCTCACCGTTTACTGCAGCATCTCCTTAGACAGCTCGAGGTCGAGCGTCTCGTCGTGACCGCTGAGCTGCACGAGGAAGACGCCTAACAAACTCAACTGCTTTTGCAGCTGTGTCATGCTTGGGTTATCCAGCAGTTTGATCGATTTGAGCTGCATATTCGGCGTGCGCCTTGCCACGTACTGAATAGCACAGCGGTCCACTTGTGAGTCTCCAAGAGCAATCACCTGATGCACTTCACGCTGTTGCTGCTGCACGTACACGCCATGTGTCTCGACGGGTGCCATCTGCATCAAGCCGCGTTTAGCCAGCACGTCACGGTATGCAGCTATCTTCCACTCAATAGGTCGGTCTGGGAACACACGCTCGAAATTAGAGCGGGCAGAGATCACCGACATTTGCTCAAGCAGCGGCACTACATTGGGTAGAAACCGCTGGCACGAACGCTGGACCCAGCCAGACAGACCGTTCGTGACGATGCAGCACGTGCCTATCTTCAGACAGGCCGTAAGAAAGTCCTCCACCTCTTTAGCAAGCTCTTCCAGCACGAGTACGTGGTCCTTGGGGATCTCAAAATCTTTTTCCTCTGAAGAAAAACCGAGTTTCGCCAGATGCGTATTCGGCAAAAGAGTATCATCCCAATCCAGTATGATGACTGTCATAGCAAGAACGCAAAACAAACAGAATGATGGTAAGTCTACAGCCCACTAATGGAGATATGGAGGAAAAGAGAACGTCAACGTACGACGAGTAAGCGCAGATGATTGTTCAATAACGTGTGTAGGCAACACGACCTCTTCTTGGACGGCAGTACTAATAACGCGCTGGACTCCCATTATTACAATAATGCAAGGTGAAAAAATGAGGTTATTGCAGTATTTCGTGAAATTTAGGTATGAAGTGAAATCAAACGTGATGAAAAAAAGAAAGTATAGTAAAAGTGAATGCAAGAGTGAAAGGTGGAAAAAAGAGCGTGGCTAGGGGTGCAGTACGACACGCCACTTCAAGAAGACTTGTATTTTTGGCCTTTACTGGATGCTGAGTTATAAAACAGAGGCACTTTTCTTTACGATCACGATCATAATTTACCTTTTTGCGGTAAACTATGGTAATAATAATGAGATGTAGAGAGAGTAATTATGATAGCGCCGACTTAAAAATTAAAGATTAATTTTTATGAGGCGAGACGTGACTACTGTACCACTTAGGCAGCCTATGTGAAGGGGTAGGTTTTCATGTATTAAATAGTGACAGCTACAATCATTACAGTACAACATCTTTATTCTAAAATTGCTGTCTCGCAGCTCTTCCTCGAGCTGCATGGAGGCTTCTCTCGGGTCCTCTGTACCTTCTACGAAGCTACAACCCACACGTTCTTCCTTATCAGTCGTACAGGATCAATTTGGTAGCAGTGACCATGACAACGACGGCGAAATCGTGCAGAAAATCTTAAAAAACGAGAAAAAAACGAGAAAAAACTCTGAACAGTCCACGTTTCTATCATTACCACGTAGCTTGAGCCTCGGCTATGAGCCCCGTCGAGCTGTTCTAGGGTATAATGACCCATGTATTTTATCTACAAGTGAAAATGCGGAAGAATCAAGTCTGGACGTGCAGGAAGCAGAGAAAATGGAGCGGAATCTGACTCAGGAGGTGCTCGACATTTGCGTACCCCAAAATGAGATCCAAGGGCTCAGTACGTCGCTGGATTTAGGTTCTCAGCCTAGTTCAGACTCTTTTTTTGCCACTTCGAAGCTCAAGGTGCTGTCTACAGGTGAGACGGAGTCTCTACAGCTCACCAACAGAGAGATGCGCAGACCTCCGACAAGATCTGAGCTTGTCAATATCACAACAGATGAAGAAGCTTTTTCCGCAATTCAGAGCAACAAGAAACTAGTGCCATATGCCTGGATGCTAGCACAAGTTGGACAGAAGACCAGAAGGAAGATTGGAGATATTAGGAACTCGTACTTTGCAGGTTGGCTCGTGGCTTGTTCGCTGTTTGTGGTGCTTTTGAACGCATTTGCAATTGCTATTGTGCAGCTAACATACCATTCCACGGGTGTGGATGATGACCAGAAAGGTGAGTGCAGACATTGGCTCAGGCTCCTCATGACGATGCACTTTCTAGGACTGCCGAATATTGTACTCATTGCTCCCGTGGTGTTCCCGAACAAGTTTTTCTCACTGTACAGAGCCAAGGATAATCGCATGATCCGATGTCCGTATTTGCTGTTTTGCGAGATGATTGTGACGTTTCAGCTCGGATTTATGATGTATGTTGCAGTGAATCAGTTACTGAACGCGCCGGTGATTGTCAAGTGCCACGGTGAACTTAAACACAGTCAGACGATCCTGTTCTATTCTGCGACGGTTGTTTGGCTAGTGCTTTTCCGTCAGATTGTCATCTTCTGCCGCTTTCTGACGCATTTGAAGCTGCAAGCGGGCGGTTCGAATGATGCATCGCATACATCAGCACTAGGAAGTTGGTTCATAGCGATGAAGTCGCTCTCATTTCGAAGGGAAGAGACGCGACTTGTGAAGGAATTTAAGAAGCTTCTCTATCGTGCAGTCGCTCGTGGTGATGTTCTTACGGTAGAAACACTGCTTTCTGAAGCACAGTCCAAGTATAAGATCACCAGGATGCAGGATCTATACAAACCACCAGTACTTTGGTTTTATGCCTTCGCAAAATCGAGGAAGAACCCGCTACACATTGCCGTCAAGCTGGGAGTACTTCGGATCGTCGAGCTGCTGCTTGACCACGGAATGGATGTAAACGTGCTCGATAAAGTGGTGCGCGTGAACTTTAACGTCGGCCTGGTGTTTAAGATTATCAGCCGCATATTGGTAAGTCAATGTGCGAAAACAAGAGTTTTGTGGAAAGCTCATGGATGCGTTTGTCTGTGCAGGTTCGGACACAAGATGGCCTTCGGTCGCCTTTGAAGACCCTCCTATGCTCAGTGCTGCTCCCACCACTCCATGGTGCTGTTGCGGAAGGCTACGTTGATATCGTCCGTTTGTTGATCAGTAAGGGTGCCGATGTGAACGCGTTACCAAGAGCATCATTTTACTACTCAGCTGCAATTCTCCCACCAATTTTCGTGACAGACGACCCGCAAGTGCTACGCCTACTGGTAGCAAATGGTGCAAACTTTCTCCAAGTTGCGTCTGTATCTCTCACAGGGTTGGTTCGAACGTATGCAACGCCATTGCAACAAAGTACTTTCACGCTGAGATCAGATCTAAGTGACTATCTGCTGGAGTGTGGTGGTGATGTCGCGCTGACCCCACTTCATGAGGCAGCTGCTACCGACAACGTTGGAAAGATTAAGTGGCTTCTTGCTCGTGGTATTCAGGTTGACACACTGGGAGAACGTGTCGAGGGCGTGCATCGTCGGACGCCGTTGCATTGGGCAGCAGTTGTTGGCAAGGTGAATGCTGCTAAGTTGCTGCTCGAGAAAGGTGCTAATCCTAACGCAAAAGACCGTGACGGCCGCACACCCTTGCATTGGGCAGCCAGAAACAACCACGACGAAGTGGTATCGTTACTGCTTGCTCACAACGCTCAACCTGGCGCTATTGATGATGAAGGTATCCCCGTCGTATGTTTTGCGGCGGAGGCTGAAGGCGTGGACTCGTCAGTTTTCTCTAATCTTGTGGCTGCCGGCGCTAATCTGCGGACTCAAGTGTCTGGCGGAAACACTGCGCTACATATCGCGCTGCAGAGAGAGAACCGACAAACAGCAGTATCGCTGATCAAATGCGGATCGAGTATGATGATCACAAACGATTTTGGCAAGCGAGCTGTGGACTGCACGACATCTACTGAACTACAATTCTTGCTCAAGAAAGAAGCCGGAACTCGAAAAATTATGATCTCATACACGCACACTCACGCGCAAATTGCGTCAAGAGTTCGTGAACACTTGGAATCGCAGGAGCAGCTAACGTGTTGGATGGATACGATGGATCCCAGCGGTATCGGTGGCGGCGCCGTTTGGCGAGAGGAGATCGCACGTGGTATCAGTAACTGCTCGCTGGTACTAAGCATTGTGTGCGATGGCTACACCAAATCTGAGTGGTGTTTGAAGGAGCTTGCACTTGCGAAGCTTCTCCGTAAACCAGGTAACGTGCATGCGTAACGTTTTGCAAGAACACTCACATGCTAACGTGTGTAATTAATGGTAATTGTAGTTTTCGGTCTCATTGTGGAGGAAGACCACGCAGCGTCTATGGCATCTTTGGAGGTGTGTTATCTACCACATTTACATGGAGTATGCGACGCGAATACTTACAAATTTTGTTTTGACCAGCTACTTATTCCGTACAAGAATCGGATTCCATTTAATGACTTTATTCTAGCGAAACGACAAGAGAGTTTTCGAGCCGTTGTGTTTGATATCGACGATGCTGCGTTTGCTCGAAGATGGCAAGTCACACGCCCGCTTATGATTTCAATCATGAAGGACGGACGACACTTGGACAAAGAGGAGCGTGATAACGTCGCTTCTCGTGTTCATAGCCGAAGAAGGCATCGCCGAAAGACGAAGATGGATATTGCGAATGAAGAAAGAGAGGGTAACAGAACAGACGACGAAGGTACTGTGACGAGTCCGAAAGATGGACCTTTGCTCATTTATTCACCACTTGGTGCTGCGAGTTCCCTTCGAGTCAGGGTGATGACAGACCTCGAAGGTTTTGGTTTTATATGCCGCGTTCTGGAAGAAAACTGTCTGATTAAGCAGTTGCAAACTTCTTGTGGTGTGGTGCTGCTTGTTGAAGTACCCAAATCATCTGGTGAAAAGGGGTCGGACGAGGCAAAGGCAGAAAATTTTGTTCGAAAGCAGCTCATTGCCTCGATGACCCGTATTGTCACAGTAGCGGAGAATGTGAACCCGCCGAAAAGAGTGTACCCTGTGCTCGTTCAGAACAACTTTATTGATCTCAGCAAGATGTACACTTTGGCGCGATCAGAGCTGTTCTACTTTGTGGATGGTGGTGGTTGGTCTCACAGTGTAGCGCGCTTGGTGGATCATCTTCGACTTAAGCAGGAACGAAGCAGTAGTGGTGGCGGCGTGAACCTTTTGGCTTCTAGTGCTTAACTGAAGCATTTGACCCGACGGACAGTACGCTGCATATTTACGAAAGCTCCACAACAGTGCGTGCAGTCGATGAAGCTGCCAAATGAAGTATGCTCTTGGTTTTATTCATTTACTACAGGCTCTCTACTTGAGAGTCTTCTGCATGAAATGGACAAAGGATCGACGCCCATCCGATATATTTCGATCAAAGAAGGTCACTTTACCAGTGCAGGGCCTTTCATCACATGTTGCAAACTGATGTTCAAGTCAATGTGGATGTTGAATCAAGGTCCCGAGATGACTCCGAAGATGATCGGTTTGATGCTCTGATCATTTGTTCTTGGAAGTGTTGCACTCGGAAGTTTTTACTGAGCTACCAACTACATGAACAACGGCTCGCGCTCGGATGTCAAATATCTTTCATCCACATGACTCTGTCGATCACAACTCAGCCTGGACAGCCCACGGGCCGACAAACCTCATTGAACTGTCTGTTATTGAGACTCTCAAAAGTGACTTGGTTCTCCTGATGTTTCCTGGCTATCTTCTCGAACACCTCATTTCTCGCAGGAATGCTAGTGATGGCGTTTCGAATTGTCGAGAGCACGAATTCGCTTTTGAGAATAAGACACACATGCTGTTTGAAACGATTCAATGAGATGTTATAGAAGGCGTTCACGGCTTATCGACCGACCCTTTTTCATCTGATTGTTCTCCTGTAACAAAGACTCTGTTGCGATTTTCCGTTCTGTATCGCCGGCCAGTATTCATCACGTAATACTGCGTGACATCATCGCTTATAATCAATCATACACGCCTACGTGAAATCCTATGGTCAGCATTTGGTTGAAGCTCTGCTCTGGAGGTGTTGAAACATTCTTTCGGTAATCTTGTGTGGAAATGCCATATCAGGGCGACGGCGGCGCTACCAAAAAATCGCCATGCTGCCAAATATTCCGTTGCGCCGTTGCGCCGTCAACGCTGTCGGATATTGAGTAGGTGGTCCTGGTAGAATGGAGAATACTTCACCAATTTTTTCTGTGGCTGATATGCTTGAGTTTAGACGATGAAAGCTCTACTACAAGCTGATGCCATGAAACCGTTCGGATTGCTGAAAATGGAGGATCGCAACACGACGATTTGTTCATGATAGGGTTCGTGACGGGATACCCGTTGAATCCTACCTCGTCATTCGATCGGGAGTTTGAAGACTGTTTGTGGAGTTGGAAGTCTTGGGTCGCTGGCAATGTGAGCAACTAACAAGGTGTTGCCATCTTAACTCGATCACATCATCTTAATGCACCAAAATTAAATTACTGGTCACTTGCTATCCATGCTCTTTCGTGAGCATTTGTACACAGCGGCAAGTGTACGTTCCAGGCCTTCAAGCACGCTATTTCTCCAAGCCGATATATCTGCGACGAATCTCTCATTGGCAATGGATAAGCCTAGTGTTTAGGAAGAAAACACCAGTCAGAATTCTCGCCATCAGATGCGATGACGACAGCCGCAGGTATGAGGCCGTCCAAGAAAGCAACAATCGTATGACGAACTTGGCACAATTTGCAGCCGCGTAAAGGTATTGCTGGTGGTACAGACAGAAGCGTACAATTTCTGAATGGTCCACCCCATAAGTTGGCTCATCGGATTAGTGGTGGTCACGCGAAGAAGTGCATTCGGCTGTGAAACAGCTTGCTTTGCGCACGCCTTCGAACACACGGGAGGCGTTGCTTAACCATTCACGGAGCGAGAGTGGATGCGGGGGTGGTAGTGGCTTTGACCCTGATGCCATCGCAGGAACCGACGTCGACTGTGATGTAAACGAGGGTGAACTTGGTAAACTCAGCACGAATCGCTGAAACTCTTTTGCGGCATCATCAAAGTCTGTGGATATATTCGAAGCAAAACCGCGTGTGTTTGCCTTGTTCTGGCCCTCCTCCTTCTTGTTTCCGCTCGCAGGAGATGCCGTTAATGATAATGTAGCTAGTTTCGATTCCCGGTGTGTTACCTGGTGCTGCCAATGGGGCAGGACGAATGACGCTGTGTTGACAATACTAGCATCGTCACTTACTGAACCAGTGTGCCTCGCTAATTTGTACGGAACGCGAACCAACGCTTGTGACCAAGCTGCCTCGAGTGCGCGCTCGTGAGCTGAAAAGAGCTCGTCCTCACGGTATAACAATTCCGAATCTGCTACATTGTTAGCTACGTAAAGTAGCTGCGCCGTATGCTTTTGACTGTTGCCAGATATATTCGGCAGTCGACATTGCTTGAACTTCTGCTCAATCTTGCAGAGAAGGTCATTCACAGATATGTGAAAAGCCAGCCCGTCATGAACAATCAGCACATAGTGGCAGATAGCACACAGAAACACTGCAATCTGGTACGACACAACCTCCACTTGTTGTTCCGGCGTGAGTGCACCAAATCGCTGCGACTCATTCCGTTCCAATACATCCGCAAGGATCGAACTACTTAGCAGCGGTTGCGAGTCCAACAAAATTGTCGGATGGCCGGTTCCTCCAACCATCGAGACAGCAAGATCAATTCCAGTAGTTTCATGCCGATCCAGTACTACCGATTCCAAACTCCGTGTAGAAAACATCTTGTCATTCGTCTTGTCCTTCTGAGCCAGTAAAGAAAGCACGGTCGACTTACCGACACCTTCCAAGCCAAGTACACCTACGACTGTAAAATTGGTGAGTTCAAGGCACGATCCTAATTTTATCGACAAGTCCGTGGCAAACTGCATCTGAGGTGTAATAAGCTTCACACAAGTAGATGGTGGACTGATCTTTGACGGTTGTATAGTAGTAGAGAGCGTCAAAGGTCGTAGCACGTTCGATTGTCGTGCTAAAGACCCTGATCTCGTACTGCGTTGCGTAATGGAGGACGACACAGAGGCTTCCAAGCTACTATAAAGTCCGGTATCAGCCTGTAACTGATTGTCTTTGTCCTGAGAGGTGACGACACGGTGTCGACTGCGACGAAAAGCATCAGAAGCATCAGGTTCATAGAGAACTCCTCTAGTGGATCCTATAGGACCTCCAACAGGTAGACGAAGCAGCGTTTTGGACGTGATTAAAGCAGGAACTGGAGACGACATTGTCGTGCGATGACGAGACCGTTGAGAGCTTCGAAAGGCACGTGAAGGACCTCCGAAAGAGTTTAAAGTACTTTGAGACATGGTGTCATGACTTGTAGACGAGCTGATGCTGCGAGTATTGATGGGATTGGAATTCCGAGTGCTGCTACTGCGCTGGAAGAGAGTAAAGAAGAGATAGAGAGTGAGAGAGAGGCACGAGAGGATGCAGGGGCGACAGGAACACGAACCTTCTGACGCTGCTTCTGTGGCGTATGGTCACGATCCATTTGTGACGGGACTGACAGTTAACGAGCAAAATACGGTTGCTATATATATATATAGAGATAGATATAGATTAAGGTGCTGTAACTAGCGAATAGAAAAAAACACTTTTTTTGGTAATTAGACAAGCTACAGTTATAGTCCTTGGTACTTCTTCTGACGTTGCAGACGGCTACGAAGAGTGTTTCCTCGTGTCTTTTGACCACTCTTTTGCCTTCGTTTGGTGTTCCGGGATACAAACGAGTCCCGATCGTTCATTTCCTTGTCAAAGAGACTCAAGGCTTGACTTAAAGCTGTGACGGGCTCGTCCTTCTGATTCTGCTGTTGTTGTGTCTTCTGTTGCTGCTTTTTGAGCGCTTGCAAAGCTGCAAATTCAGCTTCTGCTTGTTTCTCGATGCTCTTTGAGATCAGCAGGTCTTTGGCAGCCGATCTACCGCCATTGACATGGGACACGACAGCGCCGCTAGAGTTTAGAGTCAAATCTAGACCTGAAAACATGGACAGCATTGCTGACTTGTCGGTGGACTTGCTGATAGAGGTAGAGACACTTGCTTTGCTGTCGACAACATCCAGAGAAGTGCGCAAGCTGGAGACAAAGGGTGATGCCATCTCGATTGGTCACGAATTGCTCACCCTTCTTTTCTTGTGTTTGTATGCTTCTAAAATTGAGTACGAATTAAAAATCCTAATTTGGCAATATCGTTTAGAAATTAACACTGCAATGGACCAATTGTAAGGCCTAAAATTTGAAACTTTGAGTTGAATCATGGAATTTACAAAATTAGAAACAGTCAAACCTTTTGCACCTAATGCTTATAAGGAAGCTAGCTATATGACGTCTCATTATCGGCCTTATCATCGTTCCTCACTATTTTTCCATTTGATCCGTCTCCATCTGCTCTGTGACTTCCTTCTCATCTCGGATTACTTCGTCTTTTTCAAGTATCGCTAACAATTGTCGGAGCTGCACTTTTTGAATTTCCTTGGCTTTGGCATTGACAACTTCCTTCACTTCATTCGCGCTCGATCCGTCATCATTGTGCTCAACACCTTCATCGGCAATCAAAAGCTCTAATTGCTCGCGTAAAATAGCTGTTAGACTCTCACTATCCATATTGCGCTCGTAAAACTTGACCATCACGCAGGCCCGCAGTTTCGTTGAAAAACGGCACAAATGCGCCACCACAAATGCAATCCGCTCGAGCACAAACAAACCGGCGTCCAGACGTCGCAAGTAGTGACTATCTTCATCTTCTTCTTCGTCAAGATGATGACTGCTACGTTCAACGCGCTCGTGATACTTAGCAAACAGATCCACCAATCGATCGATTTTCTCCATCTCGTTTTCAACAAACTTGGCATAGAGACGGTCATAGCCATCAGCAGGAGCATCTTCACGCACCCAAGCACACATGGAAGCTATCAAACTAGCTGCGTGTTCTTCCTCCTTGGCACGCTCACTCGCTTTGCTAGCTTTCTTATTGCTGCTTAACTCGTACTTACCGTGCCGTCCCATGAATACCGAGAAAACGCTAGGAAGACCACCGACTTCAATCAAGCGTTCGCAGTTGCGCGCGTTGTCCATAAGTGCGTGGTCCATACCACGCAATGCGCCACTAAACATGAACCGCTTACGATCCTTCATACAACGCAGTAGCAGCTCCAATCCTTCCAGGCGACGAAATTGCTTCTGTGCTTCCGGCACGAGCAAAACACTACACAGAGCATTCACCAAGTTCCCTACCAGCTCCTCTTCTTCCTCACTGGCTGGATCCTTTTTCCGATACGGCGCCAGCGCTTGCAACAAGTCATCCATGAGATCTACCTTGCTGCTCTTTTCCTTCTTCGTCTCAACCTCCTTCTTCGTCGCAACCTCCTTCTCCTCTTTCGGCCGATCGTTCCCCATCCACGCCACAAATTTCTCTCTCGGTTCTGGCCCAGACTGCAGTAAAATCGACAGAATCTCACTTGCATACAACTTGTTCTCACTAAACATCTTCGCAGGGGCTACTTGTGTCAACAAAAACGGCAGTATCGCCGTCTTCTTCACCACTTCCACACACATTTTCGGCTCTAGATCCGCCAGATTCTCTAAAATCTGCAGCGAATTGTAAATCCCCGTTATCTCTTCATCCATCTGATCTTCGTTCACCTGATTCGTTGCAGCAGCCAGTTGAAACAAGTTAGTGACCAATAACGGCAGCAATTTCTCGTCCACAAGATGCTGGGCCAGGTTCCTCGTTGGCTCCAAGGACTCTACAGCATCATCCACGTCCGTCAGCTCGGCCAATAGACTTATTACAGCCAATCGAATGTCCAGATTCTCGTGTGCAAAGAGTCCCAGCAGCATCCGAGGCACGTGCAGCTCCGTCATGACGGCGAAGAGCTCCGGTTTGGCTGCTACTTGTTTCCAGCGTATCAACTCACTGTCGAGCGCCAGCTCTGACTCGAGGAATTTCGTCGGTTCATCTGCGTGTTTTTCCCGGGCTAAAGCGTTGCGTTGTACCTGTTTCTTCAAAGAATTGACCATGGACTTGAGTGCTCGGGCATCCAGCGCGTCACCTTCCTGTGCCTCAGCACTATCGACAATTGCACTTATTTTTGCATTAGTAGCTTCATGAAATACACAAGTACGTTTAGCAGCATGAGATGGGGACGTTAAGACAGCAGGGCGTTTAGGAACGGCCTCCGTAGCCAGCACTCGCTCGAAGTGGCTCTCCATATGCGAATGAAGTGGAAGGAAGAAAATGGATTGGTTGAAAAGTGATTTTATTATTAACCAATCATTAAAGCTGAAAAGCACTATCTTTTTATACAATAATATTATTTTTCAATGAAGGCAGAGAATGCTAGAGTAGGGGAGAAGCGTGGGAGACTGCTGCGTAAAACGGGGTGCATACACTTTCGTAAGGAACACGTGATGAAGTGGAAAGCATTGGGAACAGTGGAAATTGCAACGCATGTTGCACAGCTGCAGCATTACGTCATCAATCCAGTAGGAAATAATTTATTGTTTTTTTGCAAAATAATTGAACGATAAAAATAAATTAATTAATAATATTATTGTAGGAGGCAATTACAGATCTATCGAGTGAACAGTATCGCTGTCTGTCGTGTGAGTTTCAAGGAGCTAGAGAAGCGTCGAGGAAGCAGTTGCAAGAGATTGAAGACGGAGAAGACGATGGCACTTTCATGGCACATGCAATACTTTTCAACCATAATATTGGTATAATTGTTAAAATTAAAATTATTATTATTGCTGTCAAGCTGATGAAGTTTTGTGGTGATGGCAGCTATACTGGAGAGAAAAAGACAGCTTTATTGTGCAAGTTGTCGAGATTTTATCTATCCTGCTACAGCTGTGATGGGTGAAAGTCAAGAACGAAAACGGCAAATTCGTCGTGTGGTAACACCGCACAAGCTTTTACGACGTGGACTGGTGAATATGGGCAATACATGCTTTATAAGCTCGGTGCTTCAAGCATTGGCGCACAATCCTATGCTACAACACTACTTTTTTAAGGCGAAATGTCATGATACGACAATCTGCCACCAAAAAAGACAACGACTGCTGCTAAAGCGACAACAGCAATTGGAAGCTGAGAAGCAGAAAAAATCAGGTGATGGAGAGGAAGAGAAGGAAGCTACAAAGCGCGACCCTGATCCTGCAATTACAGTATGTCTGGGATGTGAGCTTGCTGCTTTTATGACATTGCTTATACCTCCTGCTGTCCACGTGCCGCGAAAAACAATGACGGCGTCACCAATCGTGCCGCAAGGTATCTTAGAGGCGATGTGGAACGCGTTTCCGTCTTTCGTAGGCACTGCTCAACACGATGCACATGAATTCCTGATTGCACTTTTGGGAGGTCTACATTCACATACGCACCCCCGTGTGTTTGTTCACGGCGGTGCCTCTCCGCGATTTACTCCACGTGGACACAGCCTGTGCGACTGCGCAGTGCATCAGCACTTCTCCGGTATATTGCGGTCTACACTCGCGTGTGGAGGCTGTGGATTCGCCTCGTACAAATTCGATCCGTTCTTGGATGTGTCCTTGTCTTTGAACAATGGAAAGAGTAAACCTGAAAAAAGTGAAAAACGCGCGGAACAAGTAAATGGATCGTCCGCAATAAATCTAGAGTCATTGCTGCAACAGTTTGCAGCCGAAGAAGAACTACGGGGAGCGAATCAAGTGTATTGCCTCCGATGCTCGAAGTATCAAAACAATTACAAGAGCCTGAACTTGCATAAACTGCCAAACGTGCTCGTTTTCCACATCCGCCGTCTTGACTTCTACCGTCAGCAGAAGCTCCTGCAGAACGTGGAATTCCCGCTGATGGGGCTCAACATGAGACCATTTACGTCGGTGGGTATCGACGAGGCCAGTGATTGCAAAAAAGCCGACATCAAAAATTCTGTTCCAGTTGGTAATGAAAGCGAATATGTCTACGACCTTGTCGCAGTCGTATGCCACCACGGCGAGTCGGTCAATGGAGGCCACTACACCTCTTACGTTAGAGACGAAGTGCATGTGGGCACAGCAAGCCCGACCGGTTTAAAACAACAGCAGTGGATACTCTTCGACGATGTTGATGTGAGTACCGTGTCAGCCGATGAAGTTGAGAGCTCTCAAGCGTACGTTGATACACTGCTCTGTATCTATTGAGCATTAGTGGCTACCATGACATATGTTTTGTCTGCGTTTTGCGGTACAGGTACCTGCTTTGCTATGTTCTTCGAAACCCATTCATCGACGCCGCATCACAACGAGATAAGGGTGAGTCGGTGTCACGTGCGAAACGAGGATTAAGCGGTGTATCTGACACTTGCTTGTTCATTAGACTACCAGCTTGCATAGCCGTCCTCACGACGGAAAAATCCAAAAGGCCATGAGCTTATTTGGTTGACGACACAGCTAGTGGTGGAATGTTTGGTTAACCTTATGCGATGATCTCGAAATTGATAAGATTATGGATTGCTCGCAATGTGCAGATGACGCTAGCTCATTGTTTAGTAGAGGCAAGTCTGAAATCCGTGAGCTGGCTCCACCTGCACCTTGTGCTACCTTATAACGTTAGCACCAGCAGTGAATGGCAGAGAAATAACGCGATACTACACGCTCCGAGCAAAATCGCGATCTTGTATGCTGAACAGCATCATACATCATGCAAATATTAGCTCTGGGATTCCATTGTCATTTTTGCTATCAACGTACCTAGCAACTTATCAACGGCGGCGTCGCCAGTTTGCCATTTAAGCTCGAATTCTGCTGAAATGGCCACAACAAAGGCTCCGACGCCGGAGAGCAGGCAAAACAGACCGTTCCAGAAGAAGCGGTGTATCACCGAGCTATACGTTGCAAAGAGCCACGTGACTACTGTGCTCGCTATGAAAGCTCCAATCGTCATCAGACCGTCTGATGAATTGAAACTAAGAGATGCTAGATCCTGTGAGACAAGATAACAACACAGTCAAGTGAGATTTGCTTCAATTTGTCACCTATTTCCAGCAGGAAAACTTACGTTGAAGCCTGCCAACGGACTATCCAGCATCCCAGTCCTTGCATGAATAAATAGCAGGAGAATAAATAGCAGCAGCATCGCCATCCAGAGATTTAGCACAAAGCCGACAATGGCGCTGACTACGCTCTTTAAAGCACCAACGGTAATCTCCATTCCCGACTTGACCAGACCACCCTCCAGAGAAATCTCATGCCGCAGCAAGTTCTTGTCAGCGCCTCCACTCACCAAATGAAAAACAGGGTTTTGTTTGTCTACTGGCGGTGCAAAGCTCATGCCGGTGATAGCGAAAGAATGCTGCTCCGTCGACTTCTTTTTGTACTGCTGCAGCGTAGACGCCAAAAACACTTTGATCTCTCCCGTCACTGCAGCCGCGCACACGAAGCGGTCATCCTGACTCACACAAAGACTGGCCACAGGTTTATCACCAGCAATAGCTGTTTCTTCAACCACCCACGACCATTGCTCTTCATTCTCCTGTGCAATGGTCTCGGGCTTCCACTTGATCAAAATCGAGTCGCCACGCGCCGGAGTCAGCACAGTATAAAGTCGACGTCCACTTTTAGCAAAGCGCACACATCGAAACAAGTGCTTGCGTGGTCCAGCCATGGGTTTCGTTGATAGTCGTTGGAATGCAATATCCAATGCATCATCTTTGGAAAACTTGCAAACTGGCGTTACCTCTGTGAGTCTCCATAGATGACACGACTGATCCTCTGCACTTGATGCGACAAGGTTACGATGCGAGAGATCTACGTCAATATCACGAATTCTCTTCGTATGGCCACGATACTCTCTCGTTAGCGTGACCATATTGATTCCATTAATGACACAGTCTCCGAGCTTGGCCTGCTCCTTTACCGCTATCTCATCACAAGGATCAATCTCGTCCGAGATTGCCAGAGCTTTGGCCGTGCCTACAGCTTTTTCAGGCTTGAATGAGTCTCGATTCAGACGCCAGATGCGTATAACTCCATCCTCTCCACCCGTCAAGATAGTAGAGTTACCAACAAAGCGAGCACACGTCTGTGAACTCTCTTCTTCATGGAAATCAGTGCGAAATTTGACCAAAAGCGTCATTGTCTTGTCTTTCAAGTCCAGAGCATAAATCCAGCAGCCTGCACTGACGGACACAGCAATGAGTTGTCCATCGTGAGAAAAGGCCACACCAGAAGCCAGTTCCAAGCCCGTATCAGCTGTAATTTCCTTGGTAAATCCCGTCGGATCCGTGTCCGAGAGCTGGTAGATATCCTAGTATTACAATAGAGAGGTGATAAAAATAAATTAAATATTACAACTTAGAAACAAAACGTTTACGAGCTACAAAATTCACTTCCAAACACCAAGAGAGATACGTACGACAGTATTTTTAATACCGGATTTTAGAGACCCACCGCCACCGCAAATGGCAAAGAAACCACGGGCGTACGACAGCCCCATAATCGGATACGTAACCAGCATCTGCTCTTTATTTTTTCTTACTGTTTTCAACACGCGGCACTTTTTTATTGTGTCACTCGAACGAGGGAGTGGATAAAGCACTTTTATAGACGTTTAAACAAGTGGTGGTTTTTTATCTCGGTGGTCGTGTACCCCACAGTGTGTGTAACCGGGTTACATACATTATTGAGCGAGTCAAAGACCAAGCAGCCATGACGCTCTTGGACGATGTTGTGATCACGTTTGGAGACTTTTCGGTCGAGGAGACACAAAAGGTCATGGAAAAAGGTACGTGACCATCACTCTTACTCCTTACTTATGTATTTACTTCCATTTTGTTGTCTCAGCTGCTGCAGATATGAAGAAATCAAAGAAACAAGAGACTGGAAGAGCTCCGAAATCATGGGCAGAGGCACTTTGTGCATCAAAAGTAACATCAAAAACGCCATGGGATGGAAATGGTACCCCCTGGACCATTGCAGTTGGTGTCAATGGACCTATAGCGACCTGTAAGACGTCAAAGGATGTGATGAAACCGTTACCATTTGAAGAGGCGATTCAAGCGACACTTTGTCGTTTAAATGTGTCAGCACCAGCTAAAGAGATGAAAAAGAGGTAAGACATTGATGCTTAAGACAGAGAGAGAGAAGAGAGAGAGAGAGAGACTTATTGAATGGTGGTTTGATGATATGCAGAGGGTTGGTGAATCAAGGCAATACTTGCTTCCAGAATGTCATTTTGCAGTCGGTACTGGCTTGTCCGCCATTTGTCAAGTGAGTGTTATTTATATGGTGACCTTGTTAGTGGTAAGTGCTTATTCTTGTGTCGGTGGTTTTGTTTGGTTTTACAGTCTGTTGGCAGAAATTTCGACGTTAAGTCCTTCGACACCAGAGATGCTGGCGAGTATTTCTACGTTCAAGGCGTGGCGACATATGGTAGCGTTCACGCGTGAATTTGAAGAACCAACACTAGCTCAATGTACGTATTTTTATAGTTTAAATGGACTGGAGTGCTGGATGTAGTGATTCATGTTGGTCGATATGCGGGTATTGATCGAACAGTGCAGCAACCGGCTGCTAGCGGAGAACGAAACCTTAACGACATGCATGGCAACGTGCCGCAGGCAATTCGAATCAGTGGGTATTTTATGGACGTGCTGAGCGCGTTTCAGAAGATGCGCGGAGAGCAGGAAGACGCACTCGAGTTTCTGGAGTTTTTCCTCGAGTATCTGCACACCGAGTACGAGAAGAGTGGTCTGAAATTGCCTACTTCGTGCGAGAAGCAGACGAAGCGTATTGTTGCAGCCTCAGTGACCAAGCAAAACGATACTGGTTCCGACGGGGCCTTCGAAAAGGCTCAAGCGTTTGACGACGGCTGGGCAGAGGTTGGTAAGAAGGGTAAGAGTAGCGTGCTACGTCAAAACTTTGCCAACACTATCCTCTCGCCGATTAATTGGTTGTTCAAGGGTGCACTACGCTCCGAGCTCAAGCAGAATGGCAAGCGACAGAGCTCGATTACTGTGGAACCGTTTCACTGCTTGCACTTGACCCTCGACTACGAAGTACAGGATCCCTCATTTGTTACTGGCGTGAACGGCGTGGCAAAACCACTTGGTGCGCCGGTTACGGTGGAAGAGATGATTCGGAAATCATTTAATGTCGAAGTGATTGAGGATGCGAACCAAGTTCCTATCATGAAGAAGTACACGACCGTGGAATCCTTACCTGTTGTTTTGACGCTCAGTGTCAAGCGTTTCACGTATCATCCAGAACAGGGGCCGGTGAAACTACAGCAAGTTGTCAAATACCCGCCTTTTTTAGAGTTTCCAACGCAGTTTATGTCAGCGAGCTGTCGTGTGGAGAATGGAATGGACGTTTCGGGGGTTGCATCTATCAGTGGTTCTGGCTTTTCGACTCCACCAATGTACGAGTTGTTTGCGGTCGTGTCCCACTTGGGCAAATTCGTCGTGGGAGGCCACTATACTTGCGTGTGCCGTGACAACAAGGACCAGTGGTATCGCTACGATGATGAGCACGTGACGTCTATCTCGGAGGCTATGGCACTCAGCGAATCTGCTTACTTGTTGCTCTATATCCGGACCAACAAACGTCCACCTCTTCCGTCCCCGGCTCCTTTATCTCCAAGCTCTACGTTTATCAAGACAAAGGGTCCAACTGGGTCAAGACTCAAAGCCAGCACTGAAAATGTGAAAGTTCCCGGTGGCAAAAGCTGGAAACAGCCTCCTGTGACATCAACATCATCTGCAGTCCCTCGATTAATTCCAGGCATGTCTCCAATGAAACAACCTAATGCAGTAACTTTGAAGCCCAAGAAGCACGGGAAGAAGAAAGTACGAGGAGAGGAAATTGTAGCAACCACGTAGTGAGTGACTGAGGGATACAAGTTGACCAGTGCTTTGATGATATACCTACTAAAGAGCCAACTATTCGGTCTAACAAACGTACTTATGAAGGCGTATTCCTTCCCCATACTCACTTCAAGTATAATTCCATCGTTTCAGCTCGATGAGTTTTTCGTCAAGTCAGCCACATTATTTTCGATTCCTCCCTCCCTCCTCATCCTCGTCCTCCTCTACTTTGTAGCCATGAGTCGTACTCTTTCCCGTGTACCGGATGATCAAACGAAACTCAAGAAGAAATTAAATGAACTCATGAAACTAGAAGGGAATAAATTGTGTGCTGATTGTGGCTGTCGTGGTCCACGTTGGGCTTCGATTAATCTCGGCGTGTTCATTTGTATTGCGTGTTCAGGAATTCATCGGAGTTTGGGCGTTCATTTGACATTTGTTCGTAGTGTGAATTTGGACTCGTGGACATTGGAACAAGTACAACAGATGCAACGATGGGGTAATACACGAGCTAAAGGCTATTACGAAGCAAACATTCCGTCGGATTATCCGATTCCAAAGGAACATTCATCGGTACGGGATAAGGAAATGTGGATTCGAGACAAATATGAACGGAAACGTTTTGTAGGAACGATAAGGAATGAGAGAGAAGAAGAAGAAGAAGCAGAAGAAGCAGAGGAAGAACGTGGAGGACGTCGGAAGAAACAATTGAGCGAGGATGAGGAGGAGGAGGAGGAAGAGACACGAGACATGAATGAACGACGTCGCGAGAAACGTCTAGACAAAAGTCGAGCACGTCGTAGCTCACGCACAAATTCTCGAGAGTCTACTCCACCCGTCGTGACTGCAACTGCTGATATTGTATCCTTTGATGTATTCAGTGATGCCGTTCCAGCCACGAAACCTGTGGCACCACCTGTGGCACCACCTGTTGCAGTGTCAGCACCAACGACGCAGTCGAAACAGGACGACTGGGCCTCATTTGGAGGATCCACCACTACACAGTCGGAATGTGAAAATGCGTTTGCTTGGCAAGCTCCACCACCACCGACAGATCAGCATGTGAAAAAAATGGCCAACATCATGGCGAGTTTTGGCAGCTCCATGCAGCAACAGCCTCAACAACAACAACAGAACGTCTTTACTCCTCAACAACAACAACACATCGCCTTTACTCCCCAACAAGGAATGACGTCACTAGCTCCGATGATGGGGTCACAGATGCCTATGATGCAGCCTCGACCAATGGGAATGAGTATGCCTATGAGTATGCCTATGAGTATGCCTATGAGTATGCCTATGAGTATGCCTATGGGCGGACAGGGTATGGGCGGACAGGGATTCATGAACCCTATGATGGGACAACTTCCCAATATGATGATGGGATATCCCATGCAGAACCAAATACTCGGTGCGCCGCAGCAGAACGGCATGATGATGGGTACGGAACGATGCTGATGTCGGTCTTGTGCAGGTGTTGTTGAGCACTGACGTGGTGTATGGTTTTGATATAATGTAGGTGCTGCTGGTCCGATGGGATTCCAGGGTCAACCGATGAGAATGAATCCGATGGGCATGCAGATGAATCATGGAGGCTTTCAGCCGCAGCAGCAGCAACAACAACAACAACAACAACGGCAACAACAACAACAGCCACAACAGCCACAGGCGCAAGTAGGCGGACTGAGTCAGCCGTTTGTCAACTTTGGCTAGACGTAGTGTGGGGAATAGTGTATCATTTTCTCAACTTCCTACTCGTTTTTGAGCAAACGAGCTTCTCATAGAGCAAAGACGTTAAGCCGACTTCTCCAGGTTTGACGACTTCAAAATTCAAAATCGGAAGTAGTCCATGCGCTTTTTGCTTTGAGCTTCTAACATTGTTTGCTAAGTGCATCTATTCGAGTACTCGCTCACAGCTCTATCATCTTTAAGTACTAGCCTTCATGACGAGCTGCGCCATTATCTCGCCATCGTCGCCGTTCTTTGTCATATAGTCAAACATGTCCTACAGTTTTTGCCCGTAGTATGCTCCAGCCTACACCAGGTCAAAAGCCATCCGCGTGTCTCAATTGTTGTCGAGCCTTGTGCATCTGAGCACCAAAGACACTTATTTATCCGGTGCCAATGTAGCATGCACTTGACGAGCTATGCAACGGGAACGCAGGGCTAAAGCCTTTCTCGTCTCGACATTTTTTGTCGGATTCGGTTCTTCTAAATGCCTCCTGTCTAGCACTTCGCTCTAATGCATGTTAATGGTCTCAGTATCAGTAGCGCCCTTTCAACTTTGATCTCAACGTATCACTTTCTTTCTAATTGTACATTGGCTCGAAGGCGTATCAGCACAATGTTCATACGCCACTTGGTTGTATCAGCCTTCACATTGACAAGGTTTCAATGAAAAAGCGTCTGGTGGCACTACAAGCAGATTATGAAGCGCCTTTGCTTTACCCACACGACATCACCAATCTCTTCGTCACTTTACACAGAATAAATCACGAACAAAGCGACCAAGTTATAATACCAACACGATTCTAAAGCTCTTTAACACTTCTCCTCCCTTCAAGACGGTGCATGACCTAGAAAGTTGCCTTTTTCACACGTCGCAGTTTCTTTCGACACGATAGAGTGAGTGTCCTATATTAGGATCCTATTTAGTGTCTTGCACATCAAGCTGATTATTTCTTACGTTTTGTGTCATATTCATTCTACTTAGTAAAAAATATGTCCATATTCCATCATTATAGCCCTTCCAAGGTCTCTTTTGCTCGTTTCTATACAAGATCAAGTAGTTTGACATCCTCCTTGAACCACATTAACTCTAATCTTCCAATTGGTTCCATAAATCTTCTTGCATCCATAGGAAATACGCCACTATTAGAGCTCCCTTCAGTATCGAAACTCACTGGTTGTAATCTTGTAGCTAAAGCTGAATACATGAATCCTAGTGGAAGTATTAAAGATCGTGTAGCCAAGTCATTGATTCTACATGCTGAAGAAAAGAATCTACTGAAACCTGGAGGAACTATCATTGAAGCTACTGGAGGCAGTACAGGAGTCTCCCTTGCAATGCTGGGTGCTTCTCGAGGTTACAAGACAGTGTTGACAATGCCGGATATTACTGCAAAGGAAAAGGTGCAGATGATGAAAACCATGGGAGCTGAAGTACATATTTTACCTACCACGTTCATGTCGGACAAGAAGAATCACTTTTTTCATGTTGCTCGACGACTTGCAGAGACGACTCGGAACTCGTACTGTCCTAATCAATTTGATAATCTTGCAAACATGCGGGCTCATTATGAGGGCACGGCACCGGAGATCTGGCAACAGGTTTCTGGAGAGATTCATGGATTTGTCACATCGGCTGGAACGTCAGGAACAATTGCTGGGATGTCACGATTCTTCAAGGAGCACAAGCCTGATGTGAAGGTTTGGCTTATTGACCCAGAAGAAACTGCAGCCATGTCTGCGTTTATCAATAACAATAGATTAACGAGTACGATCAAGGATGGTTTTGAGATTGTGCCGATGGCAAGCGGCTGGACTATCGCCGAAGGTGTTGCAGCACTCTCGCGCGTGACGGAAAACTTGCGCAAGTCAATTGTCGACCAAGCTATTACTGCTACAAACCAAGAAATCGTCGATATGGCCTATTTTCTGCTGCGTAATGATGGTATCTTTGTGGGGCCTAGCAGTGCGCTTAATGTGTTGGGAGCGGTCAAAATGGCGCGCGAGCTTGGACCAGGCCACACCATTGTAACTATCCTGGCCGATGGCGGTATTCGCTACGGTAGCAAATTGTACAACGAGGAATGGCTCGAGGAACACAACCTGGTGCCGCATGAAGCTGCTACGAACAAGAAGATAGCGTCGCTCGATTTTGTGCACGAACATAACTTTCTGACTACGGTTTGAGATACTAGTGCTCGTGTCACAGATACGTATACATGATAAAGTGAAGCGTAATACGCAATGGTCGCCTAACAAGTACAACGCGAACGAACTGACAAGTTGTCTATACGCCTTGCCTTGGTGGACACGCTGGAGCGACAGAAAGAGAGACACTAAGGCTGGATATATTTGTGCCGCGAGCGCCTACAGTGGAGCTGTTGGAGTATTAGCATATTTGACGATGCGAACGAAGTGCTGATCGCGCGTATAATGGACTTCTCGCATTCTCATTCACGGCACCATGAGTAAAACGATCTACATAGCAAGTCGAGCTACCTACGTTACGGTGGATCCGTATCACCGCGTCATCGGCTATCATAGGAATCGACATGCTGCCTATGGTGACCGCTGACTCTTTACGATGTGAACACTCAAGACTACACTCAAGACTCCAAAACATCTAACGGCTGTAAGAAAGCATAGCATTGTCCCATGGCAATAAATTTTGCAGGCAAACTACAATACCACAACACTCAATAAGCCACACCCACCACGCAATATGCAGCAGCACAAGAAAAGAAAAAAAAGCACTCATGTTGGTTAGTGTTTTAAGCAGATAAAGTGTCTCCATAGGTCTCTTGTCATCACTAGGTAGGTACCTGTCCACCACCGTCGTCATTAATTCCCGAGCAAGTCATAGTCGTCCAATTTATCATTGTACTTCATAATCGTCCTCTTAATCTTGGAACTATCAACCCACGTGACAAAATCTTCCATTGGTCGTGTCACCAAGAACGCTGGATCCGTCACAACTGTTGGACCAACACGAACATGTCCCTGTTCCACAAACGTCGTCGCTTCTTTAAGACTCTCGGCCATTTTCACACGTACCATCACAACTGGCAATCGACGACGACAAAAAGCCGACACATTCACTTCTTCAGCTTTCAATAGACTTTTTTTCGTCTGCACAAGTCCCATATGATACAATTTCTCCAGCAAAATACTTGTTGTTTTGACTCGATAGGGATCAGTCGCTGGTCGTTTTTTCAGTCGTGAAACGATACGGGAGAGATGACCAACCAATCGATTGTACTTGTGATATTCTTCACGATTCGGAATCCGATACCGACGAAGTACTTTAATCTCATGTAAATTATTCTCCTTTTTCCATTCTAATAAATCGACTTTTTTCAAGAGTTTTTGCTCATGGAACTTGAGGTGACGACCCATTTTAGGAAAATGATGTCTCGTTTTAATTGGTTGGTCGAGAAAAAAGGTTACACTTTTGTTAGCACACAAACGTACCCCGCGCCCTCCCGCTATATCACGATGTGGTCCACATGACACGCTCACAACCAATGGATTCAATGAACGTAGCTCTTCGAGCATCATTTGGGCATTCCTCGTGTAACCCTCACATTGATTTAGTATGACGGCGGCTGAGATGGAGACGAAAAGCAAGAAGAAAAAATTAAAAGCTGTAAATGATTCTATTATTGATGGAAAAGATCTTATTGTGCCAGAGAATCATACCCCTGCATTAGACACGAGTAAATGGCCATTATTGCTCAAGAATTATCATCAGCTGAATGTACGCACGGGGCACTATACGCCCATTGCATGCAGTTCCAGTCCATTGAAGCGCAATATTAGTGACTATGTACGCTATGGTGTCATTAATTTGGATAAACCAGCCAATCCATCGTCTCATGAAGTAGTCGCATGGATTCGTCGTATTTTGCGTGTCGACAAGACGGGACACTCGGGTACATTGGATCCAAAGGTTACAGGCTGTTTGATTGTATGTGTCGATCGTGCAACACGTCTAGTCAAAGCGCAACAGGGTGCTGGTAAAGAATACGTTGCCGTTGTTCGTCTTCATAGTGCTATCGAGAGTCAAGCAAAACTTGCTCGTGGAATTGAGACGTTGACTGGAGCTTTGTTTCAACGTCCTCCACTCATTTCGGCTGTTAAGCGTCAATTACGTATTCGTACAATTTATGCTTCAAAGCTTATTGAATATGATGAAGAAAGACATTTGGGTGTCTTTCATGTGAGCTGTGAAGCAGGCACGTACATTCGTACCTTGTGTGTACATTTGGGACTAGTACTGGGAGTGGGTGGTCACATGCAGGAACTACGTCGTGTACGCTCTGGTGTATTGGGAGAAAACGATGCAATGGTGACAATGCATGACGTGTTGGATGCACAGTTTCAGTACGACACATACAAAGACGAATCGTATTTGCGTCGTATTGTCCGACCACTTGAAGTTCTGCTGACAACGTACAAACGTATTGTTGTTAAGGATAGTTCGGTGAATGCTATTTGCTATGGAGCTAAGTTTATGATTCCAGGATTGCTGCGTTTCGCAGACGATATTGATGTAGGTGAAGAAGTTGTGTTGATGACGACCAAGGGAGAAGCTATTGCTGTAGCTATTGCTCAAATGACGACGGCTGTGATGGCAACTTGTGATCATGGAGTAGTTGCGAAGATCAAACGTGTTATTATGGAACGTGACACGTATCCGCGTCGTTGGGGATTGGGACCGATGGCTCAGAAGGTTAAAGGTCTGGTTAAGGAAGGCAAGATTGGCAAGTATGGTAAAGTCAACGAGAACACGCCGGCTGATGTGTCGGAACTGTACATCAAGGACGACGACAAGAAACTGTTGATAGAGGAAGTGACAAAGGAGGAGGAGAAGGATTCGGAGACGGATGAGCCGCCTAAGAAAAAGGAGAAGAAGTTGAAGAAGGAGAAAAAAGAGAAGAAGCACAAGCACAAGCGTGACGCTGGAGAAGCAGAGGTTACTGAAGCTGGTGCCTCGCCTGAGAAGAAGAAGTCGAAGAAAAAGTCCAAGAAGAAATCCAAGGAGACAAGCGACTCGGAATAGACGATTCTATTCGACATTGTTGGTGGTTTGACTTTTTCCATGACTATCCTTACGGACAAAAAGGAGGCAGCCCTCAAGTCATAACGATTGAGTGAGTGCTTTAGTGCAATGGCTTGTTTACAGAACTGCAGCGTCGCAAATAGCAGTCGTTTTAAGTAATATATATCCTGTATGTTCTCAACGTGATGTCATCATGACAGAAGAGTACCTCTATCCTCCAGCTCTTATGATGCAACTTTTCCATGACGCTTCTGAGCATTTGCGACATCGACTTGATATATTCTGTCCTGCTTCGCGCAAAAAAAGTTATTGTGTTGTTAGTACGTCGACCTCAAGCTGAACTTGAGCCACCGTGTCAGCGATAGCCTGAATCCAGAACGCAGCAGCCATGGCACCAGGATCAGGAACGCCGGCACCCAATTCCTCATTAACGTACCCGGCACGGCCGAATGCTTGCTTTGTAGAGATATAGGCCGTGGCCTCGGCTCCTTCTTGGGCTGCTATAGCAGCTGCATTGGCAAGCTCTGCGCCAGATTTTGCAACGGAACTGTCAAGAGCACGAAGCGATGGAACAAGTGCATCGACCATTGTGCGCGAGCCCTCTTTTGCCCCACCGTACTTTTGAATTGCAGCGATACCAGCGCGGAAAGCTCCAACCCACGCAGTAGTGTCATAATTCTTACAGGTCTCAAGGTAAAGTGACCCAGCCGTTAAAAAGATGACGTAAAGCACTCCAGAAGTACCACCAGCACTGCGATCCACTGAGGTAGCAAGGGCACGCAAGGTTAGCGTAGCGTCATTCAGTGGATAGCAAGCCTTTAAGTCGGTCAGTATTGCTTTGGCCGCATTCTTGAACGTAGTGCCGCAGTCGCCATCGCCCACCTTGGTATCCCAGCTCGTAAGTTTCGGCTCGTTCTTGATCAAGGTATCACAAACAGCCAAAATGCATTTCTCAAGTATACGCCCGTCATTTGAGAGCTCGACTGGGCGCACAAATTGCGTTTGGATCGGAGCAGTGACTTCCGCTTTTATAAACGGTCCAGAAATTGCCGACTGTGAGAGGTCGAAAGGTGAGTGAGTCCATGCCGGTGCCGACGTGGGTGCATCAAAGAATGCGAGCAGTTCAGCATCGCCGTTCGAGTTCCACACCGACAGCGAGAATCCCGCCATATCTAGTGCCGTCATGAAGGAGCCAACCATCACACGTTCAAGCTCAATGCCCTTTGCTCGTAGTGCCTCGATTGCATACTTGGCCACCACGTATAGCTCCATCCCTGTCGTTGATCCCAAGTTGTTCACCATGAGTACACATTTGCTACCTTCCTGCAATGCTAGTCCTACCGACATCTGATCCGTCGTGATCTTTTCCACCAGTATCTTGCACAACGACGGCACATTCTGTTGCTCGCACTTGGCGACTCCTGGTTCACCATGGATCCCCAACCCAATTTCCATTTCATTGTCTTTCCACTCTCGTACATTGTCATCACGTCCTGGTAGAGTGCATGGCTTGATAGCGACACCCATTGTGCCCAATTTGTTCTTTTCAGTCAAACTATTGACCATGTCAACGAGACTGACGAGGTCTTTTCCCGCTTTAGCAGCAGCACCTGCTAATTTGTGTACAAACACGGTTCCACAAAGTCCACGACGTCCAGCATTGGAATTCACTACTGCCACATCTTCTCCTATAACTACCATCTCACACTTGAAACCTTCAGCTTTGGCTTGTTCGACTGCAAGACCAAAGTTTAGCCGGTCTCCTGTATAGTTCTTGACCACCACAAGACAACCATGAGGTCCTGTAACCAATCGAATGGCTGTAAGAACTTGTTGTGTAGAAGGTGAAGCAAACACGTCACCACAGACGACACCCGTGAGCATTCCTTCGCCTATATACCCAGCATGGGTGGGTTCATGGCCACTGCCACCGCCTGAAATGACTGTCACTTGACGTGCACGAATTGCAATATAGTCACGATGTAGAAGCACTTTCTCTCTTCGTTCCAGTACCAAATGAGAGTGGGAGAGCACGATTCCGTCCATCAGATCAGTCACAATGTCGCAGCCATCCTTAATGAGCTGCTTGGGCTTGGTCATGGCTTAATAAATGGGTTAATTGATGTTACGTACATTAATTAAACTGCTCAATGATATATTTAAAGACGGGTTTTTACCAATGAGATGCTGTGATATAATGATGCTACTTATTTACCAATTAGATGCTGTTATATTATTATATTCTATTTATCCACCAATCATGTGTGCGTATGTCTACATTTTTCAACTGGAAGCATGGGCGGAGGTGGACTGCGTATCCTACCACATAAAAAGTGGCATGTGTGGCGACGTGAGAATATTGAACGAGTGTTAAAAGATGAGCGTGAGAATGAAGAGAAACAGAAGGATCTAGAGGTGAAAAAACGGAGACTGGAGCAAGAACAACGCGCTCAGCAGCTGCTATTGACGGAAGGACATGAGGATCACCAACCAGAGCGACAACATATTAACTTTTTCAAGGTGGAAGAGGCTCAAATGAGTCGGAAAAAAGGTGGTAAACATGGAAAAAAGACAGAGAATATATCAGATGAGACACTGAGAAGATATGGCAAGTTGCCATGGTACGCTCGGCCTGAAGATGCACAGAAGAAAGAACTTACAGTGAAGCAGGAACGCAAGCGCAAGAGGTGAGGAGGCTGTAGTTTTGTAGTGGAAGAGGGTTGTTTAAATGGAGTTGTTGGTGTTGTTGTGGATTATTGTAGAGAGTTGGAAGTGGCAGATCCATTACAACAGATGCGTCCAAAGGAGAAACGAGGACAGCGTCCGTTGGTTGCGGCTCGTTTAGAAGACCAGCGCCAAAGTAGATATGGTGAGAATGAGGACGGACCGGCTGGTTGTGATCGCAGAAAGTATGATGCCCAGTACGACTGCTCGACGATGTCACCTGGACATAGAGATCGGCGTCACTTTATTGAAGAGGATGAAGAGTTTGATAAAGTATTGAACAAGTGGACTAGACACGGTAAAAAGAAGAGCAAGAGCAAACATAAGCTTGGCAAAGGTGCACTGCTACAGACACTACGTCGTGAGCGGCAAGAAAGAGAAACGTACGAGCGACAACGAGCTGAAAGGATCATGCATGGAGGATAAGATGAAAGTGGTTACAGAAAGGAACAAAGACAACTACGTTTCGATTGCAAAGCATTTCATTTGTGGCATTCTCGTTGGCAGCCAAGGGGCTGCCCAGTAAGCTAGAGCTAGACAACTTAGCTGTCCTTCTCCATCTTCTTAATTCCACGAAGACGGCCCGTACGACGAGCAGCAATAAGACCAACCTTCTTACCAGCAGGGGCATCACGACGAACAGTCGACGGATGACCAATGTGCTGGTGGTTACCACCACCGTGAGGGTGCTCCACGGGGTTCATGGCAACACCACGCACACGCGGCCACTCGTTACGCTTGACGCGGTACTTGTGGAAAGCACGTCCTGCCTTAAGGATTGGCTTGTCGGTACGACCTCCACCAGCAACAACACCAACCATAGCACGGCATCTGTATATCAACGTTAACACACACAAGTGTCAGCCTCATCCTTTCAGCAGTCAACTCCTTCTCCAATATCAACGACAATATTTCTTCTAAGCACCTCAAAGCACTCGTCATACTTCCGTTCTCCAAAAGTACGAGTCTCTTAGAGATACTTACTCACCGCTCCAGGCGGGAAAGAATGATATCAAGCACACACACACGAATTGTATCAATCAAGACACTAAAACGTGGCGCGAACGTTCTCTCTTTTTCATTGCAAAATGATCAAGAAAAAACGTCGCCATGCCTCAAGATTCAATTCAGAATCTTGAATCATTTGTCGCCGTATGGCCAAAAGGAAGCAGTAACTTACGCCGAAGAAACGGTCTTCTTAGAACCCGAAGGTAGACGCAACTTGGTCTTGCCCTTGTCTTCATCATGGGTCACAATAACAGCGTAGTCACCCGAAGCACGGGCAAACGAGCCACGGTCACCAACCTTGGCCTCCACGTTACACACAATGGTACCTTCCGGCATGGCTGACAAAGGCAAGGTGTTGCCTACAGCCAGAATAGCCTTTGGACCCGAGTAAATGAACATACCCGTGTACATACCCTCAGCAGCAATCAATAGTTCATGCTTGAGCTGAAAACGGTACGGATCACGGTAAGTCACCCGAGCCAAAGGCGCACCACGACCAGAATCGTGGATGATCTCCTTGACAACACCTTTAATGTAACCAGTACGTTCGACAAAGTCTAAAGCACGGAAAGCAGCAGGGCCTTTACGCAAGTGTGTGTGCGACTTGAAAATAGAGCCAGCACCCTTACGCTGACCACGGATAACACGACCCATATTTGCTTTACTTTATCAACCGAGAAATGTCCAAATGGAATGCATCGTGGCTACGAGGAATGTTGGAAGCTTCCTGGCCAACCATGTCCTTTTACACGCAAAACGAATGATTAAGTTTCGGAGGTAAACGAGACATAGTAAGAGGAAGTGTATACACGATACGGTGATTCGGTGGTGGAGAAAGCAATGGTACAATGTACCAGAGACTTGGACTATATTCAAATTGTAAATCATTGGAGCTTTTACTACCACGAGTGAAGATTATATGATTTTATGATTCAATAGCATTTGGTATCTCCACCTCGTGAAAACTTATTTTTTAGTATATTGTGTGCGAGGTGGTCATTTAAATAATGCAAGAAAAAACCATTAGTGAGACTTTATAGTTGGGCTTGATGCAGTGCTTTTCCATCTGCTCCTTTGCCCTGGTTTGTCTCTCTACATTTCAGTATCAACTGTAGCTAAGCTTAGGACACTGTCTAGATTATAATCAATGTAGTTTCTCTATGATCAATCATCTACTCTTCAGCTCTCTTCCTCTATGGTAATATACACGTAACATACGTCCTACCTTACAGCCGTCGGTCTGCAAGTTCTAGGCAAAGGTCATTGGAATCGGCTGACCCGCTAGCATTGGCAATGGTTGATGCAACCTGGCAGCAACAGTTTCAGCATTGGCAATCACCCACGGGTGTTGTAACATCTCGTCCGCTGTAAGTCGCAGCTCCGGGTCCTTCTCCAATAACTTGTAGATAATGTCCTTGGCATCGGGTGATACGTTGTCCCAAGCGCTGAAGGCAAAAGTGATCGGTTCCGTCATTATACGGTGCTCCACCACGTGGTCGGGGGACATGCCGTCCAGATCAAACGGATGCGAACCGCAGAGCATGATGTAGAGCACACAGCCAAGCGCCCACATATCGCATGCGCTCGTGCAGATACCTGAAGTAAGCAACTCGGGAGGCAGGTATGCAGCCGTGCCAATGTCTTCGAGACTCGTGACCATACCTGCCGGTCCAGCACTTCCGAAATCTGCCAACTTAATGAGACTGGGGGTGGACTTGTTACGGCGGTAGTTGTTACTGTTATTGTGATCGACAACGCGTGCACTCAAGAGAACATTTTCAGGCTTAATGTCCTTGTGCACGAGTCCATGTCGATGCAGGAACGAAAGAGCGCTGGCCATTTCGCACGACACCTGCTGCACCTTAATTTCAGAGAGCGACCCATACGTGATGACTTGCTCAAAGAGGTCACCTCCACGAGCCAGCTCCGTAATCATAAACATTTGACAACCTTCTACGTACGTGTCTCGCAGGTCAATAATGCTGCTGTGTCCTCCTAGAGCTTTCACGAATTTCAAAGCAGAGATCTCGCGTTCCAGTTCTGGGTACGAGCGATTTTCATCAGGATTCTGCAGAGGCACAATCTTGACAGCCGCCACTTCACCCGTTTCCTCGTGCATTCCAAGACACACAGTGCCAAAGGCTCCAGAGCCGATCTGATCGAATAATTGCCACTTGTGCTTCACCGGCTCAATGACCGCTCGAGACTGCGTGACATTTTCCAGCTGCACTTCCAAACCGACACTAAGTGCCGCAGCGCCCACAACAACCAGACTCAATCGGTTCGTGTCACACTTAACACCCGAGTCCGAATTGCAACGCGATTGCGTCTGATAGACACATTGTCGATTGTTAAGACTGCACCGTGGCAATTGCGTTTCAAGGCTCGAGCAAATCGTAGAGACCATGAAACGACTGCAATTGGAGACTTTCATTGCTATTGATCGTTTAAAGCAAAACATTGCAAGCGAAGACGTAGATACTAACTATATATTGCAGTCAAGGTTGTAAGGTAGTAGTAGCAAGTGTCGGAATGGTAAAGTTGGTTGCATGCATGTGTGCATGGAAGGTTTCAGCCGTTTACACAGCCGTTTATTAATATAGAAATTTGTATACTCATGACGTCCCTGTGCTCAGGGGTTTGCTTCGAGATCGGACACTGACGTCACTGATGCTGCTAGAATACCAAAACCTAACGCCTGATTGAGACCCAAATTTACAATTAAAGTATACTAAAGTTCATATAATCATGTTGAAGTAATCATCTTCTGTCGTTCAATTGACCTGTGACAGGAAGAAATGGGTACAACGAGTCAGGTCTAATCCGTTTTTATAGTGGATTTGTACACTCGAAACCCAAATGTAAACTCCTTTTAGTCCTGTATATAATAGTATACTCAAAGCAAAAAGAATAGACAGATTCAAAAACGAATCTCTCGTTATGAGGTCATTTGTAAATAGATACCATACAGAAACCTTGACACTAGCCAACCGTCTCTCAATCTTGTCGATTTTGCTGCAATTCCAATTCCTTTTTGGTCTCACATGATCAGAATCTTGTTTACTCAATCAAGTCAATTGGAGTAATAGGTCCCTTGTCCTTGTTCTTTGCAGTCTTGCTACGAGCGAGACTGACCCATTTCTTGGCCTTTGTAACAGTGGTCGTACCATTTTGCACCACTTGCTCCTTCCGTTGACTCCCTTGCTCCTTCCGTTGACTCATCTTCTCCTTTCGTTGAGCAACCACCTCTTTGCGATGCTGTAAAACGGAACTTGCTTGCTGTTTCCGCTGTTGCACCGCCTGACTCGCTTTTTGACGACGTTGCTGCATGGCACTGGCTAATCGTGTCGTACGAGACATGCTGCTACCAAGCAGCTTTGCAATGTCAGTTGAAGGCCGATCACTGTCGAAAAAGGACATAGTTGTCGAGTCGATAGTTGGTCGGTCTTCCTTCCATTTCTCCACTTCATCGTCCCCTGACGTAGACGAACTATCGGACGAGTGCATCTCTTCCGGCTCCGTCGAGCGGCTTGAGCTGCCGCTCTTCTCGAGGAAATTACACAAGTCTGAGTACTCGCCGCGTGCAGATTCCAATTCCTTGCGATGAACGCTCAACTTTTGCGTCAGGTCGACCGCCTTGAGACGGTTGGACGCCTTTATCACATCACGGTCGCAACGGTACTCGGCCACCACAGCCTCTAGCTCCTGGTTCGTTTTCTGAAGCTCTGCCAGCTGCCGTTTAAGCTTGACATTCTCTTCTCGAACACGGGAAATCTCCTCATCCTGCTCTTTCCGAATACGAGCGACCTCGTCATCTTGTACTGTACAAGAAGCCTCCTGTTCCTGTTCGGCCTTTGAGATTTTAAATGTAGAGAATTGCTGACGAGCCAATCGACCACGCTGAATATCCTGCATGCTAGTACCTGCTTCCGGCTTCTTACAAGCCTCTTCCTTCATTCTGCGGGCCTCTTCCTCCATTCTGCGAACCTCCTCTTCCGCCGCTTGCTTCATCTTTTCAAATTGCGCCCTGGCTAAATGACCGCGAACCATCCGTTGCATGATCATGACTGCCTTCTCACGACGCTGACGCATGGCAATCGCCTTCCTTTTCCGTTCCTCTGCCAACCTCTCCTTTTCTCGGGCTGCCTCCTCCGCGGCAAGACGTTGTGCCTTACGCTTATCGTGCTCACACTGCAAACGTATTCGCTCCCGTTCCTCCTCTTCTTCACGATGACGAAGCTCTTTTTCTTCAGCCTCTTGCAGCATGTTGGCAAACAAGCACCGGGCAAAATATCCGCGGACGTTTTTTTGGATAGCCAGCGCGCTCTCTTCGCAAAGGACCTGAAACTTGCGTTCTTCTTCCAGTCGACGCTCTTCTTCCAATCGAATCAGCTCTTCCTGTAACTCGCGTTGTCTAGTAAGCTCTGCTTCTCGCTTGCGTTGCTTGGCAAGTTCCATCTCCCTCTTCATTCGTTCCCGCTCCTCACTCTCCAGTTTCGCCATGTACGTAGTCCGACGCCTACCAAGCTCTTGTCGAGCAAGGTACTGTCGAGCAAAGCACTGCAGACAAACTGCACGAGTCTGGCATAACACCGCAAAGAAGATGTGCCGTCCCTGATGGCCACGCCACATGCGCTGAATCTGAAGAGCACAACGCGAACATAGCAGCGCGTGGAACTCACAACGACCAACGTGTCCACGCCAGACACGTTGAATCGTGGCAATCGCGAGTCTCATGCGAAGGAACCGGCTTCTGTCCAAAAACGCCTTAACACATCGCTGAATCTCAACCAGTGCGACACGTATCGTGTAGTATTCGCAGCGTGCGTGCAAACCGCGCCAATGAGCCTGGATAAGTGCTACATACGCAAACAGCTTTTGCGCCTTGGCATGCTCCAGCTTCTCGAGCACACCCTTCTGCAGGTAAATCTTCGTCACACCCATCTGATACTCCTCCGGGGTCTCGAGCTTGAACTGCTTCACCAATATACGGCAAAATGATGCACCATGCTGTTCTGCTTCTTTCTTGATCTGTTTTTGCTCCTTTTCATTCAAGAAAACGTCGAACTGCTCTGCAAACTCGGCATGTAGCAATCGGTTTGGATAACCAACACGGGCGATGCAAACAGCTTCAATGACGCCAGCACAGCGCAATTGATTGGCCACCATCTTGTCTTCTAGTATCGTGGAGCTCTTGACACTATTTGGTTTGATACACCGAATATAATTGACGTTCGTCTCATTGATAGTGCCCATGAGAGAATTCAGAGACTGCTTAAATTGCATGCCCACGGTCTGGTCCGCCCCAACTCCGACGCGAGATCCTCCGAGTTTCCGACCTCCTGAAGACGCAAGTTTCAACCTACTAGCAGCTGCAGCAGCCGCAGCTTCCATCTCGGCCTTCATCTTAAAGAGCATCTGTGAAAACTGGTCGTGACTGCCGCACATTAAATCCGACAAGTCCGAAAGCAAAGCGTCCTTGTGTTTCTCAAGGAACCCCTTGGCGTCATATTTGACTGTTCCAGCATAGTGGTGAATCGCGAATTGAGACTTGGACATCCGCGGGAACTCAATGAGCTTCGTTTGCTTAAGATAGGCACCTGAAAGCTTGCTTACGAATCCTTCTTCGTTACCTCGAGGGCGGACGATCTCTTCGTTTAGCAACGCCAGCACACCCATTCGACCTTCAATGAGCGCAAGCAAATCGCTATTGTCAGCGTACGAAATGTGAGCCCACGTGATCTGTTCGCGCTCGTATTCTTCCTGCACGGTCCTGAACACGTCCTGCGTGAATTTCTGCTGCAGTTTCTCGTTGGCATAGTTAATGCAGAGCTGCTCGAACGAGTTGTGCTCAAAGCTCTCAAATCCAAAAATATCCAGAACACCAATCGTGTTTGCAGTGAGTCGTGCTGCAGCACCCAAACTGGCATTGATTCCAGACACTAGCCAGTCAAAAATGCTTGCATAGATAGCCTTAGCAAGTGCGTCACGTCCAGACTGAGCTTTCTCCACTGTTAGCGGTACCAAATACACTTCTCCAGCTGCCTTCATTGTGCGATGAGTCAGTGCTGCAGCCATCGTGTCCGGGTTCAAACCAAGGAGTGTGCTCGAATAGATTACCGAATCCTTATCCAAGTCACACGCTTCATCATTGTCGGGCTTTGCGGTGAATTGAGCCTCGCCCAAGTGTAATATACCCGAGAGGACCTGGAACAGGTCGTTTTGTTGCTCAGGTCCAAGTCCTAGTAGCGTTAGTGCTTGTCGTGTCTTCGCAAACAGAGCTCGGTCTTTAGAGTTCTCGGCTTCGATAATAGCAGATGATTTTGGTGAGGGTGTGGAGCATATCCTCGTCTTTTGTCCAGGTCGTGACTCTTGTTGAGGCTCCTTTTCTCCCAGGTACGAAAAACTTGGACACTCGTTTCCCAATCCCAGTGCATCCTTTTCATCTGGCGTCGTGCCGTGCAAAAGCTGGTAGAAAATGTGGTAATTGCGCTCTCCTCGCTCATGGGAAATGACACGTGTCTTCTCCAGCAAATAGGTTTTGCACTGAGCGCCGCAGAGGGCGTGGTTCTTGTCAAACTGAAGCTGTGTAAACTTGCCAAAGCGACTCGAATTGTCGTTACGAGTCGTCTTTGCATTACCAAAACTCTCAAGTAGCGGATTTACCTCGATAATACGTGTAGTGATGCTATGCTCTCCGTCAGTTGCAGTATTAGTCGGTACCGGCGCAATAGTAGCCAAGTTGTCCATCAATATTTTAGTGGTCTCTGTTTTTCCAGCACCAGACTCACCACTAACAAGAATACTCTGATTGCTACGCTTGTCACACATATGTCGGAAAGCCGCGACCGAGACCGCATACACGTGAGGTGGCAACTCCTGTCGTTTTCGAGCTTGCAAATACTTTTGATGAAGTCCGGGTGTATACTGCTCATCCAACCACTGGTACGGGTTCACTGCGAGACAAATATCTCCCGTATACGTATATGGCATTCGTGCTCGAAAGCGTTTCTTGAGATTTCGAAGAATCGAAGCTTCATGTAAATGATTCAACTCAATCATATTGTCCAGACCTTCTTCAGACCGCGAAAGTTGTGCATTTTGTAAAGGAAATCCAACATCAATAGCCACAACTCGACTCTCGCCCGTTCTATCAGTATCGTCATGATCAACTGATCCGTCATGCATTTGATCATTCCGTGGACGTTGAATTCTCACCGTCACAAGTCTTTTTTCTTCATTTACTTCTTCAATAGACACAGGAAGCCATGCAGCATCTTCATCTGGAATATAACAACGTGTTCCAACTGTAATACTTGACGTCATGTGTTCCTTCTTTTGCAATATTGATCCATCTACTGTCTTGGTCTTTTTCTCACCATTAAAAGGAGGCATTCCTACACTTTGTTGTCAACGATTGATTAATAATACACTCAATGGTATTTTTGGTTTAAAAAGTCGTGGCCTTTCCTCGTCAGGTAGTCAATGTCCAAGAGGGTGAATGCCCTAACCAACTTGAGCTCCATGGACGACCGTTACGTCGTCTCGGAGGCAGCTGGTACAAAAAAATAGCCAGTCATTACTTGCTTTTATATATATATATAAACGATAATAAGAACACCGTCTACTCTTAAATCCGAGTTACTGTAGTCGAGTTATTTATCCGGATAGTTGAGCTGACTAGCCCTTACCCTGACCGTCAGATGGAACGGTATCATGTCCGATTTATGTGCTTGAAAAATGGAAAGCAAGCTGCTAGAACAATGTGGACGGGTTTGGGGGGAAAAACAGATGGTTTTGTACCTCACACCATCTGTGATACAAGCACATCTTTTTGTGGACCTGTGTTTTTTACAGGACATGATTCCTCTATAGAGTTAGTGATTAGGATCACACGTCTTTGCAACATCGTATCTGAGACATGGCATGACGATAGAATTACCTCCATATTATTGTACGAATACTAGAGCCAAGCATTTTTGTTTCGGCTGGTGCTACTTTGTCGATAAGTTTGTCGTGCCTGAAAGGGTACAAGACGTTATAGACTTTGCAGCTGTCTCGAAATGGCTGAAGTGTACGTGGTCATAATATGAACTACGCACTCTCTTTTTATGCTGACTTTTTAGAAGGAATCAATGCTCTCGAGCCTTAAATGACATTTCCACAGAGCTGTGTGTAAATCAGCATTACAAATTGAGGCGGTTCTTGTAAAGAGGTACGTGCGGTAGCTTGACTGCAAGCAAGTCGTGTCGATAGTTGAATAGTACCTTTCTTTCCGGTTGGTATGCACACAGATCAAGTAAATTTCGTAATGTCGTATATTTTCTAGTGAAAGATTATTTGCCAAGATGCACCAATGGGGTTTTCTTTTTTATGTACGCGATGTTATTTGCCAGCACGACATGTAAATCTGACCTTTTGTAACGCCAATACTACCTAAATTTTGTGCGACAGACACAAAAACATAAATTATAGTCCTGTATCATTTCAGAAGAATGACATCAACGACGATGGAGATTGTGAATTGTCGACGGTTCCTGGCGGCATGGAGACGATTCGAGACCAGCAAAGAGCAGGAGGTGGATGACGATATCATTACAAATGTATGTGAACTTTTGTAATTGTTTACTGATCCCTTTATTCCCATCTCCTCTTATCTCTTTCTAACGTGGTATTTTTTCACTTCTTGTTAATTTAGTACCAGCAATTGGCACTCCACTTTCAGCAGCTCATGCAAGATAGTGATGCGATGAAATCTTTTGAATCAGATGTTGCATTAATTTTGGTCACTATTGATACACTTAAGAAACGGGAGGAGGGTGTTGTGACATCGCGACGAATTCCACGAGTATCAGAGCTTCTGAAACTTCGAGAAACGCGAAATCGTGCTGCTAAGATTGACGTCGAGACTGAGACTTTGATAAAAGAGCAGGAAGTGCAGTCTACACTTGGTGAAAATATAGAGAAGGAGGTCTGTGCGACGCTGGAACTGCGTTCGGACCTGACTGCAGATGATTTCAAGTCAATGCTAAAGGTGGCTACTTTACAAGAGGAGAAACTATCGACCAAGTCGATTCGAAAACGACTTGGGTTGGTAGATCGATTGGAAACACAGAAAAGTGCATCTGAGACAGTAGCACGAGAAGAGCAGGAGCTTATTCAATCGGAAATGATGTCGCTGGCGAAGCAGTTGAAGGACAGGACGCAGACGATTAATCACTCGCTCACAGAAGACGTCAAGATCTTAGACGCCGTGGAACAAAGCGCTCAGTCAAATACGGTGTTATTAGACCGAGAAAACGCCAAGCTAAAGGAGCAGCTGGCCTCGAGTATCGGACTGTGGACGTCACTGTGGCTTGTGGCAATGCTGGTCGTGGTCTTTGTTGCCACGTATTTCTACATGAAACTGTTCTCGCGACGATGGTAAATATGCGAGCAGCTTGGGAGAAAGCGGGCAAACGCAAAAAATACAGTGTCTATTGTACTTAGCTTTCGTCATGAACTAAAGGCGTGTAGGCAGCATCGTACCAGTCACGCGTAGTATGCAGGCCTCGCCAACCGCGTAGAGACCGTTCGCTTGCATATTGCGCAATGCAACGCAAGGCCACTTCTTTCTCAAAATATTTAATAAGCACGCCACCGACTGCTACGAGCAGAATGTCGTTGTGAACGTGCGCCAGGAAAGCAAGGCCACCGATGAAAGCTGCAACTTGGTTCACATTTGAGCTGACATTCCACAGCGCAAACAACTTGCCGCAAAAGATGTTCTTTCTTGTGACGAAAAGCAGTCCAAGTAGCGGCGAGCCGAAAATGGCTCCCGGTACGATACTAATGACTGACCATAGCGCTGTCTATACAGCAAATAAAAGGATAAACGAACCATTAGACACAGCCAAGAAATATCCTCCGACCACAGGAAACTAAGACGTACCCGGGAGCAGCCAGCATCTTGGGCAGTGGGGTCACGAATTTGAATACAATAGTACTCCATCATGATCCAAAATGCAATACTCATATCAGCAATTAAAAGGAGCACCATCATCACGGAGAGTAACCACCGGACAGGAAGATCAGGACGGGACAAGTTGCGCAATCGGAAAAGTGGATACACAGGCTGCGAAAGAGTTGTTAACCACCGCTTCGCAGTGTCATTTGTACACAAGGCCTCCACCAGCGCTTTTGCTTGCCGTGCCGTGATACGGCTATGTGGTTTCTTGTGTGGTATGAGACTATCGCTGTCATCCCTGAAATTGTCTGGGTAATCTCTTTGACGCTCAGGCTGCACAAACAAAGCTTCCATCCTGATCTGTGAGTACCGGAAGTCAGTTGAACGAGGATCCGCTTCAGCCATCATTCGGTCATTATCTTCTGATGACGGCTCTAGATGATGTAACGACGTCTTGTTTATTGTTGCAGGAAATGTTTCAGGCAGTCTAAAAATTCGAATAGCCAATTTAAACGGTTCTTGCGAGTAGGATGCGAAAGTCGTGTCTACATTTTCGAGCGAAATCGGCTCAAAGCAGCGCTCATTCCCATCTGCCGCTATCGCTTTTCCGACCAAGAATGTCCCGAACATCACCGCAAAGCCATCTTTTACGTGTTTCTCGTTGAGCGCTTCTACACATTTGATTATGTCACGAGCCACTTCAGCAGCCTCGCGAACACGGCGAACAGCTGACGTAGGCTGCGGTAACACGCGCAGTTTCTGATTGATATCGGCCACAAAATCAATCCAAAAGTTGTGTTCCAGAAGTTGGAGACGCGAAGGTACGGCTCGCACGATAATGTCGTTCGAATCGAGATGATATGGTCTGAAGAATGAGCCACTACCACCAACCACAAGCACTAGATCCTCATGATTCGCAGCTTGCATCGCATTCAAATTCAACGATGAAAACGAACCTGACCGTGAAATTAGTACATCGAAGTAACCGAGTGAGAAATCAGAGCTAAAGCCAACTTTCAATTGCGTGCCATGCACTCGAAAGTTCATGTCGCGGAAGAAGCGACCGCCATAATCTCGTATGTACTTCGTAAGCTTTACAACGCGACGCAACTGGCAGCGTCGCATGAAAAGGGTGCTTACTGGAGGTATCGTGACAATCAAAAAGCGATACAACCACGCCTCCCAGCTTGTAAGGTCCCATTCCACCAATTTGTTGCATGTGGAAGCAAAACTAGCGTACGTGCCTTCTTCGACAATGTCACGCAGGCTTACTGGTAAGAAGTATGGATTCAGTCGCCAGGCACTCTTCAGATGATTGTCTCCGGCGAGATACAAGCGAGCAACGTGAGCAGTGAGATCTTGGTCAGTTAGCCGAGGAGTTAAGGTTCGTGTTACCGTCTCGAGCGACAGCTCATCGCGCAACCTTTGTGCTTTGTACTGGGTATAACGGTGCAGCTCGGACCTATCGTCGTGGTAAGAAAAGAACCCCCAGGCGGCAAAGATAAGACCAGTAACGGCAAACACGAGAATCACAAAAGAGAGCGGACCACCGATAGGTTTTACCAAGCGTTCGAAAGGGGTTAAGCAGTCCAGTCCATTTCGTCCCTTAAAGCAAGCATATGAGCAATTGCCGGGCATGTTGAACTCGGAGTGGATGGGTTTGTTCTTGCATTTAGCACATACAGTTGCACCAGCTTTAGCTGTGGTCTCCCCAATTCCACACAGTGTACAATTGCTACTGCCGGACGAAGTAGTAATGCTGCCTACAGGACAGAACGAGCATGTACTGCTGCCAGTCAACCGTGCAAACGATCCAGGTGGGCACAGCTCACACTTCACCAAACCCACTTTTGCACCAAATGACCCCAATGGACAAGACTGGCACTCCTTTTGTCCAAAATCTGGATTGAAATGACCAATTTGACATGCATCGCAATTTTCAGATCCAGTATGGCTAGAGTATGTACCAGGATCACATGGCGAACACTTAGAGAAACGACCTGGGCTGTAACTGCCCTCCGGGCATGGCAAGCAAAACACGTTACCACGCCCTGGACGACAGTTTGCACCAACCATAACACCTGCACCTCCATTCTCACCTCCTGTGCTTTCACCGCCGCTAACAGAAATGCGACCTCCATTCTTAACAAACGCCTCCCCGTTGCCCTCACTCGAATTGTCAGGAGTATTCAAATATGTGATACGAATTATTCCTCCACCTCCACCACCCCCTACCCTTCCAGCATTGTCGATAAAAGCCCCTGGAAGCACGTTAGGATTCCAAATTGACTGGTTTGCAGGTTTGTTGTTGGCAGAGGAAACTACTGGCGCGGAAGTTGAACCACCAGCCAAATCTATGAAGCCTCCGCCGGCGATGTCAGCAATAAAAAGTGTCAGGGATCCACCAGATCCACCGCCACCGCCCATTGAACCGATTCCTCCCCGCGCTGAGATTGACGCTACTTTGGCTATGTTAAGCTTCTTTGTCCCAATGTAGATGATTCCACCCCCGCTGCCTCCAATAATTTTGTTTGGCGTGTCGCCACTCGCCGCACCACTACCGGGCCAAAGCGGCCAACCGCTGTCCGCAGACTGTGACATCCACAATCCGGTTTGCTGCATCACAAGCTCTTTGGAAACGTCATAGACAGCACCACCACCAGTACTGCCCGGTAAAATGTTACCACCTCTTCCGCCATGGCCTGCCCCACCGCTAGCTACACCAGAAATCTCGCTCTTACCAGGACCTACGCCAGAACCACATCCAAGCCTCGAGCTGGAAATCGCACCCTCGACGGTCATGATGCTGCTGCTACACAGAATCATAGATCCAGCCGAAAAATTCCCCAGAGTAGCAATCTCCGAAGCAAAAATACTGATTGAATATGGCTGATCGTCAAAATTTGACCTGTGCAAAGTTGTGCAGGCGGATGCGTCCGCTTCGAGATTAATACCATTGCATTCCACCACTGGGCCACTGTTCACGTTGTCAATGGATACGTTCACAGCCGAAACCAATAGTTTAAGAAATGGAGTGTCAAACGGCATATCTAGGAGCACTGTGCCATTCGTCCTGATGAGCAGATTCACCTGTCCCATTTCCGTAGTTTGTGGGCGAAACTCGATATCTTTGTTACTAATCACGCTAATCATGGGGATATCGTCTCGGTCGCTACGATGCACTTGCACGAACGGTTTGCCCAAAGGCTGCAGGAAGCCGCGAATCTTGATAGAAGCATTTGTCTTGATGTTTACTTTTGCTTGAAATTGAAGCACAGAAAACTCATCAATAGAAAGCGTACCGAGGGCATCGACATCAAGTTCGTGCACCATTGCTAGCGCATTGGAAAATGAAACGTCAGCTCCAATTAGTAACAGACCAAATAAATCACGTTCTTGTAGTGATGAAGGCCCCACGTAACCCTGTTTAAACACAATGACACCGGTGTAAATTTGATGATTTTAGTGACGTGGAGCGCAACGTGTTCAAAAATCGTAATGCAAAACTATTCATACCTGAACTGTAATTTGCGACGCCGACAACCGGACTGTTCGTTCACGGTCAAAAACATTGAGTTCTGATCCAGAGTCAACCTGTTAAGTAAGTAACGAGAATACACGGTGTCAGAGACTCTAGACACCTCAACGGTCAAAGCGTGACGGCAGCATTCTCATTTCTTACTACAATCGAACTTTTAATGCCTCCAACGCTGTCCTGAAAATGAAACGTAGCCTTTCATTAGGTAGCCAAACTTCGCAAACACTCTAATCAGACCAAATACCTGTAGATCAATCACCGATGCACAGACTGTAGATCCGCCATTTACAAACATATGTACAAGAGACTCTGGCAGGAATCGGGCACCCCTGGGAGTTTGCTGGAAAATCGGTGTACATCCGTAAATCTGAATGCGCTTTACGGGTCCAGAGTGTGCCAACCGTCTCCCTTTTACAAGCAACGTACTTACTACAGTCTTAAGACGTCGGCTGCCATTACGGTCACCATCATCTTTCTTCGAATAATGTAGCTTCAATATAGTCCCATCGCCTCCTAACTGGCACCACCCTATCGCTGCACTTTTGTCAGTACTCGAACCGCCACCGAACGCCGCGACCTGTGACGGCACTAGTTCTTCTCCGTTCTTTGAATCAAGCACAATTCGTCCACCTCCACCTCCACCACCACCACCACCAGCAAATTTATCATTACTGAAAATACTAGGCTCTCCACCATTCGCCTGCACTGTTCCATTTCCATAGATACGTTCCGTCGCCACAACTACAATACTGCCGCCTGCGCCAGCACTATCATAGCAGTCTTCACATGCATCTCCTCCATGGGCCAATAGGAATCCATGGATTTCCACATTTCCCTCTACAACCACAGAGATTCGTCCTCCGCCCCGACTCTTGTCATTACCTCCTCCACTGCCATAGCCTCGAAAATTAGCCGAGTTTGCTGAGACATCTCCCACTGCTCGAAAGAAATCATTACGTGATACGTTATCACAGTTTGAGTGACTATTAGTAAGTGAAGCCCCACCAATTCCTCCATAACTGCCGCCCATTGCGCTCCACGAGTTATAACCTGGTCCAAACTTGAGCCCACGAGCCGTTACGTTTACAACAGAATGTTTGTCTATTGATACGTTAGCTGCACGAACTTCCACGGCGCTGGCATGCAATTGACTGTTACAAATGGACACGGTGGTGAGGCTTGTATTGAGGTTAAATGTCAGTTCTGCGTGGACACCGGGCAAAGGTGAGAGCTTTGAGCCATCTAACGTCACATTTACAATCTCCAGTAGCTTCAGCTGCTCTTGGTCAGGTACAAGTAGATCACAATTGACGTAATATTCGTTAAAAGAACCGATAAAGTGCAGACTTGAACACTTGAAGATGTCTTTCATCTGAGTCCTGCTATCGATCCGAAAGGTTGTAGGAGGTAAAGACACTGTCATTCGATTCGCAAGACACAGGATATTCATATAAAGCAGAGTCAACAAGGTAAAGACAAGCATCAACCGTCTTCTTCCCGCCAGGAACCGCAAGTGCAACCTTCGTTGCCGCATTTTTGTGTTTGGATGCGGATGCGGGGTTGAACCAGAGTGATGGTCGTTTTCATCTTAAGTACGAATGCAGTCCGCGCCAATGCCCAAATATCCATCCCCCCACAAGCCAATTCGACCGTCGATTGAAATGAGCGAGAGTTTATCGGTTGATGATGCGCCGACGCTGCGTTTCCGACAGCTACATCAGGATCTATTAGCGTTTGCTGGACAGAGTATGACAGATGAAGATACACCATTGTTCATGACGAACCTCGTAGCAGCAGCACCGGATCTGCTTGAGCCGTTATCGTTGACACCATGTAGCGCCTCGGAACGTGCGGCGCTTAAAGCCAATACAGTGAACGTGAGTGGCAAACACGTAGATGTTTCACCGCTTATTCAACAGGAAATTTGCAACCTCAGTGACGAGTTTCGTGTTAGTGAGAAGACGTGCCTTGAGTTTTGGCTCTTAGCTAGTGAGCAACAGCAGCGGGAGTCGGTCGAACGTACCGATCAATTACCGCCCGGTACGATTGCTGACTCGGTACCGAACGCCGCGCGGTATTTCTTAACGTCTGAGACAGAGTACAAGCTTCATTTACTTAAAGAGTTATTGCGTCTACGTCTTGAGACGAGATTGGACAAGCAACGTGCACAATTTCTCGTCACGTATACAAACAAGCTGTTAACAGAAGATCTAGTGTCGAAGCTGGTCAATGCTTTTGATAATGAACTGGTACAGCTTGCACAAGTGCCTCGGATGGAGCAAAGTGTGAGCTATTGGCACACGCTGGTAGCGGATTGTTTAGTGTTTATCGTGTCCAGTACGTTGATGCTGGCGGAAGAAGTTGAGAAGCTTGCAAAGCTATTGAAGACGTTGTGTGGACGGCTGAATACTGTGGTGGCAAAGGTCTCACCACATATTGTGAACCTCTCGTCGTTCGCGCAGTTGTTTGAAGGTGGATCCCTGGCAGGCACATCGCCAGAAGGAGCGGTACGACAGGTATCCTGTATGTTGCAGACGACTACTGCAATTCAGGTGGCGCTGTTTGCCGTGTTGTTACAGAAAAGTAGAAAAATGGATCGTGAAACAGGTAACATGAAGAGTGGCATTGCATTGTGCCGACGAGAACACGCCCCCGTGGTAAAAGAGTTGCACCACATTTTTTTCGAGGACGAGTGGGAACAGAAGAGTTTCCAGAGCGTTGCAGTACTCGCATGGGCTGGATTTCTTGCAGGTAATGACGATGGCAACAGCAGTAATAGCAACGTCACTTTTGTTGAGGCAGAAGCTGCAACGCGGGCAGTCAAAAAGGCAATTGAAGAACGCGTTTTTCATACGTTGGTTGAGGTGCAACTTAAATATTTGCCAGATCGAAAGCGTGATCTACGGTTGTACAACATTTACGAACGGAACTTTGAGCTTTTGTTCCGTACGTATTCTTCCAAGATGATGATTGACGTACCTACGGTCGCTGACAAGACCGCGCTAGCTGCTATGCAATCCGAAAGTAACGGTGAAGTAGCTGCGTGGACGGGTGACTGCCTGGAAAACATTATTGATTTTGCAACAGCGTTGTGCGCTCGCAATACAATGTTCTGCTGTTCGTTTTGGCGCAGAACAAACCACGAGTTTGACTTTCACGGCAGCAATGGTAGTGTTACCGAAAGCAATGCAGAGGACGACCTGCGACAGCCTGAGTCACATCCTGACAGTGTTGATGGTGGAAATTGTTACGATTTTTTGGTCTCTTGCCGTGATACTGCGCTTAAAAGTCCTGGATGTCTAGCTGCATATTTACGATTAGTTGCATCCGCCGCGAGTGGACCAGAGTGTGCCCAGCAGGCATTCCGCCACATCAAGCAGAATCCACCGCAACTTAGCTGGGATCAGTTCTTTGTCGTGATGGCAAAGTACCAGCGACTCCTTACAGATGCTGAGAAACCTGCTGGATATTCACCGCTCATGACCGTTGGCGTTACCCATGGTGCTGGAATCAATAGCAGCACATATAATAATGTGAGCAGTACAGCGAACCCTGGCCCCCGATTCATTCGCCCTAAGGAATTGGAAGCACTAGAAACCATTCAGCTACTTATTCAAAAAGTGATTTCGGATCATCAGCTGGCACTCATCTTCTTTCACAACCATGATTGGTCTCCAATTCCGACATTTGTAGCTTTTCTTCAGTGTCGCATCCCCAGTTCGCTCAAGGGCTCGATCATGAGGACGCTCGCCGTCTTTGCACGGGTATCGGACATTGCGCCATATGTATGGCGCCAAGTAGACGCGTTGCAAATTTTGCGTACAACGGGGGATACATCAGTATATGGCAACCAGGATATCAGCTATGAACTTGAGCATTACGAGTCTTTGAGCAGGACGTACCCGGCAACGAGAGGGTTTGTTACACTACTGTACGAATTGTTTGAAAACCCTCACGCCTGGAAGTCATTCGAAGGTGACGGTCGTGTCGCTGCGATTCAGTTCTACTTTGAGTTTTTGCTCGAACACGTATTCCTGAAGTTTGACATACGAAAGTATGAGCGACAAGAAGAAAAGTGGGATTTGGTGAACGGCACCCTCGCAATTTTCAAGAAAATCTTACGTAATGCAGACACATCAACCACCGAGGGTAGCTTATCGTATCAGGTGCTGGCTCGATTCTTGTCGAGCAATCCTTTGTTGAACAAAGTGTTATCTATTCTATCTGGGGATGGAGGTGTAGAGAATCTGGAGAACACATCGACGGATATGCACCTTGAGCATGCATTTTTTTACTGCCTTGACATTGTCAAGCGCGAGACTGAGGTCAAGCACGGGTCCCTGAACTTTGTTATTGATGTATCAAAAAAACCTAGCGATACGTACCTGACCAAAACTACAGCAGTTGCTGCATTGCGAGAACGGTGTGTGCAGCATGCACTCGAGATTGTGGTCTTGGTCCTGGAGAAGGACGTTCAATTTGTGAACACCGATCTCAACCGTCAACTTTCGCACGGGCTGCAAGTGGAGATGATGCACACTATCTTGTGCCGTCACCGTTCAGACTTTGTGAACATTATCAAGTACATAAAGTATTCCAAGTCAACTCACATTCCGCATCTATCAGCTGTAATTCTCCGTCTGGTGAGCGCGCGCATGAGCGGAGCTGACCTTGTCGACTTGCTTATCGACAGCGAAGCAAGCGCAGATATTACAATCGGCTACATGAATCGTTTGCTGAACCTTTATGACGATGATGAAAACGAGCACGCCAAGAATGAAACGGATGAGCAAGATACTGACCCCGAGTCTTGTAACCTACGATCATCGCGGAGACGGAAGCGTCAAGACAGCCGCACGATATCTTCTCCGTTCGAACTGTTTGCTCAAGAGACATCCCCGCCTTCGATTCGTGCTGCGATTTTGGATCTGCTTCTTGAAAATTTGAACAAGCCGGCGCCGAACTTGGCGCATCTCCTACTAGGCAATGTAGGACAGCGTGGAGATTTGAATACTGCAATAGTGCCAATTTCTTACATGAAGACTGGTCTCGCCGCTCTAGTCACGCTCGTATCGAACGCGGACTTCGGCTTGGAGACACCAGAATTGGCGGAGCGTTGCTACCACGTCCTGCATCGTCTGATAACTCAAGAGTTTTCGTCTCCGAATACTATAACTGCATTGGAAAGTGCTCCAAACGACTACTTCGTCTCTCAGATCCAGTTGTTTAGTCGGGTCTACTGCGTAACAAGGAGAAAGACGGCTGCTGCTACTATTGCTGAGCTGAACATGCGCGGGTGGTTTTTTAAAACACTAGCGGTGTACCTGCATGTGGGACTGCACAAAGAGCCCCCGCACATGAAGAAGATCAACAAGCTGATGAGACAGTTGCTGTCCGTATCAGTAGGCAGCCGTAATGACCATCATGCTATTGAACCAATGTTGCTGATTCAGCTACTTGATGAATGTTCGTTCCACATCTCTCCGCCGCCAGTGCCGACAAACCAGCACGTGGTGGCCTTGGCTGAACAGATGACCGCGACTGTGGAGCTGGGTTGCTACTACAAGTGGCTAAAAATTGATGTTGAGCGCTTTTGCCAAGCGCTTCAGACACTTGATTTGACGACAACGGATGACGGGATGGGCGATTACTATTCATTGTCAAGCAAAAGGTTTCGCGTGAATGGAGATGGTACCAGCAGTTCTAGCACAGAGGCAGCCGCTGAGAGGTTTATCCAATGGGCCATCCAATGGAACATTTACTCGGAGCGAATTGCTGCTGAAAGCCATGCTTTGAATTCGCTTCGCGAGCTTATGGAGGTGATTGTGCTGGAATACCTTGTATTGCCCCGCGAACAAGAACTCGAGACACCAGAAATGTGGCAGGGGTTGGATGCTGTTGCGTCCGCAGAAGGGCGGCTGGAACTGATGAGCGGTATTGTGGTAGCGGTGCTGAGTAAACTGGGTGAGAAGGCAAGTGCCTCTGCTCAGTTGTTTGAGATTATTTCTAGGATCGCTTTGATGGTCTTCTCGCAGCTCAGCTATACCGAAGATGAGAGCCAGCCGTTGGCTTTACCAGCGAGCCGTCATCGCCAAAGCATAGGCTTCCTAGAACTGCTGTTTCGTTCCATCTACAGCAGCGCTGCAGCGACAGGAAACCCGTCAGCTGCACGCAGCTCTCGAACACTTTTGTACTCCTGCGTTGTTCACGTGCTGCATACGTTGCCGAGCAATGCTTCGCAGGATTCGGTCTCGTCAAAATCTGGTTTCGTGAGCTCTGCGTTAAGTCAGGACCAGCGTGTTCGACACCTTCTTACCAACCAGGTTGTCGATTTGATTTGCAAGGATGCAAGTGATGGCGAAGATACTCTCAGCATGGCACTAGCAGTGTCAACGCTAGAGTCTTTGATCGCTTTTGTAGACGACTCATCACTTGTCTCAATATTCCGTGAACGTGGCTATCTCTTGCACTTCATTGACATCTTCAAGAAGATCAGCGAGATGGATGCAGTCGCCTTTGAACGAAGTAACGGCAGTTCATCCATGGTGAGAAGCAGTGTCCTTCCTCATGGACTGGATACTACAACCATTGGCACGATGTATGAGTGTTTTTTGTCGCTCTTCGCCCGGGTTGCTGGGTCACAGGAAGGAGCAGTAGCTCTGTTGGAAGGTGGCTTGGTTCGTGTACTATCCGATGCTCATAACCTACCAACACATCGACCACAGTATTTTGCCCAGAATCAGCAAAACACTGTACCATCCTCTACTGCATCCATTACAGCTTTCGAGCGCGTTGAGGCTGTATACTACCGTAAGTGGCTTCCCGCTGCGCGTCTGCTAAGCGCAAGCTGTGCATCGTTGCCTAAGAACCGCACGCTTACTAGCCAAGTGCTCTATTTCGTGAACAAAAACCGGAAGCTGTTCACATCAGCGCTGAAGCTGTGCTCAGGCGGCTTGCAGTCGCAGCCGATCTCTGTCAATCTTCTCCGCGAGGTATCGTACGTGACGTTCGTCTTTCGCTACGTTACTCAGTTTCCTGACTTGTGCGATCAAACGCTGGCAACAGCCAAGTGGGAGAAAACCTCACAGTTGATTCTTCAGGTCTTCTTGTGCTACAGCGCAGAACTGGTGCCTCCCAGCGGCGACGACGATGAAATGAGTGACAGAAAAAGCGTTTCGTGGTGGGACAACAAGACTGCGTCTTCTGCGGAGGAACAACGCAACGCGGCCATTCAGCACTTCTCTTGTCGAAGTTGCGACGATAGACTTTTGGAGCAATGTGATGCTGCAGCCATAAAGTCCAGTGGCAGCGCAAGTCTGCTGCACATGTCCTTGCTGGACGAGGAAAAGCTGTACGCGTCTCGAATGATTTTGTGCAATGCTGCGGCTTTCTGCTCGAGTCGAATGATTCTCGCAGTGGGCGAGGATAATGCCGGTCGCGCTGCTCCGCTGTTGTCAATCGCGAACAAAGCACAGTTGCAGAATCGAAACCAGTTCCCATCCATGTCCTCGGTGGACCAACGCGCATTTGTGGCGGCTACAGACCCGCTGTGGACTCTTGCTCCGTCACTTGATGAGTTTACGGCGCGCTTTGACTCAGTCGTGTTCGCTCTAGAAACGAGCAAGCAGCTGGTGAATGCGCTTACAGCTCTCAAGAACGATGCTGCTTCGGTACGCTCGAATTCTGTTTCTTCTGCGTCGTCGCAGCGATCTCTTCGCCGGTGCGAGCACGAGTGTGATACTACACCACTAGAGAATGTACTAGAGTACCACACCGACAGCTTGGCGTTCATTGTGGAAAATATGCTTGTGGTGCTGCTTCTACACTTCGCACACTACCTAGGACGATCGGAAGCGGCAGCCAACAAGGGCGTTGTGCAACAGACACTTGGCAAAGTGCTTGCCATCGTCAGCGACATCGAGGTACGCACGCTTTGAGTAATTGTTTTCTTGCAGGCTCATGTAACATACTGCTTGTGGATGTATGGTATTGCAGAACAACCCCTTCATCCACGCTATTGCTAGAAAACTGCGGGACTTAGCGTCGAGCACTAGTTAATCAACGGGCTTAGGCCTCATAGAGAGTCAACCAGCAAAATTTTGACGTAAGCGCTGAGTGTTAAGTCCCGGCAGGGACGGCATGCAACACAGCCGAGCGCGCAAAAGTGCAGTAGCGGAGTCTACACGATAGACTTCAGCTCTCTTACCGGTTGTCATGCGCTCGTTTGAAGGAGTCTTCTAGCGAAAAGAAAAAGGTGAGCAGCGTTTTTGTTTCCGACTCCTCTCTGCCTGTCCACATAAAGTCTCGCTCGGCTATAAGTGATGCTGAAGAAATGGTTTTGCTTGAGTAGCTTATTTCGTCGTGCACGCTAATACTTGACATCAAAAAGTTAAACTGGTCACTTGGTCGTTCAATTCTACGAGCCAAATTGCGATGCAGGTACTTGACTCCTCGAATGACTAAAGCAGACGTCAGTCTTCATAACATCAGTCTTCATGACATCAGTCTTCATGACATCAGTCTTCATGACATCAGTCTTCATGACATCAGTCTTCATGACATCAGTCTTCATGACATCAGTCTTCATGACATCAGTCTTCATTGCATCAAAATGCAATGAGTGCTGAGCCCGTCTTCGTTTAGGTGCCGTCATCTTCGCCAATGTTAAAGTGTCTAAGGTAGCGAGTAAACCAGCATCAGCGGCATTAACGACGAGGTTGTTCTTGTTCCAAAGCACTGAATCTATGCATCTCGTCGATTACAGGTGCATGAGGTTGTAGATGCCGATCGATAGCACCAGTGTGGATGTTATTCTTTGAATGGCATTTCTTGCTCACGCTGGGCCCAGCCAACGTACGCTTCCTCATCCTGTCTGCCGTCAGACAATCACTGAAATTGTGTGGAAACTGTTCACGACATGAGGTTGAGTGTCGTCACCGCTCACCAAACGCGGCTGATTGAGTGAGTGGCCATACGTTCCGTGTGCCTCTTGTCCGTGACACGGCTTCGAAAGTGCTTACGCTTTCGTTCCAAGATCGTTTACTTTCATCTGTTCTTTTCCCAACACGTATGGACGATGCTTGACGTCCATTACACAGTCTTCGGTCCACTTTCGTCTCTTGTAATGGTCGAATGTAGTTTAATAATTATGCAGAAACTATCGTTTATGACTATTAAGGGGATTGTATTGTACCAAATTAAAGGTAGCAGGTAGAATAAAAAAATACATTACATAACGGATGACGCAATACAGGCTAACCCAATTCTTTATATAATAAGACGACAAATAAAACCTCATTCCTTTCCTACTATATATCCTCTTAAATAGTATTATCTACAATAATCACACAATTATCAGATTCAACAATTTCAACATTTTAACAAAAGCACAAACCAGACGTTATCAAAGAAGAACTTTTGACTACAAATTCAAGCACTTGCTCCACATCGAATGCGTTAAACCTTCTTTCTCATAGTCAGATCTCACTCGTTTCCATACGTTTTTGTACCAGTGGATACAAAAAAATCAAGAACTCGACGTCTCGTATACGATGATTGAAGACGTGGCCATTTTTGAACAGGCTGCCAAGAAATCATGGCAATCGTTTAGTACAATGCGACGTTTTGTCGATGAAGCTACACGTTTGGAAAATGCCAGTTGGCGTCTTTGGTTCATACAATGTACTCGTGGTCATGAACGACACGATAAACAAGATACAGAAGATGTGAATGATAATGTCACGGAAAGTCTTCGACCAGTTTGTGTCTATTGTGAACTACATTGTGCTAGTTTAAGCTGCAATGGCTGTTGTCATGATGCTTACTGTGTCAGTTGTTTTAAATTGATTCACAAGAAGGGTAATTTAGCGACTCATACAGCTGTCAAGATTTACATTGTGAGTGAAGTTGGTTGAAAGAGAGAGAGAGAGAGAGAGAGAGAGAGAGAAGGAAAAGAAAGGTGGTGATAACAATTTAACTTTTTTATTTTCTACTGATCTTGATGATAGTATGCAGAAAGAGAAGGAAATAGTAGCAGTGGCACATCAATAAGTGGAGAAGAGGCCGATATCTCGACAACATCACATCGATCGTTGTGTAACAAGAACGTGGAAAGTGATGTTCAAGTTTTGAATGGAGAGATGAGACAAGGATCTTTGCAACACAAGACAGATGGATCTATTTTCAACAAACCGTGGGAATTACAGATGGATATGTTGCTCCAGCGACTTATGATAAATAGTCTACACAATGACTTGGACATCAGGTATGAGAGTTTGAGGTTTAAACGAGAAGGATGGACTTATACTCTTCTTCGTAGAATGACAAGTTTGTTTGTTTGAATGGCTTGGTGATTGTAATCATGTGTGTGGATGTAGTGTGCACAATATTGATGCTCGTGGTTTGCTGGGCTCAAGTGCCTCGGACGTTGAAGATACGGCACTACTGCTGCGTACTGGCGATACAGGCGAGTCGGACGAAAATGCGAGGGAAAAGTCAAACCAGGCAGTCGTAGCGGCTGCAGTTGCCGCTGCCGGCCGACACCGAGCACACTCATTTACTATTGAGGAAAATGGGAAGTTACGCTCACCGGTAGTGTCGCCGATGGTGATCCACCCGTTACACCCTCTTGGTGTGGATGGCAATACGAAAGATCTTGCATTGCCGGTAAATTTGTTCGTCAAGGGTTTGTCTCGAACTAACAATCGTCGAAAGGACTTGCAGACATGCGCGAACTGTAATGGAAATCATATAACGGTAAAGTGTCCGCTACTGGAAAGCGCCCTATTCTCTCCTGCGACTACTACAGCGCCTGGAGGATCTGGAGTGGATACAGCGCTGCGAAAGTGTTTTACTACAATTCACAATAGCACGATGTCAAACAGCGCGCACGCATTCCTGGGCGACGAAGCCAGTGTTCGTGGAGGTAGTAATTTTGCCAACACGAAACAATGGCCATCCAGCAACGCCTTGCAGCAGATGGACCGACCATCACCATATGGGATGAACGTGATTGCTGAAGATAATTCGATGGCGAGTGATGACATCGCACCACTGCTAGAAGAACTTGCAGTACCGAACGCAGGAGGCCACCTTCATTCGTGGAGTGCAGACTCATGGTTACTATCGTGCTTGGCGACCGAACTACCTTCCGATGTGTTTGAGCAGTTACGAGGGCTAGGACGTGGAGATAAACATTGGCCTTTTTCAACGGGACCTGACTCGGCTGGGATGGCTCTTACGGGCTGGGCCCACCTGAAGGTACCGGGGCAAAAGTGGCGCAAACGGTTTATGTCATTGTACCGCAACGACCTCTGGGAGTACTTGGATGTCAATGAGACGAGTCGGCCAGTGGGTCACGCTAATTTATTTGAGGGATCCGTGCACCAGCAACAGCGGAGCACGGTCGAGTTCGTGCTAAAGTACAATACTCGGTCGTCGATGTTATCAGAACGCAATGAGCTGTGGCTGAAATTTGATTTTGAAAAGGATGCAGTGCAGTGGAGAGCGATGATAACGCGGGCTACGAAGCTGCAAATTGAGGACTTGTTCGACCTTACCCCAGATTCGCCAACAGAAAAAACCGGAAACAACGTTGAGCTAGGCAAAGGACGTTTTTCTGTCGTTCGCCGTGCACGCAGGAAAGCATTCACGAAGGACTCTTCTAGCTCACGATGTTGCGCTCTCAAGATCATTGAGAAGACTGTTTTTTGGGACTTGGTAGCCTGCGAAACAGAGCGCGAAGACACGGTGGTGCGAGAAATATTGACGCAGAGTTTGCTGACGGTCCGCTCGGGCTCTTCATACTGCCCGGTGATTCGACTTCAGTCTCTGTTTGAAACGCGTGACCATTTAGTCATGGAGCTGGAGCTTATGAGAGATGGAGATCTGCATGACGAAATTGCGACCAATAGTGCGGTGGACGAGACTCGTGCCTCATTCTTGATTGCTAGCCTCGTGCAGGCAATTGATTATTGCCAACGAAATGGCGTTGTCCATCGAGATGTGAAGCTCTCCAATCTTGCGCTAGACTATGAACGCAGCGCAAATGGCAAAGAGTACGTGGTCGTTGTTTACCCATTATTGATGAGCAAAATCCAATTTACTTTTGTTTGGTGCGATAGATACTCGGTGATCAGAGTTGCTGACTTTGGCATGGCAGCATTTATCCAACCAGATGGAATGCTAAAGGGAAGGTAGGCAATTCAGCTTATGCATGTTTTCTTTGTGTGTCATGTCTTCGTCAAATAACGTGAGATACGTCGTCTTGATTGAATTCGCTAAACGATTGCAGATGTGGAACTCCTGGTTTCGTCGCACCGGAAATTCTATCAGCAGGTAAAGGTGAAGCATACCCAAGCGGAGTAGATATGTTCTCTGCGGGTGTTGTGGCCTACACAATGTTGTGCGGCTACGAGCCTTTCTTTGGTGTAAACGACGAAGAGCTTATTCAAATGAACAAGCGGGTTGAGTACGAGTTTGAAGAACCAGAATGGGCGAGCATTTCCGACGAAGCTAAGGACATGGTAAGATGGTTCGTGATGTGTCATAGAGAACGACTAGCATATACTCACTGTGTGTTTTGTGGGAATGCAGATTTCTCTCATGATGGAAAAGGATCCTTACAAGCGGGTAACGCCAAGGGAAGTGCTAAAGCATCCATTCTTGCGGGATGCACACGCCACGCTGGAGAATCTCATTCGAGAACAAGAACCTATTAACCCGACTCGATTGCTATGACTTGCATTGTGGAATGATGCATGGACAAGCAAAAAAAGCTTCACTTTTCGTTTGTAAATAGTTGCTGCATGCATTTTCATTTATGCTAACGAACGGATTCGTAAAACATACTTCTTTGTATCAGCATTATGTCGCCCGGTTGAGATAGGCATCTAGAGGGAAGGACAAATAACGCGCTGTTTCCTGGACAAAACGGGCATCAGCTAGACAACGGAACTTGATGTTATCCAGTACATGTGGTGCTGTGGTGCGCTGAAAGAGCTGCATGCGTACCAGAGTCGCAAGCTACAAGACAAAACAACAGAAGTTAGCATGCGCACGATCTGATGATTAAGAAAACAACTCACATGCGTAAATGTTTCCTCGCGTGTTTCGGACGAGCGAGATTCGTCGTTATAGACAGAACTTCCTGCCTCAGCTTCGACTCGAAGGTTTAGATAAATGGCTAAAAGCCGCTGCAACGTAAATATCCGAGGACCAATAAGCAGTTGACTGATCTGCTGCTTCTTGCTGCTAGTAGTCGTCGACGATGATTCCCCATCAGTTTTTTTCTTGGCACGTTTTTTTCGACGCTGTCCACCAGAAGACGAAAGGAAGCGCACATCGGTTTCTTGAGGATTAAACGAGGCCAAATAGCCTGCGAGCACAAGCAGTAAGCAATTTCGGCTCAAATTGGTGCACGAAATCAATTCAGACGGATCACCAAGATCGCCTCCCATTTTTTTGTGGTAGCCGAAAAGATGTTTTCGTCGCGTTTGAAGGAATTCCTGGACGAGATTTTTTGTATCACGTTCAATCTTCTTCTTCATCTTGGAGACTTCAGAACCTTGTACACGTCGTAAGAACAAGTCACGAAAATCTGGTAGCAAATGCACAACTGCAGCTCGAAATTCAAGCCAATCTCCATCTGATGCAGGTGGCAATAATCCATGCAAATGGATGAGCCATGTACGAAACATATCGTTTGCTTCCTTCATACTCAATTGTTCTATCATAATATCAGCCAATTCCTCTACAATCGACAAGAATTGTCAACATACACGAAAATGTAGCCATCATCACCTTGCAAAAATAACATGGAAAATAACAACCTCCTCATTGTCTTTTTACCTGCTTTATAAGGTGGAAAATGCACATAAGCTGGAAAAAATGGCATCACCAATCGATCGAAATCCAGTGATATGCCTCGTGTAATCAGCACTACACAAAGTTCCCAACGTAGCGCATCCTGAAACATCTACAATAAAAATGACAATAAAAATTCATTAGAAAAAAAAATCGCATCGACATTTTGAGATTTTTACCTTCTTTTGTTCCATACATTTAAATAGGCGATTTGTTCATTGATTGTACAAAGACATGGAATCAAGGCCCCAAGTCCACGATCCAATAATATATCCACATGATCCAAAACTACATAGAGCACTTGTCGACTTTTTTTTATGTCGTCTTTGGTTTGATCATGGGCCATACATTTGTCCAGCGCTTTAAAAAACCCCAAAAAATTCAAAGAGCTATAATTTTCCACAGCTGGTGACGGTTTGCTGCTCTCATTGGCTAATTCTTGAGTCTCAATGATTGTCACATCTTCCACTTCAGTTATTGTAATTATTCCGTCGTGCAATTGTGACAATACTTCACGGTAAAATTCTTTCGCGGAATAAAGCGCCGTACAATCGACGAGACTGTGAGGCGACGGATGTGTCCTTAGCACCTGTGATACACTCATACTTTTACCAGTAGATGCTCCACCATAAATAATTATAAGCGGTGCTGGAGACTCAAATACATCCGTATACAGCCCCGCCGCACGTGTGAACTCTGCTATCGGAGCTTCTCGTCCAATCATAAATTACAATATTATTAGCAGTAATTATACAGCACTAAGATTGTAATTTACTGTCGTACGGACCATTATTGTAGTTGGTAATTTATAACCTGTAACGTATGTGAAAAGGTCATCTCAGACCAAAATCATACAATAAGCCATGAAATTTAAATGTTTTCGAGAAAATAAGAAAAGCACGTAGCCATATATTTCACCGAACTAGTACTTCTAATGATACCGGTATTGGAATACAAGGTACACGGTATATTGCGTCACGTCGGACTAAACGTCACTTCACAAATTCATTCCAAAAGTAACATCACGTCCTCTTCAACTTTATCAATCATCATGACCCTTCGCGCAGCTGAGCTGTTTCACATGATGAGTGACGCCGTGGACGAAGTCGGACCATCGCTTGTGAATAAAGTAAAGGGCGTTATCAAGTTTGATATCATTGGCACTGAGACGTGGCTCGTAGATCTCAAGAACGGCAATGGCAGTGTGAAGATGGCAACGACAGCGGACAAGGCTGATGTGACCATCACTCTGTCGGAGGAAAATTTGCTCAAGATGATGGCGAATAAGCTCAACCCACAACAGGCATTTATGAAGGGACAAGTGAAAATCAAGGGGAATATGGGACTGGCTATGAAACTCAATGTGGTGCTAGCGGCTACTCGCAATTATATGAAGACTAAAGGCACTACAGCCACATCTGCTACTCCTGAGACTGTCCCAGCAGCTACTACTAACGGTCTCAACTCGAAAGAGATTTTTCGTCTACTTGGAGAAGTGGTGGCTAAGGATGGTGATGCTATGGCCAAGAAAGTCAAGGGTATTATTCAATTTGATATTATAGGGGCTGGCAAGTGGAACTTGGATTTGAAAAATGCTACGCCGGCACTTACAGAAGGGGCAAAGAAGGCTGATGTGACCATTACAATCAGCGACGCTGACTTTGTAGCCGTTGCGATGGGAAAAGTTAATGCACAACAGGTACAAAATGCATGGGAAGGAATGATCGTTTCTATATAGTGCTATTGTCTGACCTGACCTCGTACCTATTCCAGGCATTCATGAAGGGCAAACTCAAGCTCAAGGGCAACATGACGCTCGCTATGAAGCTGCCTGTCGTATTCAACGCACTCAAGCCACAATCCAAGCTGTAGAGTCACAACATAGTGCTCGATTAAGCGAAGCGACAGGTATGGAGACAACATTGAATCATATTAATGAACACTTTGTTTCAATCTGTGGGTAGATGCTTATGATAAAATCTCACTTTTTTTAGTGTCCACCCGTGAGACAACAGCCAAAGTGTCAGCTCGTTTCGTGCGATCGCAGCGACATCTCGTCCTGCCTGACGCGTGGTTCTTACCCATAATTGCTGTGCAACAAACGAGAGCTCTCTTATCTTCATCAGGGGTAGAGTCGAAGAAAAGAATCTCAACTCTCCACTACGACTCGCCACAATTGACAAAAGTCAGCGGCATTTGTCACGTCGCTTGTCTCTACTGTTGCTTGGCCTTAGCAGCCTTCTTCTTGCTGACAACCGTTTCCCATCCATCGTCAGCATCCTGCTTAAGAGCAACAGCCGCCGCCTTTTTCTTCTCCTTCTCCTTGTCCGTCTCCACTGTAGGCTTGCTAGTCGAGCTCACCGACGCGCGCTGCTTGGCTTTGGCATTTTTCTTCTTCTGTTTGAGCTTAAGTTTACGCCTCTCAGCACGAATAGCCTCTTCTTCCTCGGAATCCGGCCCGTCCTATCAACAATACATGTTCAAAAGGCACGACACTTGTCAAAAATACATCATCACGTCACTACAGGACGGTCACTTACATCCACAAACTCCTCCAAATTGATTGATGACGCGCTCTTCTTTTCTTCCAAAGCAGCAGCAACAGGAACATCATCATCATCATCAGCAGCAGCAGCAGGAGCAGCAGCAGGAGTCTCCACCGTCTTCTTCTTGCTCTTGTTCTTCTTCTTCTTCTTAGGAACCGTCGTCGTCTCTGAGATCGAAGTCTTTCCACTACTCAGCACCTTGGCCGCTGTCAGACCAACTGCTGCAACTACTAATGCACCACCCACTGCAATACCTGTCGTAGGATTCTGTCCCAAAAGCGCCATAATGGACTCGGCCATCGTGTGAGTAAAACGTCGATACAAAAATAATAATCACGAGGAAGGAGTCGATAGACTTTTGTAGTCAAAATGACAAATGGGTCGTTAAAAAGAAAAAAATGAGCCAAAAAGCGACAGCCACGTGGCGAGGAAGGAGTACCGTACTTACATGCAATTGGACATTATTTCGAGGAAATACCGTTTTTTACAGGGTATTAAGTTTTAGAGAGACTATGAAACGGCATTATTACCATTTCATACCATTAGTTCTTTCTTATTTACAAAATACACTATAAAAATGTCATTAACCTCCTCATGAGTGTGCGTGTAGACGGCAAGTTATTATGGCGCAAGCTCTTTGCATTCGATTATCAGTCCGACGAGGACGTCTTAGCCAATGCTCAAGATATCACGGATCATATGTGCAGTATGATTCAAACTTCCATTGCCCATGGACGTCAAGAACCGCTCCGTCAAATGTTGCTACAACGTCTTGGATATTGGCTCCGATCGGACGTGGTGCCTCGATTCTGGAGCTTTTTTGACACAATAACGACTGAAATGGAGTCTTATGGAGACTTGAGACGTGGTCAAAGACATGTGACGCTGCTCTGCGCCCAGCAACTGACGCTGGCGTTACAATTTGTCGAAGACGCGTTTGCCCATTGTGTCCAGCTTGCCAGTTTCTTTGACGACCGTGGACCACTTGAGCAACTGAATAAGAACAAAGAAAGGACAATGTTGCACGAACTTCGAATGAGGTTGCGGTGTTTGGTGTTTGAAGACGCACAAGCACTCGAGAAATTTGAAGAGTTGCTGTTTCTTTTCTTTTCCATGAGTTTCCAGCAGTTTCGAGGCAAAGAAAAGGCTCAAGTTTTTGACTCGAGACCGATACGACAGACGCTATTGCAATTGGAGTGGATGCATGTGGTCGAGCAAGCATTGCTACGAGTACTGCACTCACAAGTGAAGAAGGTTGTGAGGTCAAGGTGTGGAGAAGTGTACGATGAGCTGCTCCTCGCACAAGTGGAGCAATGGGCGTGCTCAGAGTTGTTGCCATGGCTAGAAGAAATGACGCAGACAAATGATGCTGCGTCTTCGGGAAAGTGGAGACGGATGGTATCGCGACATGTGCTGCAGGAATTTGGTAGTCGACGGATCACGCAACTTTTTGAGATTATCAAGGAGTATCCTGACAGGTGAAGTTGTGCAATATGTATACTGTTGCTGAGGATGATGGTGTAATTGACTGATGTTAAACAAGTGTACCAGCGTTGGAGGATCTGAGACAGTGTCTTGAACGCACCCAACAGCACGGTGAGCTCTTGCAAGAATTTGGAGGTGCGTTGCAGTCACGACTACTCCAGCCAGGAGCCAATACGTCTGCAATTCTGGATATATATGTGTCGACCATCAAGGTAAGCGCTGATTATTTGTGTGGAAGGATCATTGTTGTCATGGAATAGAATTCTGACAAGATTGGTAAAGGCGTTTCGACTTCTAGACCCAAAGGGTGTTTTGCTTGAAGCACTGAGTGGCCCAGTGAAGGAGGTAAGCTAAATCATACAAAGAGTCCTATGCAGGCTTTAGCTTAGCATCGTTTTGAACACACTGCTCTAATTCTGGCAGTACTTAAGGAAGCGTAAAGACACAGTGCGCTGTATTGTCCAGAGTCTCACCGACGAACACAATGGCGACTTGTTTGAAGAACTTCGCCGCGACAACATGCGTATCATACAGTATGGCGACGATAGCGACGATGATGAGGTAAGATCATTGCAATCATATAATGAAGGAAGGCATCCTCGTGTTTACGGTAATGTTTGGATGTAGGATATATCACCAGACTCGTGGGAGCCAGCTCCAATTGAAGCAGACCCGACAAAGTCATCACAAAGTCGAAGCAGCGACGACATTTTGAGAATTTTGGTACGGTGCGCGATTGTAGCATGTGCATTACACTCACTCATTAACAGCATGTTGTAGGTCAATATTTATGGAAGCCGTGAACTTTTTGTAAATGAATACCGGATGATGCTGGCAGATAAGTTGCTGCAGAATCTTGAATTCGATACCGATCGAGATGTGCAGACATTAGAACTGCTAAAGCTGCGTTTTGGTGAGGAAAGCTTACAGCAGTGCGAGATCATGGTGCGTGACATTGAAGACTCTAAACGCCTTCAAGTGAATGTTCAATCTTCGATGGAGAACCCTGCTGCGAAGGCTGCAGCAGCAGCTGAAGCAAGAGCTGGAAGAGAGGAAGACCAACCTGATCGGGCTCGAATTCCGTTCTCATGTATCGATGCAACGATTATTTCCCAGCAATTTTGGCCACCGCTGCAAGTTGAAGACTTTGCGCTGCATCCAAGTATGTCGAAGAAAATTGACGCATTTACCAAAGCATACCACGTCCTGCGCAACCCACGCTCTTTGGATTGGAATCCTTCACTTGGGTCCGCTCAGGTGCGTCGAAAGATTCTTTCTTACGATACATGATTAATCAACAACAGAGCATCTTGGCAATTCTCTGATATCTTTCAAAATACCTTACAGCTGTCGATTGAGCTAGAAGACGAAGTACGCGAGTTTACCGTCTCACCTCTACAGGCCACGATAATTCTCTATTTCGAAGATAAAGGTAAGCATCCGCAGCAAGTTTGTAGCGTTTTAGAGAAGGTTTTACAACTCTCTGCATGCTGTGCACAGACCGTTGGACTGTTGAAGAGCTTGCCGCAAAACTAGAAATTTCTGATGACGTGCTCTTGAAGCACGTGTCATTGTGGGTAAGCCACGGAGTTGTTTCGTTTGCATCGGGGCGGAAAGAACTAGTGGCGAGCACATCATTCCGGGACGCGCAATGCAATGGTGACTCGATGGTTGATGAAGCTAAAACTGCTGTGTCATCAGATGCTCAAGCAGAAGAGGATCTCAAAGTGCTGCAGAATTATATTGTGGGCATGCTCTCAAACTTTGGGTCGCTGAGTATCCAGCGAATTCACAATATGCTATCGACGTTCGCGCGAAGTGGTGCTCAACCATGTACGTGGCCAACATCATGAGCAAACCATGTCAAATTATTGTTCTCACTGCTGCTTATCATTGATATATGCTTCCTTTATGCAGACACCAAGACAATCTCTGGACTTTCGATAGTTCTTGACAAGCTGGTCACCATAGGCAAGCTCGAACTTGTTGGTGGTCAGTATCATCTCACGAAGTAAAACCTGATGCGTTATGCAATGACAGCATGAAGCCGAAGCCTCGATTTATCAAAAGCCGTCAGGACAAGTCTTGTATGTGTGACCCACGGTAGCACATGTCAAGCAAATTGGCTTTGGTTCAGCTCCACGCTTGCTCAGCAGCTGACCCATTGAGTACGCTCTTGCTACCCGCTTTTCATACGTAAGTCCACTATGGCAGCCAAACTGGCAAATAAACAAGACAAAAAACGATTTAAATCATAGTTAAAACGTTTTTACGAGTACCGATCGCAGTATAATTTTTTGTAAATACCTTTGCATTCTGCTCAATGTCTTTTGGCACATTGTAAAATTTCTTTAAATTGATAATAACAGCATTCAATCAGCCACATTTATCAATTTCAGCAGGTTTTCTTGTCGTACCGTAATGTACTTAATAATAGTTTGCATCTCGCTGGACACCACATGTTTTGTGTGTTTGTGTTTGTACTGGACCGTCTAATGCAACATTAAAAAACAGTAACTTACCCGTAAACAACTCGTAAATTAAAATGTACCAACTTTCGTAATATTTCGTCACCTCGTAAATAAAAGTCGGAATGTACGCTCGTGACTCCTCGTGACTCTGTCCTTTCATCTTCTTTTCGTCTACAACATCTACGCATTGTTTCTTGACAATACATGAATCATCAACCTTCTTATCATGCGTCTTTGGCTGCTTGGTTACGCGCATAAAACTCGTCATTTTGGTCATTTTTGAAATTTTACACAAAAATACACATTGAAGCAACATGCAACATAAAAAGAGTGCAACATAACATGACACACCAACTTCAACTTTAATTGCGCAGTTTGAAATTTCCCGGTATCAACGTTATTATTAACATGCGTAACTAGCAACCAGGCAGCTCAGAGCACGCGATATTCGCTGCGCTTGCGTTTTGTGCAAAGAGAATGCAGCGTGGGCAGAGAGCTAATTCTTTTTCACCAACACTAGATCCTTCACCAAGTGCAGCCGTAACCTGACAAGATGTACGACAAGAAGATTTCCAGCACAGCCACACATCGCAAAGTGTACACCGGTACCCGTCATTTTTTCTTGGTTTTCCATTTACAAGTTTTGGTGCATAGGTCCCACATCCACCACAACTGACTGAACCTCCCATGACTTGAAACTGACTCTGGAGGCCACAACTCAATATCCTCTTGTACTTTAAACACCATCGCAACTTTTTTGTCGTAATCGAACAAGGTATGAACTTCCAGAAGCGCATGAATTCGTGACAAATTATTCCTATCTTCACCGACTCTGGAAAATGAGCTTTGATGTCGATGGTATGTTTAATGTACATGCCCACAGTTCCGTCCGGCTGATCCCAGAAAACGCGAGTCTCAAGAACTTGAGTACGTGTCATGCCGGATCCACGACATATGGGAACCGACAAAAGTATTTCGTAGCCAAAGCGCCTTCCATTTGCTGTGACTACGTCACCTGTGGCAATCATGAGCACCATTTCTCGTGGACTGATAAACATCGTCATCGGCCAGTTTTGCGTGTATACAACCCGCAGCACTCCAAGAAATTGGAAAGGAGATGTCTCTGTGGGCTTCACGATTGGTACCAGCTCGGCGTGTTGGGAGGGTCGGTCCAGTAGCAAACATCGCAAATGTACAGTAGTCAAGCTAGGCGCCATTAATGCTAGTAGCATGTCGTCCACGGAGCATTTCAGCTGACATATAGCAACCACTGCAACCGGATGTTCCCAGTCTTCACGATTCATTACGGGATGCCAAGCAGAATTAGCCGTTTGATCAGCGTACAATGTCACATTCGTGTGCGACTGCAGTTTCTTCCATCGTCTACTGCTCATGTCTGCGTGGCTTGCAACGTGCGTCGTTCCCAAACCAAGTTCATCACAATCGTAAAGCGCTCGATCAAGTAGTTGCATGGTGAGGTCACGACAGTCTTCTTTGTCTTGGAGGGTCAGCTTAAGCGTCATCTTCATCTATCCTATCGAATTGTGATCTGCAGCCGTCGATTCTGTCGTCCAAGAAGAGAAAATGATCAAGAAGCTTCACCTTTCCGCGCAATTGACGAACTGCAGAACTAACTGGAGAGTGGAAGAGCTACAAAGCCATGGGGATCGCTCGGTTGTCAAACCATTTTTTTCACATGTCAATCGATGGCCTTGACTCAAGACATGGCAGCAAAACGTTAAGGCAAATCCATACCATCCCTTTCTGTCGTGCCGTCCATGCAGCTCGTGAAAGCCTAACAACGCAAGCAATTTGAGCCATCCACACTTTGGAATGGGCTTGTGTGCATGGCTTTGCTGCATGGCAGCAAAGCCATGCACACAAGCCCATTCCACTGGATAAGGAACAAAGGCGGAGAGAGATGGAAGGTTCATTCTAGTATGTTCTGGCGTTTGAAGTGGTTGCATATACCATGAAGAATTGCACACGTGTGTGTGTGTGGATAAATTGTACTCGATCCATGTCAAGGTGAAGAGCCATCCTTGAATTTCCAATGTCAATGTCATGAACCCAAGAAGCGAATCGCTCACTTCCGAGACCAAGTGCATGTAGCCATCCAATATATGAACAGGTGCGTGTCCGCATGAGACACAATCATGCTCGTGTTTTGGTCGTGTACTCAAATCCACGTAGCTCGAGTAAACCCACTAGATCAAAACTTGCCCGTAAGCAGGACGTACATATCCGTCATAATGTTACTTCTGTCTGTCAAAAGAGTCGATCAAATGGCTTTTACCACGCCCCAATTCCTCTATCTGTCGCCTCGTTGTAACATGTGCATGTCCCTATCGAATTTATTACTTTTTTTACTAACAGAATGCAACAGACTTTCAGATACAAGAGTATCACATCATATCACGTCACATCATGCACCTCTTGAAAATACTGGAATTTTTCTATTGTAATGGGACGACTTCCTACGTTTTCCTGCGTCTTATCTGATCTTGAAGTCACGTCTTTGCTAGCAACCAGTTGAACCATATGGTTTACAAGAACGTTTTTTGTTGGTGTAGAGTCGATACATGGACTTGAATTAATTGTGCATGCGTAACAACAAAGGATTAAGAGGGGTTTTAATCCCTTTTATCGGAACGATTTCATTTGTGTTGTATAGTAAAATCAATCTAAGTGACCTAAAAATCGATAAAAGTTATGAGACACTGCACTATTTTTTAGTTTCTCGCTGGTGTAATTCCACCTATCTTCTGTGCTAAAAGGTACTCATCGCGCAATAAAACGCTGCAAGTCGAATCATTTGTTTTTATCCAATGATCAGCCACTATTTATCGTATCCTCCAATCAAATTTGACCATTTTACGCGGGTAATTTTTGCTTGAATAAAAAATGGCGCGAACTCGACAGCAACACGATCAAAGCGAGGAATGGAGTTGTCCGCTCTGTACGCTGCTTAACGTGGCGGAAGACGATCACTGCGCAGCTTGTGATAATTCAAGGCCTCTTGTGCACCATCCTCACAAGTCTCAGTCCTTAGGACCTCCTCTAGCCACCGCTACAGCTACCGACGTGCAGCATGTCATTCGTCCTATCACTGGTGTATTTTTTACCTCATTACCACGAGATCACTGCACTACCGACGTTATTTCGGATTGGAGACAAGAGCCAAGACTTAAAGTGAATAGACGGCGCAAGAACGGGCAGCTGAATGTGATTATGGATCGCGAGAGGGAGATGACAAGTGAGAGGATTGAGACAGGTACAAGAGAGCAGAATGCAGACTCTAGAGAGATAGAAAGAGGCTTCCGACAGGAAAAAAAGACGATGGAAGTAGTGCACAATGCAGTGGATACTATGGAATCAATGGTGATGATAGAGAAGGAGATGGAGAGTCAGGAAGAGGAAGAGATGGCAATGGAGGAGCCATGTTTTAATCTACTGGGGTCGGTAGCCACAGCATTTAATGCTCCAGTAACCGACAATATAGTCGAGTCTAAGGATGAGATAAAGAGTCGAGCTGAGAGTACACAAGTAGACACGGATAACAATGTGGTGAGGGGTCTGTCTCCGTCACGATACCCTGGCTTTATGCCGGCAAGTAAAGTGCATGTTGAAGAGCAGGAAATTGATGAGAAGCTGGCAAGTGCAGGACTAGATTTAAGTGACTCGGAGGAGGAGATGAAAGAGGTATCGTTACGACAATGGAAGGAGAAAGAGGATGAATGGGTATGCCAAATATGCACAACCCTTAATGAACGGGCAGTGCTGGAATGCTCAAGCTGTAGCTGTAGCTGCAAGCGCTATCGAGATATTTCACGTGAAACTAACACGGAGACTGGGTCGCCTTTACGATGGGCGTGTTATATCTGCACGAATCTGAATCCTTCTGATTCGACCGCTTGCCTCATGTGTCTGAGCACAAGAAAAGCGGAGACTGGAGCATCGAATACCTATTCTGACAAGACCTGGACGTGCTCGCTGTGCACTACTCTCAACGACTTTGGCATCACGCGGTGTGAAGTATGTGATCGTTTGCGGGAAGAGGGACCCAAAAGTCCCACCGGAAAAGGTCGTGAGTGTCGAGTGTGTACGAATATTAACTCTCCAAGTAGTACGCGGTGTGAAATTTGCGAAACAAGTTTACCAACAGGTAGGATGGTCTTTTATTCGTGCAACAAGCGGGTGTTCTTTCGAAGAAAACCTGACGCTTCATATGTGTACTCTTCTTTCGTAGACAAGACCCCTGATAATCATCTCGTTGATTTGTCTCTCAGCTCACCAGCTCGTACGGCTAGCTACACTGCTTATCAAGAGTATGCGTTTTCCCTATTGACCTCGTATGCGACTGATACGTTGCATTTTGCGCTAAACGTTTTGTGCCTGCGACTGTTGTTTAGTGACCTCGAGAATCCATACGTAGACTTGTCGCAGTACAATGGCTGCGATGCTTCAAATGAAGCTGCTGATTATGATGTTCTTGAAGAGATCTCTGACCATGAAGTACGACAATCTTTTTTATAATGCGTACATTTCTTACGCAGTGGTCGAAGTCAATGCTCATGTACTGCGTGTTATGCTTGTCATCTCGTCGGCAGCCTCCAATGTCCGTGGTCAACCGACCTCCATTACAAGTACGTCAAGACTTGATGAAGTTCGAGCATTTTGTTTGCATAGAAGACTTACGTGGCGACGCTGGTTGCTGTATCAACTACAACAAAATGTTCGCAGGCCAAAGGTAAGCTTGAATTTCTACCTAGCGTTTTATCTACGTCTCTTACCTGTGGCTTGCACATTTTAGGTCTAGTAAGTCTTACACCGACCGCATCGCTACTAGGCAAGCACAGTCGCGGAAGCGGAAGCAAGATGCTGCCCGTAAGGAGGCAGGAAAAACGCCAACTCTTACCTCTCGAGGTGGCAAAGCGGCCCGTGGAAGCGGTAAACGGAAGGCAGCTGCTGCACGACGAGGTATGGAATAGATAGATACCTTTCCTACGTCTCTCCTTCTCTACTGGTCCGATGACTTGATTTGTTGTGATGATCTTGGCTTTCACTCTTCTGCAGGCGGCGAAAAGGTATCAAGGGCCAAGAGAGCAAAGAAGGCAGGAGTCGCAGCACGTCCGGCCAGTTCCGCAACAAAATGTTCTCCAACTATCAACCACTATGACGATTCTGCGGCTGACCTGGGCGAGGACCTGTCTACAATGGCGTGGGAAGGCGTCGGATCTGCCGGATATATCTGACTCATTATTTAGTCTGCTATTTAACAGATCGTTGTGTCTTCACCAGAGCGCTGCGTAACCATGTTTCAATACCACACACTTTTTTGCTTGAGCATTGGTGCAATGTTGGCAAGAGTCATGCCAATCGTCGAGCTACGGGAATAAGGTACGGCTTTTGAATGCTCTTGGCAGTCTTTGTTGCGCAGATCAACGATCACAGACGAGAGATGACTAAGCTAGAGAAAGTAAAGGCTTTTTGTCATTCTCGTGGCGGGTGGACCGACTTTCAGCAACAAAACGTCGGTAAGCTCAGGGGCTGTCACGTGTAGCTTGCAGCCGTCAGTATCATGGCGCGTAGTCAACTCGTTATCTTATTTTTACGCTTCTTGAGTTGACTAATTTGCCGGATTATCAGCCCGTCCACTGCAAACGTAGAGCTCGTCGCGAGATATGGCCCAAATCTCTGGTATGTCCTCAAAGCGGCTTCCGTGATGACCAGACGTCAGTTGCACTTGCTGGACAGATGTCGGCCGCTTCTCCGATGTTTGAGCGTTTTGCATTTCTATTGACGCCACACGACGTCCACTTTGCAGATCGTAGCTGTTTATTGCCAGTGGATATTTTGCGTCACCACCAGAGACAACAACCGACTCGTAGCTGTCGATAGCACAGCGTAAACTTGGCAGATACTGCTTGGTCGCGCCTTGTATGAGCTCCACCACCGGTCTAAATGTCCGAAGATCCACAATTCGTAACTCTCCATTTGAGCGCTGGACAACCGCTCTACGACCGTCGTTCAGCATGTGAATGTCGAGAACGGAACCTGTCGGTTGATTAGCAGTACCATTTACTTCCCATTCGAAAATTCGACGAGGAGCACGAATGTCCCAGCCCCATAACCCCCCACTTGTCGTCCCATTCAAGACAACATGACCCTATGGAGTAAAGCCCAAATGTCGACATTAACATTTCAATGCTGAGCAAAAGAAGTGAGCAGCAAGACTAACCGTGCCAAAGAAGCTCTGAGCATGAACATCACTAGTAATAGCTCCAGGTGGTGCATGCTGGAAATTACTGGTATTTCCTATTGCATCCACGTAGGCAGCACTTGACGATCTAATATATACGTACCCGATCCGTTCATCTCAAGCAAAACGTTGTGCACAAGTCGATTACAATACGTACCCGCCACATCCAACACTAAACTTGTTCGTATCAATTGGATTCCTAGAAAAACAGCACATCAATGGTTCAGATACAACTTCTTGTCTACTTTTCGTTACTAGAAACGTACCATCTAGCAGTCCACGGATCAACAAATTTCAGTCTCTGGTATCACAACACAAACCTGATCAGATAAAAAAAACCAGAGACAAATATTTAAGACACCGTCACTTACCGCCACATGTGCCGTTGCCATCAATGCAGCTCCCGTCATACTCAAATCACTTACACGAAAAAAACAAACGTTTCCTGTCTGTGAGCCACCGATGGAATCCGATCCAAAATGACACATTAGTAGATCGCGTGCTTCAACTGGACGCCACTGCAAAGACGTTATTAGGCCAGAAACGTATAAATTACACACTGGACGTGCAAATGGCGACGACGTGGTCGATTCAACATCAAGTGGTCGTCTCTCCAGCTTCAGAATATTTAATTTTCCACTGCCATCTACAATACAACCAATTTGTCAATTCCAGTGCATGTTTTGCAGCATTTTTTTTCAATACACACCACCAATTGCTCCAACATTGTTACGTTTTGGATGCAATGCCAATGCTGTATATCGATCATTACTGACCAGAGCTTGAGCTGTAAGTACCTGCACAGACTACAACAAGAACAAGAACATTATTGTCAAATTCAGGTTTTCCTACCCAGAAAATCACGAAAACCCCAAAATTTGACAAAAGTATTTATCCGTACCAAGAAGTTCGACAAATACTGAGGTATTAATTCTCGCGAGTCGCGATTGCGTGCACTCCACGTATAGTGACTTTGTCGTTGGCTTAAATAATTGACCCAATTGTGCGTTTTCTTCCCATATTCCAAATGACAGGTTTTGCCTTTACTTTCAGCCTTTTCCACGGTAATTTTTCGTTCTTGCATTTCCAAATGTTTACGTCGACGTTGCTCAAATACTGGACAAGAACGAAAATAACGACGTTTGGCTTCGTCATAGTAAAAACCCGGTATTGGAACGACTGGCGACGGCGCCGCTTCTTCGTTTTCAGAGCGAATTTCGACCTTTTGACGATTAGCATTGGCACGTTGCGCTTCTAGAGCTTGTAGAAATGTGCGATGAGCTGCTTCTTCGTCTAGTGCCGCTACTCGTCGCTTCTTGTGACGTGCCATTTTAAAGTAATGAGAAATTTACAATACTTTTTTACTGTCATATTTGGAGTTGTGAAAGATTATAATTTAACATGAACATGAATATTTTATCTCGTTGTATTACTATACGGTAAAAGACGTAATTAGTAAAACTCTTATACTAAATAACAATTTTTATCAAGTCTTTTAGTAATCCGTAGCTTCAAATTCTTTATAATGGGTAACACGATGCAATATATCTCAGGTTGTTTCAATTTTTCCACATAAATTCTGGTCGTAAAATACTAAAAAGCTACAACTGTTGTTGTTTTATCTTTCTAACAAGCAGTCATAACAGCTTTTTTATGTTAAGCTACAAGGTTAAAAAGCTGCCTTTTACTCTATCTCATCACTTTAACGTTATCCCCATAACCTGCAAAACCCTATTTCATCCACTATTGAAAAAAATAGAGTCGCTCTAATGCTACGTAACGTATGGCTGCGCAATAGCGCTTCCATTCAACGACTACAATTTACAACAACATCTTCTCTATCAAGAACGAAAGCCATGGACCGTTTTCAATCCATAAACCAGTTTCAACAATATCCTCCTTTTCTTCCTATGACCATGTCATTCGTAAAATATCATGAAAAATATCAAACTTTAAAACCATCCGCTCGCTGTACAGAAAAATCCGTAGCATTGGCAGGTTTGTGAGTTTAATTTTGCACTTGGTTTTTGTATTTCACTTTTTTTTCTCTAAACTTTTTTTTCGAAATTTAATTTTACTAATTATAGGACGTGTGATGGCGATTCGTCATGCTAGTAAAAATCTCGTGTTTTTAGATATACAAAGTGATGGTCAAACGGTACAAGTTTTATCCGAGATAAAACATTTTCAAGGTTCAAGAAATGATACAAAAAATGAGGATCAAGAAATAGTGAAAAAGGAGTTTCAAGCAATTCATGAAAGTCTTCGTCGTGGTGATATTATTGGAGTCAAAGGGTTCCCGGGCAAGTCTGGGAAAGGAGAATTGAGTATCATTTCAAGACAATTACAAGTGCTTGCACCTTGTATCCAGCCTTTTCCAAATAGTAAATACGGCATTAAAGAACCGGTAAGTTATTGTGAAATTTTGGGGGGGGGGGGGGGCTTGGAAGCTGAAATTGATATGTCGTGTCGGTTTATGATAGGAAATTCGATTCCGTAAAAAGTATCTGGACTTGTTGACCAACCCGGACGTACGTCCAATTTTCTTGACGCGTGCAAAGGTTATTCGAGGAATTCGGAGGTATCTTGAAGACCGCAATTTTATTGAAGTTGAAACGCCGATACTGTTTTCGGCTGCAGGTGGTGCAGCTGCTCAGCCGTTTGTGACCAACTCCCGGGCACTTGGTAACAAGCTGTATCTACGCATTGCACCAGAACTCTTTCTCAAGCAACTTGTGATTGGTGGCTTTGACCGCGTTTTTGAGATTGGTAAAGTCTTTCGAAATGAAGGTATTGATGCCACTCATAATCCAGAGTTCACGATGTGTGAGTTCTACCAAGCGTATGCAGACTACAACACGCTAATGGAAACAGCAGAAGAGATGATCTCGGGTATTGCAAAGGACGTGACTGGATCGTACAAGGTTCAGTACCCGATGGATAGGGTGACTGAAGAAGCTATACAAGTCTCCGAGGACGAGCCGTCTATAGTGGAGATTGACTTTATGCCACCTTTCAAGCGTCTTCCTGTTCTTGAGACACTCGAGACGTGTCTGGGCGAAAAGCTTCCAGACGTCAATTCGCCAGGTACGGCAGTTGGTTAGAGGTGTATCCAATGTAAAGTGGGCTGATGTGCTCATTCGTTATGAGTTTATTAGACTCAATACCGGCACTACTGAAGCTGTGCGAGCGGCATAACGTAGATTGCTCCAAACCGCACACTTGCGCTCGCCTAGTCGATAAGCTCATCGCGCACTTTATCGAGCCCATGTGCGTGAACCCAACGTTCATATATAACCACCCAACATGCATGAGTCCGCTCGCCAAGGCGCATCGAGAGAAGGAGGGTGTGACTGAGCGGTTTGAGCTATTCGTGGCGGGCAAGGAGCTATGCAATGCGTACACGGAGCTAAACGACCCGTTCGACCAGCGCCAGCGGTTCGCAGCGCAACAAGCGGATCAGCAGCGCGGTGACAGCGAGGCACAGAGCAAGGATGACGAGTTCTGCACGGCGCTCGAATACGGTCTGCCGCCGACGGGTGGTTTTGGCATCGGTGTGGACCGATTAGTCATGCTGCTCTCGAGCAAACCTCACATCCGCGTACGTATGTGCTGGCAACGTAGGCAGTCTAGCATCGTCTTGACGAGTCTTGTTATACCTTGCTTGTTTATCTATAGGAGGTCATCCTGTTTCCTGCGATGAAGCCCAAGCACGACACGTAAAGTCTCCTCTGCTCGTATGACTTGATCACCTTCAGCGTGGAGCCGTTATAAAGACAAGCTAGATCGGCAGGAAGTATAAGCAGTACCCGCCAGTACCCACTTAACCATAGACGAATCGGATACCGCGTTGGCGCATTGTTGTGTTGCTTCGGCTCGCACTCAAGAGTCAACTAACCTGACCAGATAAATTTTTGCCTTGCATGAATCCGTGGCGCATAAGAGTAGAGCAAGCACGTGTGTCGAGTCAGCGCCGACAGCACGCCTTCCTACAGAGCTGCTCCCAACACCAAGCAAACTGAGACAGCGGCGCGTCTGATGACGATTTGCAACAACAACCCGGTCCTGCCAGTGTATACGCAGATTGGGAGCCCCATTCTTAGACTACAATAGTCTGTCTATTGTGATCGATTGTTGTGCCAAATCAAGATCAGCCTGCTAGCAGAAACTTTGCCACCTTCAGCGCAACCGCCCGGACACAAACGACAATTGAACAGGTTCATGCTTCAATTCCTCAACTTTGTGCCGTTCGACTTATTAGAAGGTAAACAACTTCTCCAATATGACCTCATTGTTTGTGCTCGTGGTTCCACCAAGGATAATTTGATACTTGGTGTTGTCGCTCAGCGCATCGTGTACTTCTTGAATCTACATGTAATGTCGGATCATACGTCAGTGCTATGCGAGTAACATTAGATTCACGTAAAAGTCAAATACTTGCCTCCCCAAAAGTAATGCCTCCCACTACAAACACAACAATAATGTTCGAGTTGCCCAATAACCGGTTCCCATTAGTACTGCGTTGGCCCCCGGCACCACCCATGCCAAACCCAAACTTGCTGAACCCGCTTTTAAGAAGATCAATTCCGGCACGTGTTAGCTGTTCGGACGCATCAACGACCTATAGTGCACCATTGACATCAACCAGTAAATGCAGCAGTCAGCAAATTCTCAAGTTCATCACGAGCGAGCAACGCTCATCCGCATGCAACGCACATGTTGAATTTCGGAAAGTGGCGCCCCTGATGGGTCCACAAGAGATTTACAAAGCTGCGCGATCAATGAGTCCGGGGAGTCATGGAGATCCGCAGCCTTTAGTGTTGCGTCTTCGTCTTTTATTCTCACAAACTGCTGCGCACAATCCTGATGATTCATAGTTGCACATAGCAATGTAATCATCAGCAAACTGAACTACATTAACAAAGAGAACTGGTATTACCTTCAAAGGATCCATCAAGCCTTCCACGTAAGTTTCAATAACGGACGTCACCTCGACCAGCTGGACCTCATCATTGTGGCTGTAGGAGATTTCTTTTGGTGTGGTTGGCGAATTGCTACTGTCAATCCAGTCCCAATCATCACCTTCAGTGTGATCTGAAGCAACATGTCTATCATGTAATCCATTTGTGCCAATGTAAGGAGATAGTCGATCGAATAGCTCCGGAAGTGCAGTTTGCACGGATAGCGGGTTAGTTTTTACAGTCTACATGTGCATTACACAACATACAGGTTAGTGGTCAGCGCTTTAGCCCGACCAGAAGTAGATGAACTATTCTTACCTGCATAACAGTTTGAGCAAGAGCCTTTTGGACCATTTGGATGGTGAAGTCTTCCAGCGGTACGCCAGATGAGAGGGCGAACGCATTCACCAGTAGTGTCAGCAACTCCTGCAGCAAAATGATTCCCTCGTTGGTTTGCGATGTGCTCGATTGCACTGCAGACATCTGACGTTGCATGACATCAACAACTTCAGGAAGAATCCACTCGCAGCCTCCTTGTTTTTGAAGCTCGAGTTGGCGCACTACCCGCTCCCGGCATTTATCCCACCGCTCCTGTGACTGGTCCATCCGCTCCAACGTTTCCAAAACAATCACGCCAAGCTCAATCAGTGAGCTATATTCGAGGTTTGTAGGCTCACCAGCCTCCAATATCTTGCTCATTCGGCGCAGAACAACATCACGCCCACGAATCTTCTCCCCACGTTGACGCGTGACTGCAGTTTTCTGAATGTCTCCTCGTTGGAGCAAATCCTGCTCCACCGCTTGTAGCCGCTTGTCAAGGTCGCGCAGCGCGAGCTTTGCCGGTCGGAAGGCTAGCGATCGAAACACATTCGAACCGCTTGGTATGGTCGGATGGCACAGACTAGCACCGCCCTTCCACTTTATTTGAGACACAAACTTCGATGGTAGGTACCCAAACTCGTCAAGCTTTTTAGCAAGTGGCGCTGACACCGATAACGGGGTTGGCTCGCATCCGTGAAGCGGGAAAATCTCTGTCACGTTTAATTTCGTTCGCGTCTATGGTAATCACATCACGTTGTAAGCTTAAACGCTTTCGTTGTATATATATATATACTTTTCAGCGTACCGTAGCCCTGTTCTCAGCCGTATTTTCTCCTGCAGCAGACTCTGTTGGCGTTTGGGGTAAGAGTGCCAGAATGCGATCAAGAAGAGAGCTACCAAATGAGCACGGCGACACTAAATCACTCGTCCTAACATACACAAAGACGCATAAGTCGTCACTCACTCCTCACGCAATCATACTATCCCGCACCGATCAATAATAATCATAGTAGCAGCCTGTTGGTCTTGAAGCGCTAAAGGAGTCACCTCCTCTTGCAACTCATTCAAGATCCGCAACAGCGTGTATCCGATTTTAAGCGACGTCGCACCAATAGCATAGATACGTTCTTTAACATCCATTCGAGCTCCAACCATCATTTCTGCAAGTGTATACGCCAATAACCTCATCGATCTCCGAAACGAGCTTGGAATCTGTTCTGGTAGCACGTCCTTAATATGTGCATTTAGCTTTTTTCCACCTTCCACAGCATTCAACATATTTCCTCCTCCAGTGGATAAAGTAGAAGACGTCACCCTCTTCACCTTTTTCACTTGATGTAACAACAACGGAAAAGCTGCTGCACACGTCGGTTGTGCCAATACAAACACTGACGGCTCTGGACTGATGGTCTTGGCCGATAACAACGGCACAACATTCAACGGCAAGTGAATGACTTGCACTCTTGTTTCAGGATCACTTATCGTTGCCTCTGTATCATCCCAGCTCCAGTCTTCTTCGTGTCTCAATTCTGCTCTATTTTCCATCGGAAACGTCGTATTCTTGCTCAATTCTTGAGCAAATTCATCAAATTTCATCACTTGAGTTGCTCGAGCACCTGTAACAGCTATTGTAGTGTCCTCTTCTGCTTTATCAAAGTCATAACACTCATGTGCACGTTCCGAGAGACTGCTGCAGATTGTGAGGCGATTAATGACATTCAGAGCCAGTAACCACCGCAATAAAACTTCATAGTCCCATAAGAAGCCCGAGAGTAGCAATACCACATTTACATCACTCTTGTTTACGTCTTGAACGCTCAATAAACGACGTAATGTCTCGGACGTCTCACATTTAAACAAATCTTCGGCTTGAAGCACGTTCTGAACGTCTAAATCTCGCAATAACAACGGTATAGCTCCAGACCAACGCAAACTTTCAACACAGCCAGTTTCAGCAGCTATGATAGCGCCTTGAAGCTGTTCCGCGGCCTGTAATACACCACTTAGGACCTCCTCTGCTAAACTTACCACCATTTGGATAATTTTGGGTACTAAATACACTAATTTTAATTTGGGTCAATGTAGTTTCTTTTCAAGTTTTTTTTGTGTTTACCTATTTTTTGGTATATGTAAATTTTGTGATTTTTTTTTATCGATGAAAAAAAGTCAAGGAATAATCGTTGGCTTTGGTGTGACGTTAATAGGCGTGGCAGGTTTGTGTTATAATTTATTGTGAAATCGTTGATTGTTATGTATTTTTAGTAAGTAAAAAATGTATATTTGTTATATCCAGGTGCATTGGGCATTTATCTACCTCGATACAGTACAATGGCTCAAAAAGGACGAGAACGGACGACTCGATACCGTGAAACTGGGCATAAGGAAGAAACGAACGAGAAGAAGAAGATGAACAAGAAACAAGAATAATTGATCCATTGTTACTCTACTAAAAAATAGAATTAGACTTTGACTGGCGAACCCGTCATGTTCACGGTCCTAATGGTGTCCAAAAGAATCCAAGTGCTTCCAATTGCATCCGATCAATTGCAATAAAGTCTGTGAATTGTTCTTGTCGCGCTGCAATGGTTGCCAATTCTCCAAGTTTTAATCCATGTGACTCCTTTGGCCACGGATCTTTGCATGGGACTACAAAATGTGCTGGAATTCTAGTGTTTCCATACTCGAGCACATACGTCTTTAATGCAGGCATTACTACGGTCTCCCACTTGGATGCTGCTGTATTCCATACAAACCCAATTTCCTTGAGCTTGTCATAATCCTGTGCAACTTGTAAGAAAAAGTCACCTCGGTTCCGAATATTCTGTGCAATAAAGCCAAGACGAAGCCCCCACGCCGATAATGGCCACGGCTTTTCTTTCGGTACACTAAACAACGTGTCGATGTTGCAGGCTCCATAGAGACAATGATACGTCTTCAAAGCTGGCAAGATTGTTTCTGTCCATTTATGATCATGGCTATTGAGATAAAATCCCAACTCTTCCAGCTCTATTTTGTCACGTTCCACGTACTCTGCATAGGCTGAAATCGCTCGAATACGGTTCACTGTCGCTCCTAGTCGGTATCCTCTCAGCTCCTTTGGCCACTTCTCCAACCCACCTTTTACATCTTCACTAACCACAAAATTCTGCGGGATATCACAATGTCCATAAATCTCACGATACCGTCGTAAAGCAGGCATGAACACCATGTCCCAATTGTAATGTGCGACTACCCAAACGAATCCAATATCATCCAGATTCTGAATCTGGTACTTGATCAAACGATCCCGTTTCTGACGTATATAGTTCACATGAGAGCCCAATTTCAATCCCCACGTTGGTCTTGGCCATTGTTCATCTTCTTTTGGTACTACAAACTTACGAGGGACCAATAAATCACCCTCAATCTCCTTGTATTTGATCAACGCTGCAAGTGACATTTGTTCCCACTGGAAGCGCTTCCAATCACGAATTGAAGGAAATCCAATGGCGTCCAATTGATCACGTATTTTCTGAAGCTCTGATGGGTTTTTAATGCTTGAAATGACGACAAAGTGGCGGATTTCACGGCCTAAATTCAGTCCATGAGTTTGTTCCGGCCATGACAAATCACTGGGGTTTAATGACTCAATGTGAGGCACTTGGAAGCTGGAGGGAACTAGAAAATGGTCATTCTGCTTGTAATAAGCTTCAAGAGCAGATGCAAGTAATGCAAATCTCTCGAAATTGCGTCTAGAGCTCAAGAAGCGACGTGAACTGACAAGCATCTATCGCGTCAAATTCGTCCCTTGACAATATCAACTTTTCGACTTTTATTGTAAATTTCTCACAAACTCAAATGATGGTCGAGAAAAAAATCATTTCAGCGAATCAGAGATTGTTATAGCGTCCTTATTGTCAAAATTCCAGTAGAAAATGAGCAGCATTGATGACAAGGAGATGGCAGCGTCGGAGCAGCAACGCGTCATGCGAACTGTATCTACGACAGTGTCTGTAGTCGCTGCGGTATTTCTTGGAGGAGGTCGATGCTTGTATCATGATTCTGGCTGTATTGAGTGCAATTTTCGCATTTCTACCGTCTTATTGACACATTTCTATTGTCATTTTGTGCTCTAGGGTTCTACTATGGCATGACAAAGCAGAAGAAGGCAATGGAGGAGGAAGAAAAGAGTTTGAGCAAGACTTTGAGTAGTAAAAAGGAGTTTGTACCGAAAAATGCGACCTTTTTCGAGCGTAAATTGGCTCTGGACAGGGCTTTACCACCAGGTACAGCAGCCTCAAAGGCTTTGCTTGGAGTAACACTCGTCTCGGTCACAAGTTGCTGTATACTGGTGGGCGGAATTGCTGCTGCTCTTGGAGTGACCAATGTACGAGCAGGTTCAGTGCTTCTGAGAGTGGATATTGTGATTTTGCTTGACTTTTTTTGTTGAATTTTGTGTAGTGGATGGAACTCCGAGAACGCTTGCAGACGTCACGGTCTCAAAAGAAAATAATGTCGAAACAACTTGACTTGAAAGGATTGGGAGAAGCAAAGAAGGAAATGGTCGATGCCATTGCGAGCGAAGTGAAGGAGGAGCAGGCCAAGTCTGCAATCCCATAGAAAACACGAGTATGACCAACGCCGTAAGTTCGCTCAAGACTGCTATATAAGACCGAATAAAGATCAGATCAAGCGCGGCCAACTTGTCGTGCTGCATGGACAAGATGTTGAAGCTACATGAGTGGGCGGATAAAATTTCTGAAAGGCTGCAGTATCGCGAACAGACAGCTCGAAACAATGCAGTTCACACCTGAGAAGTTGCCGAAAAGCGATGTTTGAGGTGCGACTGGTACAAATGTAAGCCTTGCTCTTACAGGATATCTACCCTGTAAGAGACCTTAGCATTTTGCTCGAGACACTTACTTCGAGTGTGTGTTTATAACACATTTGCATCTTCCAGTGAACTTTACCGTGTTTTTTTCACTCAACTCTTGGAGAATGTCAGAACAAACAAGTTCAGCCCACCGGCACAAAAGTGAAAAAAGATGCACATGAAAAAAGTTACTCGCTCCGAACCTCCTGTTTCTAGTGCAAGGAACTCCACTTGAATTGACGTTCCTAACTTTTGAACGTGTTGCAGGCCTAGTCTTAGTTGGTCTTGCGGCCATTTACATCGGCAATAAACTTGGCGTAGAGTAGACTGTCCCGACCTGCGTCCATGTTAGCCATTGTCAACACAGCGCCCAGCAGCACAGCACCCAGCAGCACCGACGTCCACAAGATGATCTGGTACTCGGCAATATCTTGCATCGAAACTACTCCAGGAGCCGAGGAGTTGGTCGCGCTAGTAGTGTTATCGTCATTTTCCCACTCACCACCACTCGCGTTTGTTAGGTCCGCGTCTTCGTCCTCTTCTTCATCTTCATCTTTACCATCACTCGCCTCTTTAGTCAGACCCGACGCCAACTTTCGACGCGAAAGCGCAGCAACCTGCTGCACTGCTGTTGGTAACTCGCCCATCATAACTTGGGCAGCTACAACCTGTTCTCTCTCCATCAATTGAGCCAAAAAGTCCGTCACAATTCGTGTCACAACTTGTTGTGCTGGCTGCTGTTTGTCTCCATGAAGCCTCGAGATTCCGACAATGTACAACCTCTTTTCATCTCCATGCTGCTTCATATCAGCAGTAAGTTGCATCACTTGTGCTAATTGTTTAGCAAAGGCAATGTCTTGGTCGTCACTGGCGCTCAAGAAACTGTTGGTTTCAAGCACTTGGTGCACCAATTTCTCACTTTCTAGAGGCGTAAAAGCCTCCAAACTCGAGCAGAGAGCTGCATTACCAGCACAGTGAGCTGCTGAAGGATATTTGACTCGAAATTTCTGTGCTACAGCCATTGGAACATTCAATTTACAGGCTTGGGCCAGATACAGCTCGTGAAACGCGTTAACGTCGCTTAGAGCGGCATTTACAGCCTCTAAACTGGATATCGACGCGTCTTCCAGTATCACCAAAGAATAGGCTTCACTATGTGTGAAAATATCAGCCTGGAGCGGGCTCTGGACGGCAGAATGTGAAGAAAATCGTCCTGTAGGGAGACCGAGCGAGTTCAGCGCTAAATTGGCCAATCCGGAGGACGAAAAAGCCGCAGAAGTACGAGTATCATGCCATAATGGAGCAGAAGACTTGCCTAGTACTAACACATGGTTGGCGGAGACGATGGAGGCTGCAAGAGCCGCGACAGAGAGCTGGAAGAGCACGTGCATGAGAGCTTTGGATCCGAAGAATGAGGGCAGAAGAAAGACGATAGGATTGGTTGAAAAGGAGAGCGATGGTAGTGATAATTGAACCAATCGAAACGATGGAAGTGGGCCGAAACGGTCTTCAACTTAAGCGTTACTTTTATGACAAATACCTTACGCCGTGATAAATGACATGATGAAAATGCTGGAATTAATTCCTGGTCCGTCTCAAATGCTTCCCAATGTATTAAAAGCTCTAGGAACACCTTGTGGGTCTTCAGACCTTGATCCTACATTTTGGGATGATTATCTCGCTTTAGAATGCAATTTACAAGAACTTTTGCATGCCAAAAATTGTAATGTAGCCATTCAATCAGGTGAAGCCATGTTGGCTTTATGGGGTGCCCTTAAGAGCACTATTAAGCCAAAGGACGTCGTTGTGTGTGGAGTCAATGGAATCTATGGAGAAGGTTTTGCAAATATGGCCAAGGCACTTGGAGCCGATGTTCGAGTGGTCCAAAGTGATTGGCGGAAGACCATTGACATTGAAGCTTTATGTCTTGAAATTCGTCATTCGAATCCTAAATTGGTGACAGTCGTGCACTGTGAGACACCCAGTGGTGTTCTCAATAACTTAAATGGAGTGGGGGAGGCTGTAGCGACCTATACGACCGATGGACTCTTTTTGGTAGACTTTGTATCAAGTGGAGGAGGTGCTCCACTCAATGTGGATGCGTGGAAGATCGACTTGGGGTTATTGGGCCCTCAAAAAGCTCTTTCAGGACCTCCAGCACTGGCATTTACAACCGTGAGTGAAAAGGCGTGGAAACGCATCAATGAGGTCCAATATCTAGGATACGATGCTTTGCAGCCGTTCTATCGAGCGGCACTTCAGCAGCCGCGTCTGCTGCCGTATACGCACAACTGGCAGGCAATTCGTGCTACTCTGGTTGCGTGTAACAACGTTAAAGAAGAAGGTGGTATTGACGTCGTGTTGCATCGACACGCTGAAGTGAGCGCGTTCGCGCGTCGTCAAGTTCACGAAACTCTGCAGCTCACATTGTATGGTGATGAGAGTGCGGCTTCTCCGACTGTCACTGCAATTGAACTCCCTGAGGGTACGGACTGGGACGCACTACAGGAAGAACTTCGTGCACAGAAGCTGCTGGTTGGTGGTTCCTATGGGCCGCTGAAGGGCAGGGTGCTTCGCCTAGGTCACATGGGCACACAAGCGAATAAGGAGGTTGTGGCCAAGGCGATTCAAATTATTCGTGCTGCACTTGAGAAGCTGAAATAAAAACGCGAAGATGAATGGATGGATTGATTGAAGACCGCAATCACCTTGCTCTGCGACAAGAGGCAGTGAATATGGTCTGGTCTAAAAATCGTGGTGTAATTAAGAACACTGGTACAAAATTGTAAGCCGTGTTCATGGGCTGATGTCGAAGCTGCGTCAAGAATGCTTACCTTTAGCTTCTTCAACGCCTTCAACGCCTTTAAGGCTATACTTTGCTGAGAGACTTAACATCTTCGGGTTGGACTCATTGGTCACCGAAACGTATATTTGCAGATTTGGCGAGACCGTGCAGTTTTTAGATTTGTTGCTGTTGCCAACAAGTAAGGAAATGCAAGTTGCTAGCCACTATTCGCTTAAGATCGCTACGTTTCTTGACTGATAAGAATATATCTAAGTGTGTCAGGGAGGTAAACAAGGCCTGCCAAAGATGCTTTGCACGTGAAATTGAAATACTTGTCTTCGTGAGGATCCAAACGCCTCCTGCATCTTTACACTGCACAAGATATTAAATAGGACATGATCATGCATTTTACGCGTATGCATATTACGCTTATATCTTGATTGTAAACCAGCTAGTCTTCTTTGCCTTGTCCAAAACTTATAACCCCAATTACTCGTCCTCGTTTTTCCAGTGATCCACAAGTGCCTTGAACAGACCGTCCTGCTTTTTCTGAAGTGCCTTAGGAGTATCAAACTCGCCCACAGAGCCACGGTCCATAACAAGGATGCGGTCCGCATCAAGAATTGTGTTAATGCGGTGTGCAACTGTGAGGCACGTGCAGTCGCGGAACTCCTCCCGGATGCTGCGTTGAATTTTGCGATCGGTTTCAGTATCAATCGAGGCTGTAGCCTCGTCCATGAGGATGATGCGCGAGCGTTTGAGCAGAGCGCGAGCAATACATAGCAACTGACGCTCGCCCACGCTGAAGTTGGAGCCCTTTTCGTCCACAGGCCCATCCAGCGCAGTCACCACGTGCGCGAGATGAGCCCGGCGCAGAGACGTCCAGATCTGCTCATCCGTATACTGGTCAAATGGATCCACATTGCTGCGCACTGTCCCTGAAAAGAGCACTGGATCCTGGGGGATAATTGAGATTTTGCTGCGCAGCTCGTGCAATCCGATCGTGCCAACATCCACTCCATCGATGTCAATGGAGCCGCTGTCCAATTCCACTAGGCGCATAAGCGCCACGACGAGGCTGGACTTGCCAGCACCCGTGCGACCTACAATGCCGATCTTCTCCTGGGGAAGGATGGAGAGTGACAAGTTGCGCAAGACACGAGGCAGGCCTGGGCGGTAGCGCAAGTTCACATTGCGAAATTCAATAGCACCTGCAGATGGCCATTCCTGAGCAGGAGGAAGCTTGCCCACACTCGTGAGGTCGGCTTCCGTGTCTATATTTGTGTAATTCTTGATACGTTCCACAGAAACCATCTGCGTCTGCAACTGGCTCAGCATACGCACAGACCAGTTAAGCGACTGCGTTACACTGAATGCGTATGTGAGAGATACACCTGCAAGGCCGGCAAAAGCTGTCCCGCGCTCCGGGTCCGAGCTGTGGGACAGGACAGCAGCTAGCGCGGCGAAAGCCGCAATAAGTGTTCCAGCGAATTCGAGACGTAGCGCCAGCCAGCAGTTCACTGCAAAGTTTAGGAAGTAAGCACGCTGGTTGCGGTCAATCAACTCTTCATTCTTCGTGGAAAACTGTGTCTCAGCACGATACGCACGAATCGTTGGCAAGCCGTCGAGGGTCTCGGACAACGAGGCGAACACAGGGGAACGACTGATTGAGTCCAAACGCTGTAGTTCACGCGAGGTTTTGATAAAATATCGCTGCGAGATGTAATAGCCCACCAGAATCGGGAGTAGAATGATCACGAAAATTGGCGTCACGTAAGAAATAGTGGCCAATGTCACCAATACGCTGATGAATGTATAGAGAAGCATACTCCACGTGGCAGGAATGCTCTCATCAACAGTATACACATCCTTAGACAGACGATTAACGATACGACCTGTTGGTGTCGTGTCAAAGAAGGAAGTTGGAGCACGTAAAATGCGAGCCAGTAGGTTCTGAAACAGTGACCGACTTGCACGCAAACCACCCTTGTATGTCATAATAGCTCGTACGTACAGTGCCACAGCGAACAATCCGTTTAGGCCCATGTACACATACACGTAAAACATCTGCGATCGTTGGGGCGCAAGCTGGTCGCCATTATCCTCGGACTGGGAGTGCTCCGACCAGAATGAAAGCCACCACGTTGACAGCAACTGCACGAACTGAGTGGCGATGAACACGACAAGCACTAGTAGACCCGCCGAAATTCCACCAAACGCCATGATCCATGTCCTGTACACCTGCCAGGCAACATCGCCTACAGACCGATCTTCGTCGGCAATCAGTTGAGTCTCAACTCCTGTTTCGCTTATCGAGCGTTCGCTTCGCACAGACGAACGGCTGAGTCTCCGGCCTAGACGTTCTGGTGTCGGGTTATCTTCTTCATCCTCCTCCAACTCATCAAGCACAACGATATTCTCGACCTCCTCAGTCGTGTTGGGTTCTTGCTGATCTTGTTCTTTGTATTTGGTCACAAGTTCAATCAACAGTCCACCGTCCTTTGCCATAAGGTGTTTGTAAGTGCCTTCTTCCGCGACCAAGCCGTTTTCCAAAACTATAATCTTGTCACATTCGCTTAGGAATGCCAGACCATGCGTGACTAGTATCACCACTTTATTCTTTAAGCAATTCTTGATGCATTCCTTGAAAATATCATGCCCAACGTGGCTGTCCACAGCCGACAGAATATCATCCAACAGGTAAATATCGGCATCCTGGTATACAGCGCGGGCGAGGGCTACTCGAGTGCGCTGCCCGCCACTGAGATTGATACCCTTTTCGCCAATCTCCGTAAGATCTCCGCCAGGTAGCGTGGCCAGATCCTTCTGCATAGAGCTGGCCCGTAGTGCCTTGCCATACTTCGCCTCATCAAACGGGAGACCGAAACAAATGTTCTCACGAACTGTTGCGTTCTGAATAAATGGCTGTTGTGAGACGTAAGCTACAGATCCCCGAAGGCTCACCTTGCCGCGACTGCATCGAGCATCGCCCAAGATTCCACTAAGAAGTGTAGACTTACCGGCACCAACGTGACCAACTACAGCAATCAGATCACCAAGATGAGCCTCCAGTGACACACCACGCAAAACAGGCACACTGCCCCCACCTCCCTGTGCTTCCCTTTCCCCTAGCGAGTCCTCCCGCAGTAAACTGTCCTCTTCTAGCATATCTGGTGCCGTGTCCCACATAAAATCAGCATCGCTCACTCGAACGCCGGCGCTATCTAAATCTCCAGGCTCAACTTTCTCGCGTTCCTCTTCCTGGAAGTACGAGCTCAAGCGATCGACACTTACACTGGCCTCAACAATCGAGTTGAGAACCTGTGGTAGCATAAACAACGGGAAACGGAGGATATTAAAAAGTGCCAGCGATGTGAGAGCGGTGCCCACATCTAGTGTGTTGCCAAGTTTGACGTAAGTGTAGAAGGATGCCACCGTTACCAGCGCAGGAATCGCCGAAAAGAGCGTCATGGATGCACTACGTGCATAGATGTAAGTGCGCAGCTTGCTAAGCTCCTCACTACGATATTCAAGCACGCGTTTGGTAAACGAGTGTTCCCACGCCTGCAGCTTGATCACTTTTATCCCAGCCAGTACTTCATTGCAAATCTTAATACGTTCATCCTTGACCTTCATCAACTTGATCTGCAGCCCTTGCATGAGTTTAGAGATCCCCGCTGTAATTGGCAGCATCAAGATAATCACTGCGACACCTGCAAACGTAGCGACACCAATCTGTTTCCACAGCAAATAGCAGGCCACGACAATCTGGAAAATGGAAAACCACACACTATTGATGAGCGTTGAGAGTTCCTGCAGTCTCTGAGCGTCGATCGACATGAGATTAGTGATCTCTCCGGTTGTCTTCTTCTGTCTCGCCGCAGCAGACAGGACCAAACTCTTATTGTACACTGCAGTACACACGGCCGATCTGACTCTCATTCCTGCTTCGAAGCAATTGAAGAAATAGTTTCGCAACAAGAACGACTGCAACACGCCAGATACAAACACAATAGCTGCATACACCAGTCCTTCATTCAACTGAGCTTCTGGATTCTGCAAGTATGCAATGATCTCCTTGATCAGCATTGGGCCCACAAACTGTAGCGAGTCATGGACCAATTTTAACAGTCCTGCTTTTGCAAGTTGTCCTCCAAAACAGGACGCCAAAGCCCAAGCGAGACTCGGTTTACCATTAGGTTTATTACACTGCTTCTTCCAAGCTTTTTCAAACTTTGTTGACACCTCACGCGCTCGATTAACAGGGTCTAAAAGGTACAGATCATCGTGTTGCAATGGGCGTTGATTACCTAGCTCCATGAGTGGCGTTACCCATGAGAAGAGGGCGGAAGAGATACAGGTCGCATTCTGAGACGGGTATCGGTCGCCTAATCCAGATGAAGTAGTACGAAGAGCCGCGTGGATCTCCGTAAGCAGAGGTTGTTTTTCTCCCTCTGCCGACGCCTGGTTTTTAGTCACAAGCAGTTTCCCAGTCATGGTCACTGACAGTGCGGGGTTGAAGGTAAAAGCGAGAATGCGGATAATTAGTGCAACGTTGGTGGGTGGTGGGTGGATACATCATCAGGAGTGATGGTCAGTTACTCTGCAGTGAATAACGGGAGGAGGTTACGCGTAACCCAATTATAGCCTGGGACGCGTAACCCAATTATAGTCTGGGATGGAGCAGTATTTGCTGCAGCTACCGAAGCGTCTGGCGCAGGAAGTTCGTACCGGTATCTCAAGCGGCGAATCTGCAAATGTAGACATGGTATCAGGAGGTATGTGGTACTGCTGCAGAGGCATTAGAAGGAAAGATATGAGAGTGTAACGATGATGAGGGTACAATGCGGTCTGACGCGTTTTTTACGGCGTTGTGTACACGTTACTTACAGCGGATAACAAACACTTTACGCTGCATGTGAACGGCAAGAAGTATCCGGCCAAGATTGGTGTGTTAATGAGTAGATAAAGGGCATAAGTGATAGGGGCGTTGACTGGATACACTGATGTTTGCTGATGTTAAACTGCAGCACAATTACCGTGTATTTTAGAGACGCACAAGACGTACGATGATAACTTTTTCTACAAAAGTGGGGAGATTGGACAGGTGTGGAGCTTTTGCATGGACTATTGTTGAGGTACTGACATTTTGATTATGGTGGTGTGACTGTGTAGATATTCGTGGTGACGGATAAAGAGGACGAGAAAAAGCTACTAGAGACGCACGAGGAAGTGCCAAGTGGAATCACACCACCAAATACCAACGTTGTGAAGCGAAAATATGAAAAGACCAAGAAAACCACGCCATTTCCGGTACTCTATAGCTGCATTTTTGCTTTGAATGAAACATACACATCATGATGCTTTTTTCGTTAATGTTCGATTGACAGAAACCTGATGTCGCTCGGGTGGAAGAAGATTTGGTAAAGATCATTGCAGGTGGGCCAATTGAAGATGTACATGAGGAACTAGTGGACTTCTACGACTGGATGGTAGACGACGAACATCCACATGGGATTACAGTAACAGACGAGATGGAGCTTATTCGTGAACACCCAGAGTATCTCACCTTGTCGGAAGAACCGACGAAGAAGCAGCAAAAGATGACGCCACCGAGCGCAGGGTATAGCACAGTGCCAGGAACAGCCACTGCGTCGATTATAAACACACCACTCGCCACGGACGTTGGTTCGGAGGCTGAGTCACAGACTGACGGGAAGGCTTCTGCGCAGCGCTCTCCAGCTTTTGCGCCGACGCCAAGTCCTGGGCTCTCACCCATGCAGCTGCATTCATCCACTAGTCGCGACCAAGACGAAGATAAGGAGGTGGACATGCTGGAAGATGACATCCTGGATGGTATGGATACGAAACCGGCCTCACCGCCTCGGCAGAAGGCATACTTGACGGACTCGGACTACCTCAAATTGTTGGCCATCCGCGAGCGATTACAGAAGTCGCTGCGCGATGCCGACCGCGATATGAGCGAGCTCAGTGCCAAAGTCGCTGCCAATTCGAACATCATTGTTAAGGTGGGTTCCTTTATATGTGTACTATTGCCCATGTGACTGACACATATGTGTTTCTTCAGAATCGCTTCAAGCAAATGCTTGAGGCAGCGCACAAGCAGCGAACTGAAATCGCGACGGAGCTGGACAACGTTACAGCCGAGATTTCTACGTTTGAGTCGAGCTGAAAGTTGTTTTGCTCTAACTCCCATTTTTATGTTAGCCTTCAACGGCCTGGTGTGTCAACCATGACGTTGTCTTGGTGATTAAATGCATCAAGTATAGGAAGGTTCCTGCCTTTACAACCTTTTAAGATGTCGTTGCTCCGAAAGATTTTTTCTTATGATTTTCTGATGTAACACTACACTTGTGGTATTTCAATTGTTGGGCTTATCGTCTCCTTCGTCTTCATCTTTTCTCCCTCAGTGTAAGAATGCAAGTCCTGTTGATCCCTCATGCACCACGTATGAGAAACTCAAACTCTTCCTTTGAATGATTGTCTCCGCGGCCGAGTAGATGCCACGGGTTGGTCGAAGCAGTAAAAGAGATGAGAAGGGTTCGTACTAGCGAGTCTGGATAGGACGACCGATAGAGCAACACTCCACCAGTTTTCTTATTGCTGATGCTTCCACTTGAGCAGAGCCTCAATTTGTTCCTCGCTCAAATTGAGACCAGCAATCTTCTTGAGTCCCTTCTTGTCGTGGTCCACATGGTCTTTGAAACCTGTTTTATCCACGACATCCGTCTGACCCTTCATCTTTTGCAGCAGCTTACGCAGTGACTTTTCATCCTCTTTGCTATTATTTTATACCAATACAAAAGTTAAAATGTCACACTCAGATCTTTTTTTTACTATCTTGCTTATTGTATGGGCGTACTTGAAGTAAACGGCTTCAGCAGCTTGTTCCTTGTCGCGGATGTTACTAAAACCCATGATTTGCCCCATAGGCAAAACAAAGACGCGCTTCGGGGCAGCAGCAGTGGCACGACGAATAACAAGCATGAGTCTTCACTTTTAGTTGCTCGTCTCGTTTTGAACTGGCAGATATGATCCCTTCTTTTAGGACGGTGACTTTTTACGTAAAAATGTAAATTGAAGTTAAGATGTGTCGCATAAAAGTCCGAATTTTGCACCTAAAGTTGCGGATGTCAACAAACGCGTTTTTTCTATGTAATCGTCGTATTCCAGCATCCAACCAATCAGTGAAGCGTAAAATATTTTTAAATTACCAAATGAGTATCAGCAATTGGAGCAGCAGCGAGGATGACGATGATGCTCCAGTGTGGTCTTGTGCGCGCCTTGCAGAGGAAGGTGTGGCCTATCGCGTCGTGTACGTGTACTAGCGATACGTGTCTATCTCTTCATTCACTCAACTCACGCTGTTTCCATCTAGAAACGTATTGGGCAGTGGTTTTGTGAACGATCGAGTGGACATTAAACAACTGGCGCTACTTGTGCGCAATGCAGACTATTCACCACGAGTATACATTGTTATTACTATGCAAAAGTGTATAGAATAATATATTAATTGCTAATGAGTAATATGAATTGGTTATTACAGGGTTTTAATGCATTGGTGATGCGTTTCCAGGCCCCACGTGCAACGGTTCTCGTCTACAGAAGCGGGAAGGTGAGATGCTTTTTGCTGCTAAGGTGGTGAAAAAAAGACTGTCTTCTCATCGTGGTTGGTGTATAGTATGTTGTGATAGGAGCTACAAGTGTGGAAGGGGCGCGATTAGCAGCAGACAAGCTGATTTCTATTTTAAAGGTGGTTTTTGATACTGTAGCGGAAGAATATCTTCAGCTGACGAATATGAATTGGATGCTGGTGTTGTTGTGATATTGTTAATTGCTGCAGAAAGTGTCATTTCCTAGTGATAGCAACCCGTTTACTATTCGTAACGTGGTTGGCTCGACGGACGTGTGCTTTAAAATACGCCTGGAAGGCTTAGCGCGAGATCATTTCCGGTTTAGCACAGTAGGTTGCCATTATATATGCTTGCTATTGTGTATCGGGAAACATTGTGATGGATGCTGTTGATGGAATGCAGTACGAACCAGAGATGTTTCCAGGACTTATCTATCGGATGCTTCGCCCCAAGTGTACACTATTGATTTTCATATCCGGGAAACTTGTTATCACTGGATGCGAGGTGGGAAGATAGTGAGTTGTGTGGTAAACTCACTGCATCACTAACCGAATATTGTTGTGTGAATGGACTTGATAGACACCTGCAGACGGAGAAAAGGCGATCGGAAAAATCTACCCTGTTCTGTTGCAATACCGGCTACGTGAAGACGACTCGGATGATGTCGATGACGATGATGACGAGGATGATGATGGAGAATTATTGAACGACAGAGTAGCACAAGTGCCCTAACTAACGAACTGCGAATTATTTGACCTAGTTACATGTATCTGCTATATGCCCAAAACGTGACTTGCCCTCTCGCAGACCAGCACAGATATCAAGAATTGTTTTCCAAGCCACTTGCAAACGCTTGGAATGACAACGCCTGCCACTTCTCGATCAGGTTAGGCTCTGCATTCAGTGAATGAGACTAGGCTAAATAGTTGTACATCTGGGCGTTGCTCGAGTCTCGCTCGAGATACTCCCTGTCGATGAGACTCTCAATACGGCGCTTGATGTCGGCAGCCTTTGCGGGGAACCGAACTTGCGTGAAGATCTCTGTCATCAGCAGCGCGTGCGATAGCTTCTTGCGCGCTTTCATGATACGCACAATGGCGGCATCTACTTGATACTGGCGATCCCGAAACACACGCTCGTGTGTGTCTTCGTTCTCCTTCTTGGTCTCCTTCATCTGAATAGAGTTAATTTTGATGCGGATGAACTGGTTCGTAAACTGGGCGTTATATACGAACAAGTCATCATCATTCACATCCTTCCCCTTCGGCACCTTCTGCAGCACTCGCGTTTTACCACATGCGAGCGATTGCAACGTTCGTCGAAGCTCGCCGTCTTCGATGCGCGTCTGTTCCTTGATTTCCTTAAAACTCAACGAATCCGTTCCGTTAAAACAAAGCAAGACCACAGTCTGGTACAGCGACACCACAAGCTCTTTTTTGCCGGAAGGGAATGCAGCCTTCACTACACACTGTGCTAGAGAGTGTTGCCACTGGAGCTGACGCCCTTGATACTTGGATGAGTAGAATTTGTCGAATATCTCTTTCAGAGGAACAAGCGAAGCCGGCAGATTGATTTCAACAGCAGCGTAAGGTGGCCAGAATCCAGTCGTCAAAACTTGGACTTGCATGTCAGGGATGCCACGCTTTTCGTGCAAAGTCTCCAGCGCGTTCCTGCACGGTCCAAAAATGGTCAGACATCGTTTCTCCTGACAATTGTGCGAGCAATACATACCTGCTCGCAGCATGTTGCTGGAACTGAACCATCACGTTTTGTGAAAGATCAATATCTTTGAACATACCCTCAAGCTATCAATAGACAAAGTGACGTCAGCTTAACGCAACAAACCAAAGTACTCAATCAACAACTCACACTCACCTTGTTAGTAAATGAGCTGCCGCACTCGGTTTTCAACTTCGACAGCATAAGCTTTTCCAGATCAAAAGAAGCACTCTTTCCTACCAGCAAGCGCTTCGCAAGGTCCTTTTTGTAAAATGCTTCAAATACGTCTTTGCCTTGAATGTACCGGAATATAACCATAACACGATCCAACAAACTCTCCACTTCTGCCTCAGAACCACCCTTGTTACCGGTTCGAAGTTTCGAGTCAACATACTTTGCCACGAGCTCAGCAGGTCGGTTTGCGCGCACGTTGATTGCATTCTCCATCGCCGACTTCATGGCGAATAAAAACTCCGAGTTCATTTGGAATGAATCGGTCAGTACCGCGTCCAGGTCAGCTTTCAGCTTGAGTATCTTCTCCACAAACGTCTTCTCTTGTTTATCATCCATCACCAGCTTGGATACGTTCTTCTGTATATAACTCGAGAATGCTATCTTGAGATCGCTGATCGCATCGACCCTCGCAAAAAGTGCGTACATCCGCTTCAGGTCATCAATTCGGCCTTCTTCCATCAACGTTTCGAATCCGCGCTCCAGCAACGTGGCCACATGTGGCTTCAGCATTTTGCGTTCAACCACTGAAATCAGTTGTTTTTTAGTCGATGCATCAAGGTAATTCACCACGCGCTCATTTTCTTCGTAAAGGCGCTTTTCGACATGCACCAAAAATTGTGGCACGCTTACCGACTCGATGGTAGTGGCTCCTTCGTGCATATAAAATCGCTCTGACGCCATCAAGAATGGCGTCTCAAAGTCTGTATGGTACAAATGCAAGGACAGCAGCATCCGCAGCAAATTGTATAAATAGCTGCGGTTGATAGCCTCACCCTTACGTTCTGATTCCACCAACTCCAGCAGGGCATCTATCAGCTTTGTCTCTAAACTTCGATGCTGGACCAAATTGTCCCGAACTAGATTTAGTCCCATGTCCCAGATCGACGCAATATGTGGCGTCTGCATCACGTACGTACGATCCAAATAGAGAAAGATCGTACGAATTACGAGCATATCTTCACAATGGTCTTCCCATAGTCGATGCACTGCTTCTAGGAATAAATCCAAATCTCCACCTGTATATTCCACTAAATCTTGTACTCTCTTTCGAATATGCACAGCACAAGTCTCTTTCAATCTCGTATACAACCTACAGCATCAACAATATAAAGAATAAAAATACTTAGTAAACAACTTAGTACAAAACATAAAAAAAACGACCACTCACCTGGCCGCCATCTTCCACGTGCATAAGTCCTCAACGGAGCGATAAAGCTCTTCTCTACTAAGTGCCGACATCTGCTTTGCATGCACTGCACGAACAGCAGTCTCAAGCTTGTTCCACGTGTCTTTTTCAAAAGATTCTGGCAGCTTGGGCGTTATTTTAAAGGGTTTGATTGTCATTTTTTTCTTGGTGGCGTTCAATTTGAGTCCCACATTGTTACTGCGTTCCTGATTGCGTCGAAATCCTGTTCGTCCATTGGATGAAGATGTAAAGCCGGTGGAAGCCATGGTATCCGCCGTCAATTAAACGTTTAATTGAACGAGATAAAGCGAGAGAAAGGCAGAAAACAGCGTTTGATTGAGCCAAAAAGGATGCTGTCGAGCGAGATCGAGCTATGTACAGTGTCGTGTAGTTAGAAAGGGTGAAGAAGCTCGATGGAAGGGCGATACAGACACGAAGAAGACGCACCCGAGTGTATTTTATTGACCCCGTCGATCGATTTCCCTTTCAAAAATGATGCTCCCTCCGTGGAAATTTTTGGGTACGTACCGGTATTGTACCTCTCTCACCCGTAAGTGATGGTATCAGATTTGTCGACATTTCTATTGACAGTCGACAAAATTTTGAGAAATGCTGTTTATAAATTGTCAATATATAAATGTCTGGGGGATGATTAAGAAGCAACTTTGTAAAAAGGATTAGAAGAAGGTCGAGGGGCTTTGATAACATCGATAGCATAGATAGAAGAAGAGAAAGAGAGAGCTATGACACGAAGTTGTCTCGTGCTGTTTTCCCAAATGTATAAACGACGCCTACGATAGTTTGTCACGTCTGCTTGCTGGAACGTCACTCGGTTTCATTGTAACCACAAGCTAGTGATGGATGCAAAACACTGCTCAGGATGTGCCATGAGCGTTTCCACTCGGCGGCATATGCGGACATTTTCTCTCCTTAGCTGTTCCTGGATAACTCTGGGTGCGCGTTGGCTTGCACTGTTTGCAAGGAAGCAATAGATGAAAGGACCTTATGTTGGGCTATGTATTTAAATAAAATGATATGAGCTGCCACCGCTTTTGTTGCAGTTCATCGCACGCACGCACGCACTGACAGGCATCAGCATTAAATATATTGTCTAGAGACAAGTCCGTCAATCACATTTTGTGACGCCACGCACGACCTGACGTGACTTACAAACGGGTCAAGGTTGAGTCATCTCAACACAAATAGCATTGTTTCCGTTATACATTCTCCAGCACTTTCGAGTCTGTAGCTGAGACTGAAGTTAAATTAGGAGACAGATGACCGTTGAAGGTGGCGACGTGGCCATCTGGATGTGTGCGTCTAGGGCTCGTCACATGGTTTAGGTACCTGATCACCAAGAGTTAGTACGTCTCACGTCCTCATCCGTCCTAGACAATCAAAAGTCAGATTCAAACACATTGTTTCATTCGCTCTGCCTCGGTACTTTCCGATTTTACGAGGCGGTAGTAAGACATCATTGATTCCTGGTCATTGTCAAGACAGTAGGAAGCTTTTCGAAATTAGAGATGGATCGAACTAGTATGAGCAACCTCGATAAAGAGTGAGCAATTTGTGTCTTTAGAATATGCATTGAATCGTTATGAAGCTCATGAATTCATCATGTTGTGTCTTCACTTACTAGCATAACTGTGGTCCCATTGAACGACGAGCGCTATGAAGAGATGCCGAGTCCACATGTGAGACTTCGCACGGGAACTATCGGCAGCGAAGACTATAATGACAAAGGTGCGAACCTTCGCATCGATATGGATCAGGATCAAAAAAAGTCAATCAAAGCACAAATGTTTTCGTGTAAGTGTTCTTCATTCACACATTGTAACTGCGTACATCGTTCTCTAAAAGTTGGTGTATGGTGTTACAGCAGAGTTCCGATTCAATGCGGAATTGTCACTGCGTGTCGCCTGTGGTGTGATCGTTGCTTCGTTTATTCAAATGCGTGACCCAGGTTACGACACTTCCATTGAACACGACAAGAAGTGGTTCTTCTTTCCGAAATGGTACTATCTTGGTGGTCTCAGTTATTGTGCTGTGGCTGTCATCTTTTCTGCGGGGAAGAATATCGGTGCGACGTTGACCCAGGTCTGTCAGGCCTTTTACGGTGTCGGGATGGCGCTGTTGTTCAATCTCGGTCTCTTTTCGTTTGTCGATGTACACACTTTCAACAACTCGTACGATGGCTATTTCTTGATTGACAAGAAACTATCTTTTGGAGGGTCTCAGTATTATGTCAACTCGCACAACTTTTACGCTGTGCTGCCGTATATGGTGATCTTTACCGTCGCCATTCTACTGTTGCCGCTCGAGACGAACACCAAGAAGTTTGCGCTGGCCAACAACCTTTACTTCAGTAGGTTTTGCAATCGTAAGCTAAACTTACTGCATGGGCTAATTCTTTTCCGTGACTTGTAGCGCTGACAATTATCAACCCCGCGGACCCACTAGACTCCTCCAAGCTCAAGGCTACTGGTGACACGTACTTTGAGACCAGCAATATCTTGAACAACCTTGCGATGTACTTCCTCGTGGGTTTTGTTGGAACGCTCATTTCGCTGCTCATCATGTTTATTCCGTATCCCATTTTGTAAGTACATGGACTTATTTGCGAGTTGTTCGACAACTAACAGAAAGGCGTTCTACTCGACAGTGCTACCGTGAAGCTGCGCGAGGAAACAAGTAAGGCCTCTGGTGATGTTCTGGATCTGCTGAATGTCATTGTGGACTCGTACTGCTTCAAGAACAAGAACGTGGATCACATGAACTTTTTGAAACTCAAACTTCAGCGCAAGTTTAATGCAGCAGGCGAGCGTCATCGTCGAATGATTGCTTTGCTGGATGACGTGTGGTGGGAGCAGCTATTTGGCTTCCATCTCATTTTCAAGTTCAATTGTTCCGTGTCAAAGGGATACGTGCGGCTTATTGGATCCCTGATTGCCGACTTGCGATCACTAAACAACGCCATGCAACTCGAGCAATACGACAACTTGCACTTTATGTACATGAAGGTTCTTCAGCGCGAAATCTACATCATTCAGATGCGATCTGGAGATCTACTTCACGAGATTTCTGGCGAGATTCATGCTTCATCTCAACGTAAGTGTTGTCTTTAACCTTTCGTTTGCTACTCGTTGACTCATCCATATCGTGTATTGCAATGACAGAACTTAATCTCCAGACGATAGAACAACTGCAAAGTCAAGTGGAAAACACCCTTCGCCGCTACCGAGAAACCCAGATTCGTTTGCTACAATCACAGAAGATCACGATGAAAGACGTTGAAGGCAACGTTCCGCTAAACCTGTTCCTGTTCTCGCTTAACTCGTTCTGCAGTACTCTGATCGAGTACCAAGACACCCACAACAAGAAGGACTTTCATGGTGGTCGTCGTGCTCGGTCTTTTATCACGCAATCGATCAAAAACTTTTTCATGATGCACCGATACACTCGAGCACGAATTCTGGAAGCTGCGCGAGTATCGGTTGCTATTATCATGGGTACCTTCTTGGCCGTGTACATGTACGACTTCAGCTCCACTACGCCATCCGCTGTAGCTTATGTGATGGGCAATCACATTGGAGGTTCGTTCAGCGTCACGGTGAATCGTGTTGGTGGTGTCGTGGCCGGCAGCGTCATTCCCTCGGTTTTTCAGTTTCTCATTTCCCAAATTTGCAGCCCACAATTCATGAACGTGTTCCTATCTGACTTAGTGCTCTTCATTTGGGTCATGGTGTCCATGTACGTGAGTTTTGTCGACGGTTACAGCTCATACGCTGGTTTGGTGTCGGCATTCATTGCCGCGGAAGTTCTACTTCGCCAGTCCGACGTATGCTATGCCAACGGTTCGGACAGTTCGTCGACGATTGCAATCGGCTCCTACTCAAGTCTTGCCCAGACATCTGTGGGTCTGATACTGTTTATTGTGTTAGAAATGGCGATGTGCCCCGAAAGCGCAACAAGTTTGCTGCGCAAGAACATCCAACAGACACTGAAGCTACAGCAGAAGGCTTTCAGTATTTTGTTTGGACACCATCTTTCGAGTTCTGGACAAATGAGCGATGTGATTGTCGATGAAGTCCGTGATATTCTCCAAGTGCAGATTCCTGCACAACTTGTGGAGCAGCAAGCGCTACTGAAGGAGGCTCAAGCCGAGCCGCAAATGTGGCGGCCTGCATTCTCGAAACAGAAGTACGAAGCCGTGTTCGATTGCACTTGCCGCTTGTTGAACAACAACAACTTGCTTTTTAAACTTGTACGTTGGTACAACTACCGAGTGAAGCAGAACTTGGCGCAGACGAGTGCGGTCGGCATTCGCGACATAGGTACTGAGAGCGCACGGGTACTTGACACAAATGGGACGACCCATACAAAGTGGCAGGAGGCTAGCAATCAGTTCTTGGCCTCTGTTGACGACACGTTTAGCACCTTGCAAATGCTTTTTGGCGAGTCCTTCTTGTACTCGAATCCAGACCAAACAGCGATTTTCATGCAGATGAAGGAAGCTTTTCGAGTGGCTGACAAGGACTGCAGTGGAGAGATTGATGCCGAGGAGGTAGCGGTCATGCTTGAGACGATCTTCGCCCAGTCGGGTGCAGTCAAACAAGAGGATATTACCAAGTACGTCGCGGACTTTATGGAAATTGTCGACAAGGATTGCAGTGGGAAGGTGTCTTTTGAGGAGTTTATGGCAGCTCTGGAAGACGGCCTTAAACTTGAAGTGGAAGTTTACCATCGCCGAAAACCCAAGGCTGCAGCTCTCAAGCAGCCCTTGAACAGCATTAATGAAGATAGTCGCGCTGTATCTCGCGGAAGTTGCAGCGCCACGTCTTCTGGAGGTACCGGCATGTCGAAAATTACGAGCAGTATACTCGAGTCAAATACGCCAAAGAAGTTTGGTCGAGTAATGAGTGCCGCGTCTTCATCGCAGAACACGCCAAAACAAATTTCAAGTTTCATGAAACATGCGTCAACAATGATGACTTCGCCCATTCGTCGTGAGCACGATGTGCTAAATGTGGAGGCCTTTACTGCGAGTGATATTGCTGCTCAGATGAAGTCTGCGTATGTGGAGTGGCTGATGGAAGGACATCGATTCAAGCGAGTGGCAATGGAGGAGCTTTTGTTACTAAACTGTCTGGTTAGCGGTGCCGAAGGCATTGCTAGGAACCTGACGCTCCTGGAAGAAATTGTCATCTCTTCGTAGTCGTGTAGACAAGTGAGTTGGTTGGGTGTCCACGTAAGTATAAGTTTGATTGTCATACGGTCAGTCAGGTCGATGCAGTCTAGACTATACTTGCATGAAAAAAGTTGCTGTCAGCTTAGCTGAGATATAATAAAAGAAGTGGAAGCCGAGACTAAAAGTGGCCACTTGACACCCACTAGCCCTTACATGAAATCGTTTATCCAGCCTGCGACATTGACACATTGTCGTAGCTACTTGTAGTATGAATAGTGCATGCAATTGTTTAACTAATATTATAGTTATCCATGCGTTCAAAGCAGCAGGCTAGTGATAGCACTGCCGTTCATGGCATGTAGAGCGTAGAAAAATATTTGTAAAGATACGAATTTCCTATGAAACTCGTATCCGATGCTCAGTAACAAACGTTGCAGTCTGCAACGTTGCAGAAAAGCTCATTATAAACGCATAACCTACACTTGCTTTAAGATTCGAAGTAATATGAACAACAACTAGCAAATGCAAAGACAAATACTAACGTTCCTGGTTGACAATACCAATACAACCAAAAAAACACGAGAGCAACCGCAACCGTTTCGTAGCTAAACGCAAAAAGATAAATATCACCGTTACTGGTGACAGACAATAGCTAGCAGAAAGTTCTCTACAAAAGATGGATACCACCGTTCCTGGTGACAATAGCTAGCCGAAAAGATGAATATCACCGTTACTGGTGACAGACAATAGCTAGCAGAAAGTTCTCTACAAAAGATGGATACCACCATTCCTGGTGACAATAGCTAGCCGAAAACAGATAAAAACTCTCTGCAAACGATGGATGCCACTGTTCCTGGTTGACAATAGGACGCAGAATTTGCTTTTCTTTCGGCTAGTGGTAACTCAACCTGGGAGTAGATGTGTAGCGAGCGCTTTCGTAAAACTCGTTGCGAAGTCACAATTGATTTTTTTGAATTGAAGCACCGTATCACCAAGAAGAAACGATGGGTAAAGGCAGCGGTGGTGGATCAAAGGGTGGAGGTTCAGGATCGAAGGGATCAAGTGGATCAGGAACGAAAGGAACTGGAGGCACAGCGCCCGCAAAAGCATCGACCGACAACCGTTCAAACCAGTTAAATCCCAACAACCCGACGTATACCTCGTCACGCGCGAATGGTTAGAGCACTAGCTCATCTTATCGACTTGATGCGAACGACTTGATGTTATGCGACCTCTGCGATGGAGAGCACGAATTGAAGGAGAAGGACATATTGAGGTTAAGTAGTGTTGTTGTCTAGTAACAGGAAAAAGTAGCTTGCCAGTGTAGCACGCAACAAGAATAAGCTCTTTCATCTTGAAATAATGTGCTACATCTCAGTGCGTTAATTAGCTCTATTAGCTGCTCATCATTTTGCGGCTCAACGGTATCACGCTCTAGTGTGGTCCGCAGACATCATTAATGTAGCTAGCAACTACTTACTACTGTTGAGTTCCTCTCGACTGTTTCGCATCTTGGTGAATACATCTGCTAGTGCCATTGCTCCGCTAGTTAGGCTGAACAAGACTTTCAGCTACGAATGCAAATGACGGACATCACCATTTCTAGTGACACCTGCTAGCCGAAAGCTATGAACAACACTCTGCAGTAGACGAAAACCGTCGTTCCTGGTCGGCAATACATATAGGTGGTTGAAAGCAAAAGACGACTGTCTACCGTTCCTGTTTGGCAATTGCTAGCCGAATGCAAACGACGGATACCACCGCTCCTCGTTGACAACATATAGGTAAAGCGAAAGACAACACTCTACAAACGACAACTCTTTATTGATCCTAGTGACAGTAGTAAGTCGAAAACAAAATCCGAATACCCCGCTCCTCGTTAACAACAGGTCCTGAAAGCATAAGACAACATACCGTTGAGTAACATCAGCTAGATGAATGCTAAAGACGAATGACACCGTGACAATAGCTAGCGAATGCAATGACGGATACCACCGTTCCTGGTTTGACAATGCCAATTGAAAGCAGAATAACACAAAAGCAACCGCAACCGTTTCGTAGCTAAACGCAAAAAGATGAATATCACCGTTACTGGTGACAGACAATAGCTAGCAGAAAGTTCTCTACAAAAGATGGATACCACCGTTCCTGGTGACAATAGCTAGCCGAAAACAGATAAAAACTCTCTGCAAACGATGGATGCCACTGTTCCTGGTTGACAATAGGACGCAGAATTTGCTTTTCTTTCGGCTAGTGGTAACTCAACCTGGGAGTAGATGTGTAGCGAGCGCTTTCGTAAAACTCGTTGCGAAGTCACAATTGATTTTTTTTGAATTGAAGCACCGTATCACCAAGAAGAAACGATGGGTAAAGGCAGCGGTGGTGGATCAAAGGGTGGAGGTTCAGGATCGAAGGGATCAAGTGGATCAGGAACGAAAGGAACTGGAGGCACAGCGCCCGCAAAAGCATCGACCGACAACCGTTCAAACCAGTTAAATCCCAACAACCCGACGTATACCTCGTCACGCGCGAATGGTTAGAGCACTAGCTCATCTTATCGACTTGATGCGAACGACTTGATGTTATGCGACCTCTGCGATGGAGAGCACGAATTGAAGGAGAAGGACATATTGAGGTTAAGTAGTGTTGTTGTCTAGTAACAGGAAAAAGTAGCTTGCCAGTGTAGCACGCAACAAGAATAAGCTCTTTCATCTTTGAAATAATGTGCTACATCTCAGTGCGTTAATTAGCTCTATTAGCTGCTCATCATTTTGCGGCTCAACGGTATCACGCTCTAGTGTGGTCCGCAGACATCATTAATGTAGCTAGCAACTACTTACTACTGTTGAGTTCCTCTCGACTGTTTCGCATCTTGGTGAATACATCTGCTAGTGCCATTGCTCCGCTAGTTAGGCTGAACAAGACTTTCAGCTACGAATGCAAATGACGGACATCACCATTTCTAGTGACACCTGCTAGCCGAAAGCTATGAACAACACTCTGCAGTAGACGAAAACCGTCGTTCCTGGTCGGCAATACATATAGGTGGTTGAAAGCAAAAGACGACTGTCTACCGTTCCTGTTTGACAATTGCTAGCCGAATGCAAACGACGGATACCACCGCTCCTCGTTGACAACATATAGGTAAAGCGAAAGACAACACTCTACAAACGACAACTCTTTATTGATCCTAGTGACAGTAGTAAGTCGAAAACAAAATCCGAATACCCCGCTCCTCGTTAACAACAGGTCCTGAAAGCATAAGACAACATACCGTTGAGTAACATCAGCTAGATGAATGCTAAAGACGAATGACACCGTGACAATAGCTAGCGAATGCAATGACGGATACCACCGTTCCTGGTTTGACAATGCCAATTGAAAGCAGAATAACACAAAAGCAACCGCAACCGTTTCGTAGCTAAACGCAAAAAGATGAATATCACCGTTACTGGTGACAGACAATAGCTAGCAGAAAGTTCTCTACAAAAGATGGATACCACCGTTCCTGGTGACAATAGCTAGCCGAAAACAGATAAAAACTCTCTGCAAACGATGGATGCCACTGTTCCTGGTTGACAATAGGACGCAGAATTTGCTTTTCTTTCGGCTAGTGGTAACTCAACCTGGGAGTAGATGTGTAGCGAGCGCTTTCGTAAAACTCGTTGCGAAGTCACAATTGATTTTTTTGAATTGAAGCACCGTATCACCAAGAAGAAACGATGGGTAAAGGCAGCGGTGGTGGATCAAAGGGTGGAGGTTCAGGATCGAAGGGATCAAGTGGATCAGGAACGAAAGGAACTGGAGGCACAGCGCCCGCAAAAGCGTCGACCGACAACCGTTCAAACCAGTTAAATCCCAACAACCCGACGTATACCTCGTCACGCGCGAATGGTTAGAGCACTAGCTCATCTTATCGACTTGATGCGAACGACTTGATGTTATGCGACCTCTGCGATGGAGAGCACGAATTGAAGGAGAAGGACATATTGAGGTTAAGTAGTGTTGTTGTCTAGTAACAGGAAAAAGTAGCTTGCCAGTGTAGCACGCAACAAGAATAAGCTCTTTCATCTTGAAATAATGTGCTACATCTCAGTGCGTTAATTAGCTCTATTAGCTGCTCATCATTTTGCGGCTCAACGGTATCACGCTCTAGTGTGGTCCGCAGACATCATTAATGTAGCTAGCAACTACATACTACTGTTGAGTTCCTCTCGACTGTTTCGCATCTTGGTGAATACATCTGCTAGTGCCATTGCTCCGCTAGTTAGGCTGAACAAGACTTTCAGCTACGAATGCAAATGACGGACATCACCATTTCTAGTGACACCTGCTAGCCGAAAGCTATGAACAACACTCTGCAGTAGACGAAAACCGTCGTTCCTGGTCGGCAATACATATAGGTGGTTGAAAGCAAAAGACGACTGTCTACCGTTCCTGTTTGACAATTGCTAGCCGAATGCAAACGACGGATACCACCGCTCCTCGTTGACAACATATAGGTAAAGCGAAAGACAACACTCTACAAACGACAACTCTTTATTGATCCTAGTGACAGTAGTAAGTCGAAAACAAAATCCGAATACCCCGCTCCTCGTTAACAACAGGTCCTGAAAGCATAAGACAACATACCGTTGAGTAACACCAGCTAGATGAATGCTAAAGACGAATGACACCGTGACAATAGCTAGCGAATGCAATGACGGATACCACCGTTCCTGGTTTGACAATGCCAATTGAAAGCAGAATAACACAAAAGCAACCGCAACCGTTTCGTAGCTAAACGCAAAAAGATGAATATCACCGTTACTGGTGACAGACAATAGCTAGCAGAAAGTTCTCTACAAAAGATGGATACCACCATTCCTGGTGACAATAGCTAGCCGAAAACAGATAAAAACTCTCTGCAAACGATGGATGCCACTGTTCCTGGTTGACAATAGGACGCAGAATTTGCTTTTCTTTCGGCTAGTGGTAACTCAACCTGGGAGTAGATGTGTAGCGAGCGCTTTCGTAAAACTCGTTGC